AAACATCAATTTAAAATGTAATAAGGATATTGTTGTTGATATACAACAATTAATAATTATTAAATCTAAATGTCAGTGAATCAAAAACTAACGTTTCACTACTACATGAATATGCTATTTGACTTTTGAATTGTATACAACTGTGATTTGATGAGGTCAATGCACAAGTAAGAGTAGATTTTCCGGAAACTGGTAGAGGTATACTATTTAGTTCAAGGCAGATTAAAGTATTCCGTTAAGACTAGACTTGATGATAGATGTTATTGGAGATGTGTAGATCCCCAGTGTCCAGCAACAGTGACCACACTGAACAACATCCCTGTGACGTTCACGACCAATCACAACCATCCAGGAGATACCGTTGGTCTTTTGCTTCCCTCAACAAGAAGCGATGTCGTGAGGAAACTGAACCAATTCCTTCTGTGTTTGATGAGGAACTTGAGAATCTGTATGACAGAGATTTTGATGCTGCTGTTGAGATGACACAGAAAATCACAACATTCAACAGTTGTCGATAATCCGTTTACAGAAGCCGGTGAAAGTTCATCCCAAAGTTACCAGCAACCCAAGGCGATATTGATCTGCAGGGAAGATGGAAGGAGACATCAACTGGGGATCGGCTATGGGAAGGAGGATCATGGTATTTGGGACGAACAACAACCTCCGAAGATTAGCTGACTCGTCAACCACCTCTGGAGATGAGACGTTCTATGCCTGCACGGGACGTTTTTTTAGTTCACTACATTTCACCTATGGTTATGAAGAGACCAGTGTTTTCCCGTTAGTGTTTCTGCCGAACATTCACCCTCCTCCAGGATGCCACTATACAGAGGAATCAGCGTATCGACCCGCAACGTGTGCTTTTAGATTCTGAAGTTGCTTTGAAGACCACTTTCCCAGCAGTAACAATTAAAGGGTGTTTTTTCACTACACAACTTACTTGCCATCCGAGAAGAGGAAAGTTGTAAAATATTGATCATGTTATACATGTATATTGTAATATGATTAAAGTTTAAAATCATATTTCATGTTGTTTCTTTCTTTTGTTAATAAGTATTTGAAAAAAAGATGTTAAAATACAAGGTTTAATGTCAGTATATTTATTGCAATTTACAAAGATACATATTTGTATAGTTACCTGAGAATCGGTCACTTTCCTAAAACAGGCTATAGCCTCACCTGTAATTAGTACCCATTGTTCTCCCCCGTCACAACATTACCTGTGCCCTACATACTAAAATAGGATTTGTTGGCTGAGTGGGAAGACACCGGTGGTATTCACAATTGTTTTATACCAATGACTATCCTGAAACTAAACGCTACTCGAGACATTCGAATTATCACGTCCATCACCGCGGAACGACAAAAAATTGTCACACAGACCAGAGGAAAAGAACTTCAGGGCGACACAGATTCCCCCGCTGGAGTTTTACATATCCCTGATAGGCGGCCTTTGTCCATTCAGGTTCTGTCTAGTGGACTAAGACTGACTGAGTTAATCAATAGATCAGAACGAATGCATACTGACAGGTACTTTATTTTCTTACAACTTAAAGGGTTAGAACTATGGTAACGACCCAGATGTCATACATTGGGTTTAGAGGTGCAAATGTCATGAGCTATATATTAATTTGTGTGAAGTACGGACATGGAAAGTTCCAACAGGAATGTGTGATTATAAATTCCCCTGTTTCAACTTGTTATTAAGTCAAGGTGATGCTGACAGTCATATGAGGCAGAATATAAAAAAATACCTTAACATTGAAATGATGAATCTGATCTGGCTTACCTCGTAAATGCAATAAGTCTGCTATCGTGTGATGTTCGTTTCCTGTGAAATTTGGGGGGGATGGACTCTCGTGTAAAATCGATACACATTACAACCCACATAAAGCAAATCTATAATTTAATTCTGAAGTAAAATTAGCGATCTGCCTGCACATTCCATGACATAAAAACCTATGTTAGAGGATCTGAAATTAAATCGGTGATGTCTGCAGAATCCACGGCAAAGATAACGAAGATGAACAAGGTTTACTGCTGCCGTTTGTTGACTGGGCTTCTCGTCCCTTAGACAGCCAGGTCATTTTGAGGCGTGGTCGCCTTACAGTAAATAGTTGCTACTTCAGTGAACGCCTGTTGCATGCCGTCCTAAGTAATTTTGGGTAAGGTGGCGTGGGTAAGGTGGCGTGCTTAAGGACGCTGCCACGTCATCATATACTTGCCCTATTGTAGCTTCTTCCTGCGGAATCTATGGTTATTAGTATGTTGTTGTTGTGGTGTAGTAGACCTAATAATGACCAAGAGGTAATCATGACAGCAGATATGGGGATATGAGAACTGTTATCTTATTGAAAAGATACATTTACAATTTTGTAAGAGAATTTTGGGGTTGAAGAAAAGTACAACCAATTTTATGGTCTACGGAGAAATCGGAAGATACCCTATTACTTTAGATATTAAATTAAGAATGGTTAAATATTGGTACTCACTAATCCTGAATGAGAATAAATTATCAAGTAGCATGTATAAATTGATGTATTCACTCAACGAAACAGGCCAAATAGAATTCAAATGGATAAACTGCATCAAAAATATTTTAAACAGTGTTGGATTAGGTCATGTATGGATGTTTCAGAAAACTTGTTTACCACATATCAATTTTTTAAAATCTGAAGTTGCTCAGAGACTGAAGGACCAGTTTGTCCAATCTTGGTTTGACGAAATGGAAAAATTGTCCAGAGGACAAGTAGATAGTATTTTCAAAAATGAATTTGGTATTGAAGACTATTTATTACGGTTGAATAAAAAAATGCAGAATTTATCTGTAAATTCAGAACAGCAAATGTTAAATTACCGGTAGAATTAGGTAGATGGAGAGGGATACAACATCTTGATCGAGTATGTCCCATGTGTAATAATGGTATAGGAGATGAGTTTCATTTTTTATTTTTGTGTAATAATGATGAAGTAAAACAGCTAAGACTGAAGTATATCCCGGGATACTACTGTAAATATCCTAACCGATACAAAATGAAAGGGATGTTCACAGTCTTTAATAAAAAGTTATTGATGAATGTAAGCATGTTTATCCAACGATTGTCATACATTTTATAATGCGACTGCGTTAATTGTTAGCATTGATTGTCCTAGATATTGAAATGTTTGAGCTGCTTACAATGTATGTTTTCGGAAAATCAACAAATATATAACATGTTTATAACTATGGCTGCCTGTCATGTACTAAAAATGTTTCAATATGTATGACCTCTTGTCACACATTGTTGTTGTCTGAGAGAAATAAAATCTTGAAAATCTTGAATCTTGAGACTTAAGTACTGAATATTGCTATGGTGTGTTGATGGGGTGATGATTTGAGTTGCTCTTGAGATATATTCAAATTTTCCATTAACTTTATCGTTTTAGACAATTTGTTTCAATATTCTGGACGATTACAAGTCTACAGAGTTTTAAACGACATTAGAGGGTGATCAACCAGTATTACTGAGGCAAAACAGATTACACTTTTTCAAAATAAAAAAAATGATACAAGCTACATAATTTGATTTTAACAATTAATTTCGTCAAAGATTTAGAAATCATTCTTTAAAAATGCTCGGATATCTGTTTGAAAGAATAATGTCCATAGTGAACCATACTGCCGTCTTCTGCTTCACTCCGAACTGACGGCAGTCATCTTTAAATATTGTCACGGAGTGCATTATGACAATTCTTATGTATACATGGCATCAACATCTAAGTTCAGAAGCAGTTCTGTATCATAATCGCAGAGTGGATGCTTTTGAATTTTCATTTTTAGTTTGTGGAAGGTAAATATTTTCTTAATTGCATATTGCATCAGACGGCAGCATATGCAGGACGGTTTCATGCAGATAACGGAATGTAAAAAACTTACCTTTTCTACTTAATATCTCCTCAATGCTACATGTCCTTTATCAAAATCTATGTTTATTTATCTTTTATTTGTTAACTATTATTTCGCTTTTCAATTTATATTCTGTAAATCTGACGCGCGTGTGATTTATTTTAAGGTTTGGAATCGAACATTTGTAGGGGTTCTCTCCCCTCTGTCAATGTAAATCTTGTTATAATAGACATATGAAACAGGCTAAATTCTGTGGTTTCATTGATTGAGTCCAACTTGAGAAAAATTGAAATATAATGTAAATTGACAATAATATAGAGAGAACACCAACATAACTTACCAACCATGGTGAAGAAGAACACACAAGTGGCACAAAACAGGACTGGAACGTTTAACGAGAGGTTATTAGCAAAAGCAAATGAGTAGAAACCAAACAATGGCGGAAAGATTGTACCAAGGAATGACCGCAACGGACAACACTATATATGCCGGTCATCTCATCGGAAGGGACTAAAATTTTGGTTCGGATGTTGTTGTTTCTCCCCAAGATGTTGGCGGTTTGAAGGCAATTCAAAGTACATGTGTGACAAGTGTCATGCTTTTATCGAAACGTTCATGCTTTTTCTGTTATCCGCTTGAAATACTTGAAGAATAGATGCATTTTCGCGCTAATTCTTCTCAGCCTCCGCATCAATCAAAGGAGTTAAACGTTGAAACGTTACAGAAACGGTTCTTTGTTCTATCTATTTAAAGTGTTACAAAATCGTCCGTTTTCCTCAGAGGTCGCTTACCACTAGCCATACAGGTGGTCGGTTTTAACATTGATCTCTAATTGCATTAATCCGCTGTAAGATCAATTTTTCGTTAAATTTGGATAACGATATTGCAATGTCAACATTGCCGTGTCAATGCCCCCTTTGTTGTTTATACACTCGACTATGCCTGACAGGTCAGATTTTTAAAGAGGACGTACCTGAATGGAATCGTTGTATAGTACGAACTAATCCTTAGCAACCGCGTGTCTTACGAGAGAGTATGTTAATTGTTAACTGACAACGATATAAATAGTCCATAGACTGCGCATGTGCACACTTGACAGACTCATACCTCCGAATACACGTGGGGACCGGCTCGAGTAAGTAAGAATATAAACTACAAAGAGTATTTATATAGAAATATATTATGACAATATGTGTGTGTGTGTGTGTGTGTATGAATAACGATTTCCTTGACCAGATTTTATGCTACAATATCCCACTTTTTGTTAGAGATATTTCGTAAGTAGATTCTTCTCTGATTGTAAACCGACATACATGCTACACAGCGTGCGATACGTGTAGTTACCACACATACATATATATATATATATATATGTATATATATATATGTTATACATTATTGTCCTATAGCTACATCTGTTCAGCACAACCTCACTGCTTCTATAACTCAGTGTTTACAGGACGTTTATAGTACATGTATGTTCTCGTAATCAAGTGTATACAAACTATGTTTTAAGATTTAAATTAATCCCACTATAACTTCTTTTGAAATCTCTATAGCTGTCAGATCCTGGATACCCAGTTAGCTGGCGGACTAGTTACAATGTTCACAAGATTGTTGCTATATCTGATCAAATCTCAGTCAGTCTTGCTCGTGCACAGAAAACCTATGTTAAGTTATGAGCTCTAAAAATTGACAAATTGTGGTCAGCTCGTTTTTTTCAAAATGGAGAGTTTATACTGACTGTATGTAATTTTACAAAAATTGGAATAGGAATAACAGACATACAAACACCGTGAATATTTACCCGTAGTACTTTCCATCAGACAAGAAGGAAATTTGAATCAGTATTTTTACATCCATGATTTACGATGTCGGGATATTTTTTTTATGTCAATATATGGTAAGAAGGAGCGAACTTGTTCCATGTACATAACCTTGGTTACGGATTAATCTGTCTCGTTATCATAAACCAGTCATTGTAATGTAGTAGTTATCAAGATGTAGTAGTTATCATGATGTAATAGTTATCAAGATGTAGTAGTTATCAAGATGTAGTAGTTATCATGATGTAATAGTTATCAAGATGTAATAGTTTTCACGATGTAATAGTTATCTATCACGATGTAGAAGTTATCACGATGTTTCAGTGATAGTTAACACGATGTAATAGTTAACACGATGTAATAGTTATCTATCACGATGTAGAAGTTATCACGATGTTTCAGTTATCACGATATATTAGTTATCTATCACGATGTAGAAGTTATCACGATGTTTCAGTTATAACAATGTAATAGTTATAACGATGTAATAGTTAACACGATGTAATAGTTATCTATCACGATGTTTCAGTTATCACGATGTTTCAGTTATGACGATGTAATAGTTGTCACAATGTAATAGTTATCATGATGTAGAAGTTCTAAAGATGTTTCAGTTATAACGATGTAATAGTTATAACGATGTAATAGCTATCATGATGTAATAGTTATCACGATGTAATAGTTATCACGATGTAATAGTTAACACGATGTAATAGTTATCACGATGTATTAGTTAACACGATGTAATAGTTTTCACAATAGAGTTACAGTGACGTAGCATAAATCATGACGTTATAGTTACCGTGCTAGCGGGATGTTCCACTTGTTTGTACATAGTGTATGACACTATAGAATATTACATAAATATTTGATTAATTATCACTGTGGCCATAATAATAACTCAAAATGCACCAAAAACTTCGTGCGCACATCGTGCATACACCGTGCGCACATAGTTCGCACATATACACATTATACAGTATCGTGCGCAATATCACTTTTGTTCTCTGCACCCCTGGAACATGTCATGGCAAAATTGAAGGTTCTATGCCAGACACTTCGTGGAAAGACGAAAAGACTAGTTCTATATCTAGATCCTTTGATGTACATAAAACGAATCTCGGGATCCATACCAGTATATTGTAATGGCTTTGAAGTTGGGTGTCGCTCCTCGCTAATTTTCAGAAGGAACGTGATTGGTCAGTTTTTTTCTCTCGGAACCAATCAAATTACTTCGCTTGTGACTTCAATTTTGACATGAAATTTTCCAGGGGTGAAGAGAGCGAAAGTGATGGTAACCCCTGGGGTATCAAAGAGGACTAGAAGTTAGAAAACCCAGAAGGTAAAACGTCAAGGTGAAATATTGTTTTTAGATACTTGAAAAATTAATCTCGCCTTACCAAGTTGCATGGTTTTTCTTTCAGCTGTGATAAAAACGAATACCTTTCCGTTTTAAATGAAACCACATGTGTGAGAAAGTAGATGTAAGCTATTTAATACCATATATTTGATTACCTTTTCCCATGACTCCGCGGTGACGGAAAATAAAAGATAAACATTGGGTATGGGACATATATCAAATGCGGATAAAAAAATTGTCGGTGTGGAATTAATCACTCCCAGATATGATAAAAATATTTCAGAAATGAATGACTGCAGTTCCATACCCAACTGCATTTCGTAACCATGGGGTATCAGAAGAAAGTATAAAGGTATAGAATGTGACAATTTACAATTTTATGTAATGATTTATTTCGTTTTTGAAACCCTAATTGACCGTTTTACAAATGCAAGTAAACTGGTAATACTTGTCGATGTCATGTATGTAAAAACCAATGTACATCGTGTTTGTATCATAGAGCAAAAACAAAAGAGTTAAGTTGTATCATAACGTCGGATTTCGTTTAGCAGAAACTTCCATTCAGAGGACAAACAGGACAAACCTGTTAACAAACCTTCTCATTTTACACGTATTGATGAGCACAGGCCGACATTATAAAAAAAGTCTTTAATCATGGTCCCTTGTGACGATGCCTGGACTTAAATAATTTTCGCCGCCACAATACGGACGTTTGAAGTCTACAGAAACACATAGCGTAAAGAGAGAACTGTGATTTGAAGGCAACATAACACAAATGTATTCTCCTTATTATTGCTTAGAAGTAACTCAAGCGTTTGTAACACGTTTCTGTAAATTGTTGAGAGTTTGCTCACGAAAATTTACTGAGTAGTACCACATCAACAATAACACATTTTCCCGATCCTTCTCTTTTCCCTTCCTAGGTCTTCTCTAACCCATTCCTTCCCTTGCCTCGCTCCTCGTCCCTCATAAACTCGCCCATCTCTGCCTCCACATATGAAAAAGCAACGACATTGTACATGTAGGAGTAAGGGATTGAATTGTCAGCACACCTACACACCTAATGAGTGGGTATTCCCGTAGATTGACCCATTTACCCGTGAATGGTGTGTATGGGAACCATTATTTACAATTGAATATAACTGAAAATTATAAGAAGTCAAATGCGGTCTTTGACCTTTCAACCTTAAAGCATAAAGTTTGGTAGTACCTATACTTTGCTGTCATGTAAACTCTCTCCGTTTGATATTCAATTATAGCATGTTGATAAGGCAAACCGTGAATTAGGATCAAGTCTTAGTTAGATATTATGTGATAAAATTATGGACTGACCGATATCAAAACAATTGACTAATCGATATCAACATGATATAAATAAAAAAGATGATTGGAAGCAAAACTTTCTGTTTGATTTACCTTAACCTTAACGATATACTTATGTTTTTTATTTCTTGAAAAATACCATAGCTAAGTTAATGAAGTCTGAAAAGGTAGGAGACAATCATTTCCCAGGGGAAGTGGCTTGTGAACTCGAGGTAGAAATTTGATAGCTCCCTATCTAAATCCGATCTCGGGGAAATCTTCAAAATTTGTACATTCTTGCCTGGAAAAAAAATCCAAAATCCTCTGTCTAACTGCTGTCATGGCAGTTTGTTTTGTATGTGCAGGTTCAACATCGTCCGTCAATTTCTTAATTTCATTCAGTCATGGTTAAAGGTTTTCAAACACTCCAAATCTTTGACAACACAGACACATTTTTATTTTTCGAACTCTATAAGGAGTTATCGTGATTGGGGAGGAGTTATTTCCCTTCCTTGAATATCATTTACAAGAGCTGAATCGTCAAATGGGCCGGTACCGCGAGATTCCGCGTTCAAATTACTTAATGCAGCAGTGGAATATGTGGCTGAAAGAAGAATAATAAACCGTTTTGACTTCTACAAATATGAAGTTTGACGGTACACTTTGAATATCGGATCATATACAGAGTTGCCCCAATAACATGTCTAAAATTGCCTTCATTTCAAAAGAGTTCACAATCGCGATAGCCTCTCAGTCCTTACCAGTAGATTACATACTTCAGTTAAACATTGTTTATAATCTCCAAGCAACACCATCATTCCTTAGTTTTACCGACGGACGCGTTGACAGAGGTGAGCTTTTACAAACACTTACCTAATTTATTCACAAAAAAAACCTTCACTATGACTCCGTGAATTGAATACGTCATCACTTTTCTCATTTTCATTTCAGCAAAATCCTACAAGAGCCCCAGAGAAGCAGTTGGCCGACCAAACACCTGATACAACGTGAGTGAATTTTAAACAAGTTTACCCTAGCTGTTCAAAGTCTGGAATATTTGTAAATCATTTTAAAGGAATTAATTCAACTGAAAATGATACAATTTGACAAATACTTTTTTCGATAATGTTATGGTTGTTTAAAGTCGTCACGTTTTAGGATCTAATGTATTTTTATTCTAATTAGTACTCAAATTTCGCAACGAATGTAAAACGAGGAGACTTGGCCTACCGCTGACGACATAATATGAGCGTCTGGAATGTCCTTACAATATATGATACGCTTCACTGACATCAACAATGGTATCAAATTAATATTTGTAGAAGTATTTCAACGTTTAATAGATTAGACTCGCTTCACTTTGTCAAGGAGGATAACTTCAGTTGTTGTTTAGTGAATAACAAAGAGCGATACACTTGCCATATTTCTATTTATCATCATTTACAACGTGATTTCAAATTCATAGCAACTGATGATTTGCTACTTAAAGAACGTTTGGTATGGATCTGACGAATGAGTGTAAGGAACGACAAGTCGTGCTTGAAATTGCCATTGAATATGTACGTTGACATAATCTAACCCAACTGCACTTTGAATATGTGAGCCATTTAGAATGAATATTCTATTTATAGCTACATGGAAATTGCAAAAAAAAAGAATATCTAATTAACCTTGTCGCAACATACTTAATCTCGCCGAATTGTACATGGTCGAGAAGTGATATCTGAAGTCTGGTATGAATTTATCTCGGTGCCCTCCGAGCACAAATCGGGACAAATTAACGACGCTTAGCATTTGGAAGATGACACACCCTTGTTTACTTTTTACTGGCAAACTAGGCTTTGCTAGATGTGCTTTCAACAACGCCGTATTTTTTCATAAAGGTCTCAGTATTATTTTATTATTTATTGAACAATACCTCGTTACGTCATAGCAAAATTCTTTGAGTGTCACATAATTTCTTTCAGAAATCGCTAATGTTTGAAATTTGTGAAAAGTGTATGACGTCACAATAGTTGTGACGAAAGTAAATTATGATGACGTCACGATATTGAGCTTACCCTGTTTTCCCTATCTTATTCCCAGTTCTGTGAAAACCAAGGCTAATACTGCAGACATGCACTTTGACGAGCTGTTACAGATCGTGAATGGCTTGGGCCCCTATCAGAAACTACGTCTCTTCTTAATATGCTTGGTTGGTATTGTGTGTGCGTTTCATGCCATGAATATGGTGTTTGTTGGTGCCAAACCTGACTACCACTGTAAAATTGGTGATATGAATCTTTCTGAAAGTGACGGTTTTGTTAACACAAGTTTAGCACAATGGAAAAAGTATTTAAGGATCAATGAAGATGGATGCGAGATATTCAACCCATCACTGGCGTACAACATGGTCGCTAACGGAACGCTTGTGATCCAAGGATCCAAAGTCACAGGCGAATCTAGTCCACCCTTACAGTCGTGTTCAGAGTGGGAGTACTCACAGGATGTTTACGGACCGACAATGGTGTCTGACGTGAGTTCACATAAGTTTGCAAACAGAACAAAATATTACATAATAAACAAAAGATATCCAGATCTGGTTAATTGATGATCATCAGACCTAAGAACCAGCTAGTTTGAATATGTACATCCAATATCACCCCAAACTTAACATTCCCATTGAAATGAACATTTACATTTCGTCGTATTTTTTACTATGTGCCTTTTTAAACACCGTGTTTCAGCGCTGCCATATTTATTGCGAACATCGAAGTTCGTGTTATGTACGTAACTTAAATTTCCAGATGACTATATTCACTACAAAACAGTATAGCCCATGGGAAATATTGTTCTTATTTTGTTAATTCGCTGCATGAAGTATTTCCCTAAGTCAAGAGTAAATGGTTTTATCGAAAAATAATGTGAAATTTATGATTTCTATGGAAACGAGGTCAACGACAAAGGAAAACTAAAAGTGAGAAAACTGTAAATCAGTCGGCCTGCTACCGTTGTTATATAGACACCATGTCGTCCCTTATCATGTGTGCATGTTTTTTGATAAAGCACGAGACATATTCAGGACTGGTAAGCGACACCTCGTGGAGATTCAGATGTAGTGTTTCAAATTCTGTCAACTGTGATTTGTAAAAATTGAAAAAAACCCGCTCGGGTTTTTAAAGAATCAAAACACAACAAATTTTCGGGATTCGTAGACAAGCGTTGTGTTGTAAATTCTTTGTATAACCAACTTTTAAGCTTGAATTAGATTTGATCATAATTTCAAATCGATGTTTAAAACCAGTAGATTGAAGTCGATATAAAAGGTTTTAGAATTCCGTTTGTGATGTGCTATTGTCTTTTTAGAGTAGATTTTTATCCATCTATTCATATAAATCCCTTTACTCCGGACTCAAAACAGAATAGGACAAAGGTCAAAATAGCATCGGACAAGAGGAAGACACTTCAACAAAATGATAAATTTCTTTTTCAAATATCTATGAATACTTTCAAGAAAGAAAACATGAAAAGTTAAAAAGTTCAGCACAAATATAGGTTTTGAAAAAAGTGAAGGCATGAAATATAGGCACCCTCCTTCTGAAGGAGCTAATTGTACGTACTCTATACGGATCTCTCTCATCCTTGATTGTTTATAAAAAAAAAGAAAGCTTTCAAAATGGGAACGTTGTTTAGAAAATAAACATTTTCAAAATGATAATGTTACTTTCCAACGATTTTGCTTAATAGTATCAAGTTAATAAAATAAAAGACAAATTTTAAACAGGTAGGCAAAAACATCGTCGGGACTGAATTCGGTTATTCTGCCTACCGTGTGAACTGCTAAGATTTAATCAGCTTAATAGAGGTTAAAAAACTATTTCACAAAATAATGAATGTTTCATTTAAAAGTTACTAAAGTACTTCTTGCTTAATAAAGGTTTTGTAAACAAGAAAGAATCACACCATTATTAAACGATAATTGACAGATAGGACAAACACTTTCATTTCAACAAGTTTCGTACAAAACCGTACGATTGTATAGCAGACTACTAAGCCTATGTGAAATAACATATGTTGAACTGAACAGTTTAAATATAGGAATTTCAAGGTAACACTGAATTTACGACGCTTTATATAACGTGGCTGATTTAGCCTTTCGTCGATTTTTAACGATCCAATAGTTAGTTTGACCTATTTTCGACCATGCTATTAATTTTCTTAAACCGATATAAAGATTTCAATCATTGCGTGTATTCGAGGGTCAATAAGGGTCCCATTTCGTCGTTACAATGGGCAATGCGCGAACTCACAGAACGCTCTGATAATATTTCAATCTCTTTTTATTTTCCTTCATTCCTTCATTCACATTCTAATCGAAACGATTGTTATATCAATAAACCAAGGAATCTAAAAACTTGTCAAATACAAAAGTAATAAAATACAAACCAATTTTACTCATTCATCTGATACTAACACTTTTAGTGTATAATTACTCGCATAATTGATTCTATAGTACTTACGATTACATTGCAAATTAAATTATCTGGACATTGATTAAAAAAAATATCTACCACAAAGTGCCAAGGCAAACATTCCGATAATATCCCTGAAATATCTCTAATGCCTCAAGAACTGGTTTGAGCCCAATCCCCTTGCTCATATACAATTGCTCATTGACAATTTTCCCGAATGCATTAAACACACAGTATACTCAGGTGGTTCAAAGATGAAAGTATGATGTAGTTTAAAAAAAGTCGTACCAAAACTATAAGAATACCTTACAAAAACAAGTGCGAAGAACTCATTATGTCAACAAAGCGTGTACACATCTTACACAGTTCAAGTATCAATATATACTTTAATGTACATACACGTCAACTCCACGAAACATATTTTTCCAGACGATAATGGAATCTATTTCCCGCGACCATCATTCACAACACTTAAACACTTCCTCATGGAAGTTTTAACTTTTGTTTCCCACTCCCTCATACATAGTTCCGTAATCACTGTGAAGGCGTAACTTCACCAAACGAATGTCAGCAGACCATTAGTGAAGCTGATGCTATCGAATTTGGTGCGTTTTTTTAAAAAGAAATGTTTCTAAAACAACCATTGAAGTATCTGTCATGCAGTTTTGTTTTACAATGTTAACTATTTTAAAACACCTGAATGTCACTCATCATTTTTATTGTTCCAACGTTACTCAAGTCCGCCGCTCCAGCGGAAATACCCGCAAAGCAGTCACAACAACACGATGCCAATTTTAATCTGACAATCACGTCACAGCATTTTTAATGTCAGTCTCATTCATCTGCTGTAAATCAAACTATGTTCTCATTTCCGATTCTTGATAGACGTATCTTTTATCGCGAAGAATGATTCAGTTATTGATCGAAACAATGTGACTGAGTTATTTGTGCCAAGAAATTACACGTTTTTCTTCATAATCCCCTCTCATTTCCAACTTAACATATGTACTGTTCTTTTGCAGTTTGACCTGGTGTGTAGTCAGGCGTGGCTCCGGAGTACCTCAAAGACATTCTACTTCCTTGGGCGTCTGTTGGGAGCTGTCATATTCGGACAACTCTCGGATATGTACGTTTTCATAACGCTACAAATTATTCATTACTGTAAAAACTAACTATGTTGTATAACTAGTATCAAAGGATTAGTTGTCTGTTTTATTGCTTGCATGGACTGATAGAGGGAAATGAAGATTGTATAATAGACATACATTTGTAAATTTCGAGTCAAATAAAAAACTAAACTGCATTATACAGCAATATCGTCCTTCCAGAACTCGACAATTATGTTCAAGGGTCTAAATTTGAAACCTACGAGGCAACTGAAGAAAATCAAACTAAACGGAAAAAAGCCCTTACAAATTAATACATGAATTCCTTTGCAGTATCTTGCTAACTGGAATAAAAACTTCGTCGGGAAATGAAGTAATTGGATCAAAGCGAACCGGGACAGTATTATGCTATGAAGGTCCATATCTTTAGTAAAAACATACTATTTATACACAGCATCACGGTAATTTCAGATTCGGGAGGAAGCCGATGTTCTTTTTCGGTCTGCTGTTCCTTCTCATAGCTGGATGTGTTGCAGCTGTAGCGCCATCTATGGCGGTCTTCATTCCATTTTATATCCTGCAGGGGGCGGCACAGACCGGCCTCTTCTTAGTGGCGTACACCATGTGTAAGTAAGATAGAATATTTAACTAGCAATGTTTAATTCATTTCGTTAATAGTGTGTGAACCGAACGTTTAAAGACCGTTTTTAAATGCAATATTGATTTAACTAAGAAAGAAAAAAAACTTATCATATTTGTATATTGCACTTTCAAAACAAGATTCACCGGCGACTGTGATAATTTCCTCTCGATTCATTTACCAAACCTGGATCATGAGAATAGCTTCGCTTCAAATAACTGTTGATATGCTTGAAAAGAGATTTGGTGTGATATTGTACTATGGCATGTAATCCAGTGTAAATTCTTTGATGGTTTCAAAATACCAATTAATGGCGGGGGTTCATAATTCAGCATTTTCACTGTAACTTTAAACAGGTACAGAACTGTTGGCACCGCAACACCAACTGATGGAGCGGTATACGATTCATAATTTTTACTATGTTTTTAAACAGGTACTGAAGTAATGGCACCACAATACCGACTGGTAGTGGGGTTTAGGATTCAGAATTTTCTCTATTGTGTTTTAAACAGGTACAGAACTAGTGGCACCACAATACCGACTGATGGCAGGGTTTATGATCCAGAGTTTTTACAGCGTGGGATACATGGCCCTATCCCTGATGGCTTACTTTATCCGACATTGGCGCTACATCGAAGTTGCTATTACCGTTCCTGTGGTCCTTTTTGCAGCTTACTGGTGGTATGAATTGTTTGTCATAAACATAGACATTTGCCGAGATTTTTATTCGAAAGCCGTAACGTACGGGTCCTTGATCTCCGAGCAACTGTTTATTGATAATGTACAGTTGTCCTGATCAAATGCTATTTTGTGTAATTGCTAACAACCTGTACTGAAACATTTTTGAGTACTGGTTTCTGTAATACGATGTCCTTGCACATGCTTGAATTGATTGAGATGTTAAAACGCTACAAACTTTACCAGGAACACCAAAACTGCTTTTGCAACTGAGTAAGAAAAGTCAGTCTGATACACAGCACCATACCTCAGTTGTGCTTACTTTTTCAGGCTTTTGCCAGAATCTGTTCGCTGGTTATTGTCGAAAAATAGGATGGAGGAGGCCAAGACGATAATGAGAAAAGTAGCCAAGACTAATAAGGTAGTTCTAACGGACGCTATGATGGAAAATCTAACCGATAAGAAAGACCAATCAGAAGTGACCGAAAGTCGGAAATACACTTTTATTGACCTACTACGACCATTACCAATGTTTGTACTCTCTATCAACGTCTGGTTTAATTGGTAAGTCTTATTTTTAGAATATTTTCAAAATATATTTTCAAATAACAACTTTAAAGTTTTGCTTTGCATAATATTTCATGTTTTCACATGTTCGATTTCCATTTCATCACATAACTATGAGAAGAAAGAAACATGCTACCTGAAAAAACACAATAATATCGAACTAAATGATTCCTCTGCCTTAACTGTGACAGGCTTATTAACGCTATGGTATATTATGGACTGTCTCTCGGCACGGATAATCTTGGGGGTGATCCCTACATCAACTTCTGCATCGCTGGGGCCGTGGAGATCCCTGCATACGCCCTTTGTATTGTCTTCCTGAACAAACTTGGGAGACGCATGCCACTGTGTGGCACCATGATCTTAGGCGGAATATCGTGTATCATATCTGGATTAATCCCTAACGGTAAGTTTACGTTTCAGACCAAAGAGTTGTCACAGAAACTTTCGATACAAGAAGAGTCACTCAATTGATTCCCGCATAAAGCACCTGTAGCTATCACTTGATTTGTGTTGATTAAAAAAAATTGAATAATCCTCCCAAATGATGTAAATTCTCTTTCTATTTGTATAGTTTTGATGTAATAATCCGATTATGTTTTCAGACATGGTAGCAGTAAAGGTTACCTTCGCAATGTTAGGAAAGTTCGGAATCACAGCATCATACGGAATAATATACTTAATGGCAGCCGAGGTGTTCCCAACAGTTGTAAGGTAGGTTTTGAACTAGTATACTATATACACAAGGGGACGGAGCTGTAAAGGGATTAATATGGTGATAACATGTGTCTATTAACCTGTATATCTGCCTATCTAACTATTATTAAATGATGTTTGACTTTAAAGTTATGTATTCACTGGTTAGGCACATACCATCATTCGTTGTATTTTGCTTATTGTGTATCATCTGTCATCGCTTTTTTTTACCTCAGAAATGCCGGTATGGGTGTATCGTCCATGTGTGCTCGTATTGGGGGCATGTTAGCTCCCCAGATGCTCGAGTTAAAACATGTCTGGGGCCCTCTTCCTCTTATTCTATTTGGCGGTCTGTCAGTTCTGGCTGGCACGCTCGCTTTACTTCTTCCTGAGACTGCAGGAAAACCCCTCCCCCAAACTATAGAGGATTGTCTAAACAACAAATCAAAGTAAGTGCTCTTCCTATACAATAGGTAGGATTTTAAAAATCGATCCAACATATAGGTCCTAAACGTTAATTTTGCTAATCTAGCTGTTCTTTAAAATCTGCTGTCGAGATTCAAAGTTGAACTGAGAACTGTTTCTATTCAAATTTTGTATTGAATGTAAAATGAAAGTTGAGTATTGATATTTAATGATAATACTCTGATGATAATAAAAGTTGAATATTGCATTTTTAGATACATTTCGAAAATAAACTAGATATATTTTCTTTATTTCATAGGAAAGTTACCAAAGACGTCGAAACTAGCGAGAAGATCAGTCTACAAGAAAACCAATAGTTTTTAAAATTATTAAAATTAATATTACTGTCACAATCTTGATTTTTTAATTTTCGAAGGTTCTTTGGAAGACGCCTTGATGTCCTTTGTAAAACATATTGATGTTTTCCAAGCACATACTAGATTTTGAAGGAGACATTTTTTTCCACGGCTTCTACCCGATTAAACATTTTTGACCTATGTTTAATGATATAACAATGTAGTAAACTCTGAGGTTCACGGATATTGTTTTAAAAACAAGATAAATAAATTCAATGATGAGAAATTAATTAAAAAAAGAAATATCACGAAATTGTAAATAACTTGTTTAAGGTTTATCAAGATTTAGACCGGGAATTCTTTTTAAAATGTTTCCGAAATTTATTTTCTTTTATCAAACGATAAATTACCAAAATTTGTGATGTATCTTGTTGTCCCTGTATGATCACACAACCTTTTTCATTCCTACCTTGTGTCTCCATTTTTTCGAAGATTTTACTTTCTACTTTATGTTATGTTTTTATAGTAGTTCATATGTATTATTCTTTCGTGAGATGAAAGCTCAATTTAGGTTTCATTTACAACTGTGTAAATTATTCAGAATCAATATTTAAAAATAATGAAAAAAACTCGCCTTTGTCAATAAAAAAGGGTGGTCGGTTGGCCCAGTGTTAACGCACTGGCCACGTGGGTTTTCCCCAGGTACTCCAGTTTCTCCAACTTAATATAAGTTGGAAAGTCTTGTCTCGTAATTGTTATTAAATAAAGTTTGCTTTAGTCAGTTTAATGTAACGTTTTGTGATTTCTAATGATAATGAACGTTTGAATATTAACTATGATAAACAACAATTTTTTAAGGAGTCGTCATTCCATACCTGCAATGAAAGAACATATAAGACATCTAAATCACGTCAAACATTTCATCGCCATTACTTCATATCTTAAATATCGCGGAAATTGACCCAAAAGTACCCGATATTATCGATTAATATCAGGGTCTCGAACGAAAACAATTTCATTTGAACAACCAACACAAACTTTAACCATATAATCAAATGAGTCTTACAGATTCAACACCCTGTGTTGTGATGATTAATTCACATTAGGGAAATCCAAATAACATCTCCTGTTAGTAAGTGTATATGATGGAAATTGATGATGAATTTCTGGTCGGTATCTACAAGGCAGTATATATATAGATAAATGAAATTAAAGGACTTAGTGACTTGTTTTAATTAGCTCTTCGATGTTAAGAGAAGGACACACTTAAAATACACATATCGCAGAAGGTATCAAACACGTTTCTAAGGTCACCAATAAGTCCTGTTAAAATGTGCGATATGTACCATGGTTTCAAGGATATTTGATGATGAAACTATTTTTAAAGAAGAATTTATACGAATATTTAATTATGTTTTTACCACTATGATCTTGTGAATACCCTACATGTGCTTTTGAAAGGAACATATCTACCTTTCAGAATATAAGTCTGTTTTGTCGGTTACATTAACCCATTTTACCGAGTCAGAAATTCAACGACATGAATATACGTATTGTTTTGCATAATAGCTATAAACATGTGCAGATGTTGTGAATTGTATTTTGTTTGTTTATGATAACTTTGACAGGGTCATTAAGTATTACGCCATATTACACAAGAGATTATCATTGTAATATCAGAGGTTTCAGTTAATATTGATTTTCAGTGTTATTATTCTGATAAGATATTCTGTTAGATTTTACGCTTTGAAGTGTGAAAACCTATTTGATAAAAGATAAGATAGCACCTGTGAAGAAAAAAAATGGGAAAATATCAGCAGGATTTGATTTAATTACTGTTTACAACTTGAAAACGTGAGGTGGAATTGCACGTGCTTTCTGAATGTAACGCGTTTTCCAATTTTCTATGATGTTCTGAAAAGGGGAAATGATAATACAGCAGAGTTAACAATTAATCAACCTTAATCTGTTAATGAAATTATTGAGAATTGCTTAGCTGATCAAGGGTATGCTATAAGGTATTCACGGAATAATCTTTTCATTATTAGATTGTTTTGAAAATATAAGCATCGTACTTAATGGGATAAGAAACGAATTAAATATCTAGTCAATAATATGATATAGATGTGATAATCTTAAGTAAATCTTACACATCTTTTATTTCAATGCCTGATATATTACAAGACTTCTACTGATTTTGTTATAAGAACTTATATTATAAAGACACCGTAAGATTTTACGATTTAGTCTTCACAGAGTACTGATGTGATGAATGTAATATGGTACATCAGGTGAACCAATCAATTCGTTATAACATATTCTCGATGAGTAGTTAATTATAGAAATTGTAAGATATTGAAATCATATTAAATGGGACCGGGCATGTGTAGAGGAGGTCATAAAACATTAGTATAACAAGCAGAGTGAATAGGATACACTCTTAGTATATCGCATCCCCAAACCGTACAAAGAGTCAAAGTAATAATACAAAAGGTGTCGTGTCATTGGTAGATGTTATTAGTATCATTATTATTCACAAACTGATCAAATTCCTTTAATATTTAAAGGCAATGGATGCTTTCCGAAGCGAATATTGAAATGCTTGTCATATACATGGAACATACCCTACATGTACAGTATGTGTTATTCCAAACTTTTATATCTTAATGCTCTGAAATATTGATATCTGTTTTCCCACATGTTAATTAATATTGAAGATTGTAATCAGAATCTGCTGTAATAAAGAGTGTAATGAAACAGATTGTTTTCTTCTCTGAAGAGGATGGCGTGTTCTCGATGATATGCAGTGCGTTATCTCCATTGTCATGATAATACACAGGGTGATAACCCTATCTTTGGTATTGAGAGAAGTATGCTTTGTGTAGGCCACTATGGCGTATTTTGTTTCATAGTCTTTGTTAACGGCATCATCTCGTGTTCCATAGAGGACACTTTAAGGACATAGTACAAACTGATAGCAAAGGACACATCAAGGAGTCAAACCATATACATCGAAAGTATTATAAGGGAAAGACCGAATCTTAGTTATAACGTTATAATCATAACGATAAAACGCATCAAAAGTATGATAAAACAACGAAAAGTACCAACATGTCAACATAATTTTCTTTCATATATTTCATAAAGAGGCAGTTGTGGATTTGCAATTAGGAAAGATATACTGTAGCCTTGCAAGAAGAATAGAGTTCAGTACATGGTCTCTTAATTATACATATACAAAATGCTACACACCCATCTTATCTTTTAAGGGACGTCTCCTTTCTATAAGTGTTTTCTTCTCACGTTTATCTCTAGCCATCTGATGTGAAATGTTGTTTGCCTCAATGACCACTAGAATACAAAATAACAGAAACGGATACAGACAGACCATTAATGCACAACAAGATACAGAAAACAAAATCAGTTCAGCCCAGTGCAGTCATATAAGACGTAGTTTGACTTTTCTCACGTATTAGGTTGCCTCAGGGCGAATAACAGGTGAACAGCATGGCACTACACATTCAGTGAAACGTCACTCCCTCTGTAAAATACATTAAAATAATAATATATATTATATATTATGATAATATTACACAACACATATTATGTACACAAATATTACACAACACATATTGTATGCACAAATATCATACAAGACATACTGTGTGCACTACTTAATTTGCACGTGAAACACTGGTTACCGTAAGTGATAGTACGGTAACACCATCCGGATTCTGACATCAGTAATCGTAACAGCTGATTGAGGATGACAATTTCCTGTAAATACTGAGAAGTCTTTATGCCCTTTAGGCGAAATCATGATTTTATACTGTAGGTTATATCGAACTGATAACTAATGTAATGCATACTTTCGCGTACGGGTAATTAGACGTGCTGTATTTGTTCTGGGTTATTTTTAAGCGTGTAATAAGATTTTACAAAAGACACACAAGTTAATAGGACCTTTTAATACAATTTAGAAATAAGAATAATGAATAAAGTAAAGACTTGTATCTGATATATCACAGTGTTATGCTGAACAATATGTAACAAGTAAATGCACGGAAGTTATTGACGTCGCTGTGGTGATACACGCAGTGTTCCTGGTCTCATGTAGTAACATGATTTTAGCTGCTTCTTTGTGTTCAGTGAACTGTCGACGTTCACCCCATAGTTTGTGCAATTATCTGCAAATGGCACGTGGGGGAAACGATAACAAGTTTTGTCTTTTCCCGATTTAGCTTGAGGAATTTTGAGTTAATTTAGATATTTTTCTTGAATTTCTTATTTAAAAATAGTAACGTAAAATAAAAACACTAAATGAGAAAAACCATCAACCATTAAACACAAATATCAAATTTCAAATGTATGTTATAGAAGAAGAACGATTTCCTAACGGAGACATGTTTATGTTCTTATCCTCCAAAATGTCAACTCTTCCATGAGTGACAACATAGGAGGTTTTTCGTTCGACACGTGCATCTTTAAGAAATCGATGTGGTTCCTATACACGCGCCGGAAGGTGATTCATAGTGAGACCAGTATACAACACGTGAGTACTGTGTTTGGAAAAGAATCAGAGGTCACGCTGTAGATATACGATTTAATGACGCCCTCTCTGGAATGTAATCGTAGACATTCTTCGGTAAGTGATTATAATACACAAATTTGTTAAATGGGAGGTGAAATAAGAGTTATCTACCTTCACAATGGGTCTGCATGGAAAAGATTAGTTTTTCCGATCGATATATTATAATTAGCTTGGATTCATTGTCAGACGTTTACAAAGCAGCGAAGGGCCTGTATCAGTTTTTAGTGAGGAATATCATATCCTTTGGTGACTCTTAATGTAATCCTTTAATGTTTCAGTGATAAATTCCCACATATATAATACATAAACAATATTTAGACACAAAGAGCTTTTTGTTTACAAAATAACATTTATAAATTGCTAAGAACATTCAGTGTTATATTCGTTTTGAAAGGGCATACAATATAACTGATGGTTTTAGGCAAACTAAATATATTTGTTTAAAATGGAAGGAAAAAAGGGAAGAAAAGAAGCATGTTATTATTGAATTACCAGGATAAATAATCACATCAAAATTTCTGTAAACTTCATCTGAAATAGAGCTTAGCACAGGACATATGGTTTGTATTTATTACCGATAGCTAATAAGTAAATACGTGGTCTGTACTCTATGACGTAATAATTGTGATAAAAAAGTGAGTACCCAGTGTTGTAGTGCACAATGATTTAACAGATAAAAACACAGTGAGCTTTTCTTACCTTTTTAATGATTTGATGACTGTGCATCTATGACATGGCGTGATATGACATTCGTTCGATATTAACGAGAGTAAGTAGTATGTAATTAATATCGTTATCATTACACCGCAGTATCACAGTGAATTATATATAATATTGGAAATTAATATAAGAAGATTTTCATGTAATATTGTCGGTAAACGCACTCGTACTAAGCCGGACCTTATCACGCCATTCCCCCTAATAAAGCGGATGTGTGTACAGGTGTGCATAGGGAGTGTTTGATCAGGAGCTGGATAATATTTGTGTAAATGTGTGAAGTTAGTATTTATTCTATTTTCTCTCATCTGGATTATATGGTATGTTACTTCACACATCTCTGCTGAATACACAGTCATTGCCATTTTATCAACTTCATAATTAAGTACTTCTTAATTATTCTGACCACGTGTATTATATGAAAGGGTTTTGGTCGCCATACTACACACAACACTGCACTGAATGACATAATGTACTGTTAACATAGTCCACTAAATATGTCCTCATACACTCTGGACTTTGTCCTTTGTTTATTTCTGCTCTTCATCCTCATTCATACACCATAAATAAAACACAGTCATGCCTATGTTATCTGCATAGAATAATGAACTACTTCTAATTGATTCTTTTCAAGTGTCTGGTAACTTTTATAATATCATTTATTTTGACTTTGCTTTAACAATCTAATTATAGAGCATTTTCTCCATTATATTACAAAGTTCTGACAATGTATTGAGACTTGATATGGATAACAAATTAGCTTGCTCTTATCCACATTTCTTAGTACATAAATGAAAAAGATAGTAATTAACGTGAATTAACTGGACACGTCAGTTTGAGATAATAACCATACGTCAAATCTATTCTGTTCAAGGATTAGATATGCACAGAACAATGACAATATAATAATAAATTACCTATCATATAGAAACAGATCAATGATTAATACGTATGTTAGCCTTTGTATTGTAATTAAATGCTGACATCTGTCTTTGCTGACATGCTGATGGTAATTTTATGTTTCATGGACCTTCACCGTTCTCATTCAATAATCACCTCTTTCAAGTCGGTTGACCCATGGTAATTAATTGTTTGCGCACTGGGTCTTTAACACGATATGGGGTGATTTTCAATGTTTATCTCCATAAAGTGCCCTAACGAGAAGACAATGTTCATTTCCTCCTTAACGGGCCCGTGTCGGACACTATTTAAATCGAGCAGTCAACTGTTTTGTTTGTTTCGGTCTTATGTTATCTGTTCGGTATTATCTACCTGACCCACCACCCGCAACACACTGGTGTTGTTGTCGCTTAGCATAAGTATGTCCTTCATGTAGCTAACGGGAGATAATAGCACTCAGACCTCTAGACCTCCGTCCGTAACGATTCAACAGCTTAATGGGAGTAGGCGTGATTTCTATGTTTATCACGCGCTTATTATTTTATAGTGATATCTTAGAAAAAACTCATTTGTGTCACCTGTATACAAACAACGTAGGTTTCAACAGGACAATAGTCATCACGTGGTGCATGATACTAATTAATCTTAAAGTACAACTTTTCTACACTTGATCACACTATCGACAGTTACCTTTCATCGTGTTGAAAAAAAAATAAAGAAAGAAAATTCTTTCGGAAGAAAAACCATCGATTTTCGGGTTTTGTATGTGTTGGCTATTAAGATATTCAAATATGACCTATCTTAATTCATGGCCATAGAAATGAATTCCACATCTTTTCTATAATTATAATTGTTATAATTGTCATGATTATCAACATCTTATACGTAATATTTTGCTATCAAATGACACACTTCTGACGTGGGTCTCAATGTTGTGATAGAGATTTATTTCTTATAATCTAACGACAAATTCAGCAAAATAAGTTTTGATATCACTAAACTGACAATGCTTTCAGCTTTAAAGAACTTTGACCGTTTTTTATTCAAGAGATAGCGTCAGTCAACGTGGCCACCAGTATTCGGATTCCGAGTGGAAACATAACCAGCAGCTATGCATTTTGATGATTTGTTGGTAATTATTGGCGGTTTCGGACGTTACCAAAAGGTGCGTTTGTTTCTGATATGTTTGGTGGGAATTTTGTGTGCATTTCATGCAATGAATATGGTGTTCGTTGGGGCGAAACCCGATTATCATTGTAAAATTGGTGAAACAAACCTTTCAAGAAAGCAGTTCGAAAATACAACACATCGAGATTGGGATATATTTCTGCGGAGTGCAGGAAAAGGATGTTCAATCTATAGTCAATCACAAGCATACGATTTAATAACGAACGGAAATATCACCATCGATGGATCAACAGTTACAGGCGATTCCGGTCTGTCCACTGAGTCATGCACGGAATGGGAGTATTCTCAGGAGGTGTATGGCCCGACAATTGTATCTGAAGTAAGTATAATATTATTATCTGACATAATGTATTAGTATTACCAATATCATTTTTCATTTCCAAAAACAAATAAAATGATTTGAAAGTTAGGATAATATAAGCAAATAAATAATAAATGAAGAATTAATGAAATATATACTAGTGATCACGTACATTGTTCATCGGTGTAAGCATTTATGTACCTTTAAAATGTAAAATTCAACCACATATGTGCATGATTTTTGCTCGTAGTTTGACCTAGTATGCAGTCAGGCCTGGTTACGGAGTACAGCGAAGACTCTCTACTTCTTTGGTCGGGTCGTCGGTTCTGTTGTATTTGGACAACTCTCAGATATGTACGTTATATTAATTAAAACGTCATCATAATCTCATTCACCGACAATCACTAATTTAAAGATAATTTTTGTGTTAATATTTTGATGTGTTCTAACAAGTACTGTTTTCTTTTGCAGATTTGGTAGGAAACCAATGTTCCTAACCGGTCTTTTGACTCTACTGATTGCAGGATGTGTAGCATCGGCAGCGCCATCTATGGCTGTTTTTATTCCATTTTATATCCTGCAGGGGGCAGCACAAACGGGATTGTATTTAGTCGCGTTTACAATGTGTATGTAAGCTTGCTAATTTATTGTATACATGTGACGTTTACTATAGAGAACTAATGCAATTGATGTTTTTTTGCCATGATATTTACTTAAATAACATTTTGATTTTAAAGTGATAGTCCGTTTAAGAACTCTACCATGTGACATTTCAAAGTATTGGTAGCATCAAAATATCTTTCCCGTGGCGAGTTCGGACAAAATAAAATGATAAAAATACCTATGGCCGTTTACACGACATTCAGTCCAAGACGCATCAACTGCAAAACAGAATTTTTTTTTCGATGGTTTAGATAGAACACATACTACATATGCATGAAAAGTCACCTGTAGATACAAATAAGCATCGAATCCACAATATTAGTTTGCAATGCATTATGCACGTGCACGTTCATAATTTAAAAAAATATTCTTTGCTAGATCTATGTAGAATGTCTGCTCTGCAAATTTGTGTCGGATTTAGCCGTACGATTTCCATTAGTAGACAAGTAGATACATAAGACTTATCAGGTAGCTGTGCTATTTACAGACTTTAGATAGGAGAAGATAGCCAAAGTCACCCACTAGATTACAATGACTTGTCAGCTTCAAAGGACGTTGTATATGTCAGACAGTATGTCTGTGTTTCATCCAATCGCCAACCAATAACATTGATCAATACAAACTTCACGCACCAGTCTGCCTACGAAACAACTGACAGATTAAACCACTCTTTGAACCAAAATACATAACACAGCAAAAACATAGAGCTTACAATGAATATCTTATGCAAAATACTGTTATACTATTTAAATTCTAAATAATGTTCTAAAATACGTATAAATATAATAGCCTAATTAGTGTGGCGTTCCATGAAGCTATATGGACTTACTCAGCATCCATATTCTAAAGGGTGATGCTGTTTGCACAAAGACATATAATGCAATCGATGCCTTTAACCGTTAATAGATTATTTTTAACAACGATAGCATGGAGAATGTGAGAATAATATCCCTTCTTACCTGTATCATTTCGATTTAATTTTCAAATTTATGTACTTCAAGTAAAAACCTGGTGACTCCATAGTTGTTGACGAGGTGTATGATTCAGAGATTTTACTGCGGTTTTAAACAGGTACAGAACTGGTGGCTCCACAATATCGGCTGATGGCAGGGTTTATGATACAGGGTTTCTATAGTATTGGGTACATGACGCTTTCCCTGCTGGCCTATTTCATCCGACACTGGCGCTACATAGAGTTGGTTATAACACTTCCGGTGGTGTTGTTCTCCGTTTACTTATGGTATACTTTGTCGAAATCTGATAATCTTATTCCTAAAATAAAGGAACGAAAAGTTTAATTCCAGATATAACTATAATAGAAAAGAAACCTTTATCTCGGTATTTTAAAATGTCTTCACTATATTGATAATTAACATTAATACATCCTTAAAGATAACAGATATAGTTTTTTTTTTTAATTTGACACAACAATTGTGTAGTTGATTAAACATAATGGAACTGAGCACTACATATTATATATATTCATATATACATATTTTGGTAGACTCTGCTTTAACAATTACCATATATACTTTACAGCCATGTATATATTTTTTCATGAACTATAAAAAATTACCGCGACACTGTTTCAGCGTTCTTCCAGAATCCGTGCGATGGTTGCTGACTAAAAACAAGCTAGAAGAAGCTAAGACCATAATAAAGAATGTTGCCAAGATGAACAATGTAGAGATCACAGACACAATGTTGGAGGATATCAATGACAGCAAGGAGCAGGCGAAAGTGACAGATGGCAGGAAGTACACTTTTATCGATCTGTTTCGACCATTAGCAATGTTGGCTATTTCTTTGAACGTTTGGTTCAATTGGTAAGTCTGATCAATTTAATGTAATTGTCTGTCAAAAAATGAACTTCATGCAGAAGTTATATGTCGTCCACATAATTAAATTTGAATATAAAATCGATTCTTGTTTCAAGGTAATCCCGAGTGGTATTGCCATGTCAGTTAAGAAGCCATTATTTCTAAGCGTTTCAAAATCACCCTATCAAATTTATCTTAGAAATTGTCGTAGAAATTGTTTTCTTTTCGACGACAAGCCGCAGTTTCTTTCATTTGTCCTTTTTAACATACAAAGTGTGCCAGGCGCCATGTAAAAGGATGCTGTTCACTTTGATTTCTTTTTTACAATAATTCTATGATATTGCATCAGATTTTATCTTAAAATTAGGCAAATCATATATCAACCTTCTCCGTGCGAATTTGGTCCACTTAATTCACTGAATGCAGTTTTATCAATCATTTCGGTGATAGTAATATCTATGTTTTCCTACACAATGTTTTCAAATAGAATTGGTTTTAATCACAATCGTGACATCTTTGAATACATGTTCTGAATATGAAAGTATAAATACTATTTTGGTTGAATAATTGATTTCAAAATATTACTCTAAGGCTGTTAAATAGTGAACAGATAATCCCAAAGTCCCAGACTGATATTTCATAATCTTTTAAATGTATCTTTTATATAGAATATCTGATAAAGGTTGAGTTTCTTTTCAGGTTTGTCAATGCTATGGTGTACTATGGTCTCTCCCTTGGTACGGGTAATCTAGGAGGGGACCCTTATATCAATTTCTGTATAGCTGGGGCTGTGGAAATCCCTGCCTACATCCTCTGTGTCCTCTTTCTAAATAAACTCGGTAGGCGTTGGCCTTTATGTGGAACCATGGTGGTTGGAGGCATAGCATGTATAATATCCGGATTATTGCCAAATGGTATGGTTAAATGATTGATGTTCGATTCTCACTCTTATGCTATTCAACAGGAGCGATGTATATACTTTGTAGTTTCCTAATGAAATGGTTGAATGAATTGGATTTAAAGCAGACATATCAAGTTTACTATTTTACAGACAAGCTAGTATTGAAAATGTTGTCTTTTCTCTTAAACTGATATTTTAAGTGACGTTACAATTGTACCTCCTTTTTCATTAGATATGCTTGCTGTCAGGATCACATTTGCAATGATTGGTAAATTTGGAATTACTGCATCTTACGCCATCATCTACCTGATGACAGCTGAAGTGTTCCCTACGGTGTTAAGGTAATGCTAGTTTATTGAGAATGTTTTATAATACTTTCTTCTTATGTAAACATGTTTATCTTGATTTTCAACTACAAGTACACTCATCAGGTAAAATCCAAACACCAAAATACGGCAATTTCATCAACAAGTCATTTACATAGTTATACATGAATTTTGAAAGTTTTATCCATATATCCAAACCACCAACCTCATAAAAAATTTAATTACTGTGTTGATGTGTTTATTTATTGAAAGACTATGGCATTATATTTCTAAATCAAATTGTTCTGCAGAAATGCTGCTATGGGTGTCTCTTCAATGACCGCCAAAGCTGGTGGAATGCTGGCACCCGTTATGCTCGAACTGCGAATGGTATGGATTCCCCTGCCCCTCATACTGTTTGGAGGGTTATCTATACTGGCTGGAGGCCTTGCACTAATTCTACCAGAAACTGCAGGAAAACCACTTCCTCAGACAGTTGAAGAGTGTTTAAGTAACAAATCAAGGTAAGAAAATTTTGAATTAATTTTCAGAAAAATAATATACTTAATCCTCATTACCATATTGAATCACTATCTGCAGTCAGTGCTATGTCCGGGACATAAATCAGTGTCGGCAAATCTATTGTTTATTTCTAAAGGTTAGTCATCAAATACATGACGAGAGAATTTTCTGTTATCCCTTGACGAAGAACACAAATGTCCCATACAACATTTTAAAAAATAACCTCTGATTATGAATAAAGGAATCTCGATCCAGAAACTCTTTGTTTTCTCTTCAATATTCAGGAAATTGGTAAAAGAGAAAGGTGATTCTAAGCCGATTGACGATGGTAAAAATGCAGTATGTTAGTTACCTGACGCACGGGATCTTCAATATAGGAACATTTTTAGGAGAATAAATCTATAAATAGTACAAATGAATGTTATTCTGGTCGATGGTGTCGTATTCAGGTCATCGGGTGTGACAGGTTTGGAATTAAAACAAACGAGAAAGTATCTGCAACCTGAACCGGTGCGAGCAGGTAAAGATGTGCTGTAGCATTTCACTCTAAACTGTTGGATATTCATTCTAGTATTTTTGTATACTACTTCAGTGTTCATCTTCCTACATTTGTATGTTTCTACTTTACACTGTGAATTCACAATAGAAGCCATTTTATGATAAAAAGAATGAAATGAACTTGTAATTGCCTGTAATTCTTTAAATAGTTAATAAACTAATATTTAATTAGCAAAAATGGTTAAATAAAACATGATTTTAATGAATGAATGATTCTTAAATTAGAATGAAACACAAAGCGGACATAGTATTGCTTTGTTCTTTCCATGAGTTGATTTACTTACACAATGGTTCTGTAACAGTTTCAGATCTTTATTATCATAATACACATTTCAACATTAAAGTGCATATCAGCTGGTTATTTGCATAATACCTCGTTTATATTCATCAAAGTCTCTTTTTACAGAAACAATATTTTCACTATATTTGAATTTGTATAAAGATTCTTTTTATAACAAACAGGATGTAAGATATAATTTCCGATACAGGGTCGTCTTATTTCATATAATTTTCGTTCGTGTATGCACAATTTCGTTAATTTACAACTACAGAAAAGGACAGTAATTCCTTAATGATTATAAAAACACTTATTTTGCTATGCATGTGCTGCATACAGTTAACTTTATGCATCATGTACAGTGCTGCAACATGGTTTATGACTTTGCCGAGATAAAACAAAGCGGGTAATTTAATTTAATGCTATTCTATATCAATGCTATATTGAAGGGATTATACATATTTGAAGTTCATGTCAACTTCAAGACGGTCAAGATTATTTTGATGGATTCACACCAAGGAAGGGAAATCCACAATGACACCATTATGTTGTTTTTGTTAAGATTCTGACTTCCATACAATAATTTTTCTACACTTGGATAACAAAATTACGAATGGATTTAGGCGAACATAGATATGTTACGTTAATCCACACGGTACAAAAGTGGTATAAACCAAACGTCAACATAATTGGCTACTGCTCATAACAAGCAATTTCATTTAAATTACCGAAACTAAGAATCAGTGTTTCCTTCCTTGCAGTAGCGTAGTCTTTAAACAATTGTGAATGATCTGATCAAATATTGTAAAAATTCGGAGTTTTACCGTCATTTGTTGTATTGATCTTGGAACAGTTAAACAATCAGCTTCTTCGACGCAAAAATATCTTGTATGGTTAGTGTTCAGTACTAAGAATATAGTTGTTGCAAATAGATTCATGCTATGAAAGAAATATTTTTAAAAAGATCTTCAGATAAGGTACTAGTACACGAAATATTAAGATATCAGTGGTTGTAGGTGTTGCTAATATAATACTAGAGGTTATTATGATTTGTATAATATTTTGTTCCGTAATTGACCACCATGTTATGTAATGAAGAAACCCAGGTAATATGCACATTACTGAAGATATAACAACCTGAGTATTTATGTTGTTTGAAATGAAAGATGTATTAATGAAATCAAATGGTATTACTAATGAGGTAATGATGTTTTAAATCTAGTCTTTGTACGAGTGAAATAGGTTGATGTTTTGCCTCAAGTATTAAACCAAACATTCCAATTCAGTTTAACCATAATGCCAAATATTTTTGTATAGTTAGTACATTTCAAGTAAAGATGATTGTATAAAAACAGGTACATTGTATATTATTAGTTGCATCCTGATAATACGCTCGTCGAGCTTATTCTTAATGGTATTGCCGTTAGAGTTTGATTTGGAAATCAATAGTTAAATTCATCCTCATCATTGTGCGTGGTGTGTTTATCATGTAAGTGGAATGATTTAATGTTTGGATTTTGATGTGAAAAAATGAGGTCTAAATGTCATGGTACAAGTAATGTGATGTTCATTTTACGTATGGAGTGGTATGTAAACGCGTTTATTTAGGTGTCATTGGATTAGAAAGTAGCTTATTGGTTGAAACTTCCTGATAAACTAAGTAGTAAACATGTGTGCTGTATGTTGTTGTTTTATGGTCGCCACAGTGATCTCATTGAGAAATATTCTATTTCTTTGTGCGACATTAAGCTTGACGCATTTGATGCTCGTTAGTTTGCCTGTTGGTTCTGTTGCCGTACATCTTGTTCTCATTTGAGAACGTGACATTGCTTACTTGGATTGACCAAGGTTTACATAGCGGGTGTCGTCGATGAAGCAGAATACGCCAACTCTTCTGAAACACCTGGTCTTATTCTCCTTATACCTTTTCAGGAGTCTTCGCGAAAACCGTTCTTTCGTTCATATTTTGCCCTAGTTTTATGGAATCTGAGTTTGAATTATGATTAGGCTGCCATGTTGGTTTTATGAACATATCGTATCAATGCTGTAGGTCAAAATTCAATTACCACAATATTTCTCCCTAGACCAGTCACATTGCCCTTATTCTACGTATTTCTACAAATCAGCGATAATTACGAAATTGTAATATTATTTTACTGAGACGATAACTTATGTCCATCGAAATTTTTTAATATGCACTAAAACGTAAGTGTGAAGCAATTATCATATTGTTGTGTATCCATGTTGTGTGTGAACTTAGAATGGCAGACGGTCAATGCTGAATGTACGTCTCAGAGTTGAGTACTTGTGTACCAGATCTATAGTGTGATTGTTTTTATCTAGATTCAATTCATATTATATTTATAATAAAGACGTTGATTTTTTCCCAATTTCAAACGGAATATTGTTTTTATGACATGGAACACGTTATCTATATTTCCAAACATGTAGTTGATGTTGACCAAATAAATAATAAAGAAATTTAATGATATTTCTGTTGTTGTGTTACACTTTTCCCTATGTCACTGCTCTTATTACAAGACACGAAAATTTAAGGAAATACATATTGTAAATTGTAAGACAACTCCATGCTTTTACGAAATTAGCAGTTGGAAGTTGTGTATCACATCACGTATGAAAATGCGAAATCATGTACTCGCGAACTGGAGCATTGTTAAAACAATTTGATAATGTACCATAAAATTAGAGTCGATGTTATTAAAGTATGACTAACCTAAAAGTGCATGCATACTGGCGCCGCTAAACACAAATCAGGTGCCGCGTAAAAATGTATAAAATTTCAAAAAGATGTATGTAGCATGACGACGATTGAATAATTAGTACGAGTCGCTTCATATCACACTGTTACTTTCTATTTTCGTTGACTTTGTGTTTAAAGTAATATATTCAAAGAGTGATGACGTCGATGTTTTAACTTTCGGCTGCCTGTTGTATGATAACCTTTAAAATGTTTTGACTTTTCTTTGGATCACGTTGGATTTTCGTCATTCAAAAGCTTCACAATGTAGGCCATTATCATAAGTGAGGAGTCCTAGAGGACATAACAGCTGTATGATGCATTCTTATTCATTTCTGGCTCTACTGTATCTAACTCTAAATTTATTAAAAAAAAAATGTTATTCACTTTTGTGTCTTTTTTACAATTTTTGAGATAGCAGGTGGTAGACACTTCCGGTGGCCTTAAAGTCTGCGAAGTTTGCCGTAACTGCATACCACATTTTAATTTATTCTAATAATGGCACAGAATATACACATGTACTTGACGTTGTTCTAAAATTATCTTATATAAGAAAACTTCGAAATTTAATAATCATATGTCTTGTGCACCTCCCAGTCTAGATTTTGACTTTTCTTTCGATGACTTCGGATTTTTTCTCAGTCGCCTCCTGGGCTTCAAAACTAAGGCCAAAGGACGAAACAGCTGTATGGTGCTGTTTAATTAATTGTTTGGCTCTACTGTATCTAAATCTAAAGAGGCTTGAAGTGTTACCGCCTGATTCGACCTCAGTGTGACCAACAGTAAAATGGAAACATTAAATTTTCAGTTTCGATAAATTTTGATAGGTAATATCAACGAGCTCTATCCAATTAGCAATTATTAGAAGAAAAGATACATTGGATATATGCAGATCGTCAAAGTTGTTACCTGAAGCAATATGCACTAAAACATGGGGGTTTCACCAGCTTCAAATGTAATTTTGACACACAGTGCACACATATACCAACTTTCAGGCAACTGAACCTAATTCAGTGCGATCATTTGTAACTTAGATTTTGTCCTCAAAAATTGGCACAGGCGTCGGCTGATACCGAATAACTGAAAAATTAAATTAATCAAAATATCGCCAACGACAAACATGTTAACATACCACTTTCCGGACGTACATGTGCAATTTTCGACAGAATGCACGTTTTTAGAGCGAACAAGACGATGAACTAAAAAAAAAGTGTTCCGTCATGGTAAAGCGTCGTACCTCTTTGTATTTAAAGGTGTTATTCAATTGTGTGTCATGACCTCTTTCCATCATCAACGACCCAGGTAGATAAAAAAAGGGCATACAGTTGAAAGATGAATATAAATTCATTGTATGTGTTATTATACTGTTGATGAAGTGAACTTACATTTGTTCAGGAAAAGGCAACGTTGTTCACTAGCTATATACTAAACTGCTGATAATCCAAAAAATAAAGGTGCTGATATATGTGACATGCAGGGATAAAGGGTTACCAATCTTGTTCAAATGATTGACATTTATCTTTCAAGGTTACGGGGTCAAATGTGTTAAAATCTTCAAACGAAATCTCAATAACCACAATGCCCTGATAACTGATAATGAGCATTTAGCATGCTGGGATGGCAGCCTACACATTGTCATGTGACCGTGCAATATTATGTCCCATGATGACGTGTGATGACGTCATAAATGACTTTGCATGAAAACACTATAATGATGTTAAATTTAAGTGTTGAGCTGTAATTAACTGCATCATTACCTGTCCTCATACTAGCTCTGGCAGACTGATAAGGAAATTATTCTGTGTTACTTAGTTATAAACAATTATACAGCAGGATATCATGGGAAAACACACTGAAAGGTGTTCAGTGGGGAATTTTGAGACATTTGTTGTAAAAGATTGTCTGAAGGCGGAAGACACTCATTTATAACTAACGTTATTTAATACAAAATGATGTATTTGCATGATATATCCGTATTTATATTTTATATATAATTTATATTCATTATGTTTAAACACGTACCTTACGATTACATTTAAAATAAATCAAACTTTCAGCCAATCAGTCTCTTAATATTTTGTATCTCATTTCGATGTTTGGTTCTTGAAATGTTGCTTTAGATTTTTTCCTGAATTCAAAAGAATTTCAAAATGGATTTTGACGAATTACTCCACATAATTGGCGGTTTTGGACGCTATCAGAAAATTCGTCTGTGCTTAATTTGTTAAATGGGGATTTTATGTGCGTTTCATTCGATGAATATGGTATTTGTCGGCGCAAAACCAGAATACCGATGTACAAAAAGTGATACACAATTGTCGCAGAAAATATATCGAAATGCATCCCTCCAAGAATCAGAAACCGAAACAGGAGAAAAGAAATGTTCGTTATTCATTTCCTATGAAACTGCCAACCCCACCGTCAATGGAAGTTTTGTACGATTGAACGCCACCATGTCTTCCGGTACTGAACCTTGTACACAATGGGAGTACTCACAGGAACTATATGGACCAACTATTGTTTCTGATGTAAGTCTATGGAACGTGTTGAAGTCATTAAAACTAAAAATAAATAATTTTATACGTAAATACCAACAGGAAATTATTAACACTTAGATTGCCAATACTACAAGTCTGCCAAAACAAAGAAAGCGAGCCATCAGCATCGTGGCGCATCGCCATTGTTGATGTTACTGACAATCATAATTCAAATGTTGTTTTATCAATTATATCATCTCGAGAAAACAACTGATAGAACCACAGGAGTATTTTATTTTATGATTTATGTCACCTGGCTTTAATTATATCATTGCATAGACTTGATGCATCTCTCGTGCCTTTACCACACAACACAATATATCAAATAAATTCTAAACATAAGTTCAATTAGCCATTAAAATTGATGCATTCGACATGATCACAGTAGTTCTACAAAAGCAGTGTTCTGGCACTGTCTATGTAGGACGCTGTAGCCCCTTTGAGCACGTGGTTTTGCTATAGCGTTTTCAGCACTGATTTGGCTCACATGTGATTAACACACAGTGCTTTTGTTCGTCGTCTAAGCTGATATCGGATGTACACTTAGAACATTTTGTTTTCATATATATTAATTAAAAAAGACATATACATTGAAGGTACGAGCGCAATAGACCGGAGCATTTGACCGTCAATACAGAGACTAATTACTGTAAAATACGATGGAAAAACGAGAAGAAAAATACAATGAAATTTTGTACATGTCCATGTGTAACGAATCTTCACTGTGTTATAAGGTATTACATTTTTTCGCCAAGAAGGCGCGTGATAGACATGCATTTTTACACGAAGAGGAAATTGTATAAAGGACAACTATAGAGAGGACAACCGCTTCATATATGGAGCATTGTTGAAACAAAAAATGTCCCGTACCGGCCCCGCAAACTATATCGCTGTAGTCATTTACAAGGATCGTGAAAACATGATAATCCACAGCGTTCACGTTTGATTCCTCTAACCAACAGACCGGGATCATTGTACATTAACTAAACGATTGATGAGCCATTAGAAAGCTTTAACCTGAATATTGTGATTAATAAGAAAGTTACGTACGTGTCTAAAATAAAATCCAGTTTCAATCTGCAACATCGCTGTAAGACCCCATAATGAAAGAGGACAAAAACATACAGCATGGCATTCTAAGACCCATACGATCGACCCCGATCTTTTGCACTTGTAAATATATAAGTACAAAATCCCTCTCAAGATAGTCCGTTATTTTACCTTCAAATGATGTACCTCACTGCTTCAAAGACGCAGAGACGGCTTTTTGGGGACTGCCTAAAAATTGGTCAGTCTTAACCTTACCATAACACCAGGGAGTCTCGGTACAGTATGTTAAACAGATATAATTGTTGTGAAGCATATTACTGATATTTACTTAGACACTGCGTTTCATTTACTTCTGTGTACTTTAACCCCTTTCCTGTACTCAAGAAACCTAAGAATTCTAATAATTGTAAGATTGTGATACAAATATGCTTATATGATGTGATAATTTTCAAGTTTTAAACACCGATATCATAAGACAAGGAAGCCATGCATGATAATATTGACATGTAAATAATTCATCTAAGATAACTGACATATAAACAGTGTGTTAGGTTCATTAAATTGACATATAAACAGTGTGTAAGGATCATTAAATTGACATATAAACAGTGTGTTAGGTTCATTAAATTGACATATAAACAGTGTGTAAGGTTCATTAAATTGACATATAAACAGTGTGTAAGGATCATTAAATTGACATATAAAGAGTGTGTAAGGTTAATTTAATTGACATATAAACAGTGTGTAAGGTTCATTAAATTGACATATAAACAGTGTGTAAGGTTCATTAAATTGACATATAAACAGTGTGTAAGGTTCATTAAATTGACATATAAACAGTGTGTAAGGTTCATTAAATTGACATATAAACAGTGTGTATGGTTCATTAAATTGATATATAAACAGTGTGTAAGGTTCATTAAATTGACATATAAACAGTGTGTAAGGATCATTAAATTGACATATAAACAGTGTGTAAGGTTCATTAAATTGACATATAAACAGTGTGTAAGGATCATTTAATTGACATATAAACAGTGTGTAAGGTTCATTTAATTGACATATAAACAGTGTGTAAGGTTCATTAAATTGACATATAAACAGTGTGTAAGGTTCATTTAATTGACATATAAACAGTGTGTAAGGTTCATTTAATTGACATATAAACAGTGTGTAAGGATAATTAAATTGACATATAAACAGTGTATAAGGTTAATTTAATTGACATATAAACAGTGTGTAAGGATCATTTAATTGACATATAAACAGTGTATAAGGATCATTAAATTGACATATAAACAGTGTGTAAGGTTAATTTAATTGACATATAAACAGTGTGTAAGGTTAATTTAATTGACATATAAACAGTGTGTAAGGTTCATTTAATTGACATATAAACAGTGTGTGTGACATATAAACAGTGTGGTTCATTTAATTGACATATAAACAGTGTGTAAGGTTAATTAAATTGACATATAAACAGTGTGTAAGGTTCATTTAATTGAAATATAAACAGTGTGTATGGTTCATTTAATTGACATATGAACAGTGTGTAAGGTTACGTTAATTGTCATATAAACAGTGTGTAAGGATCATTTAATTGACATATAAACAGTGTGTAAGGTTCATTTAATTGACATATAAACAGTGTGTAAGGTTAATTTAATTGACATATAAACAGTGTGTAAGGTTAAGTTAATTGACATATAAACAGTGTGTAAGGTTCATTTAATTGACATATAAACAGTGTGTAAGGTTACGTTAATTGACATATAAACAGTGTGTAAGGTTCATTTAATTGACATATAAACAGTGTGTAAGGTTACGTTAATTGACATATAAACAGTGTGTAAGGTTCATTAAATTGACATATAAACAGTGTGTTAGGTTAGTTCAATTGACATATAAACAGTGTGTTAGGTTAGTTCAATTGACATATAAACAGTGTGTTAGGTTAGTTCAATTGACATATAAACAGTGTGTAAGGTTAATTTAATTGACATATAAACATTGTGTAAGGTTGGTTGCTTAAGATATATTGCAGAATAGGTGTATTAAGTAAACTATAATTTGTTATTGGTTATTTCTAGTTCGACCTTGTGTGCAGTCAAGCATGGTTAAGAAGCACATCCAAAACTCTCTATTTTTTCGGACGTCTTGTCGGTGCTGTGACTTTCGGCCAGCTTTCGGATATGTACGTATGCAGTATATGTATATGATTTGTGTATATAGCTTACCTGAATAACTTTACTTAGGTCCAAATTATATGAATATAGAAATGACGTTGTTTTTAACTTGATACAAAATTTCTGTGTGCTGTGATCTTAATGTTGCAGCATATGTATATGATATGTGTATATAGCTTACCTGAATAACTTTACTTAGGTCCAAATTATATGAATATAGAAATGACGTTGTTTTTAACATGATACAAAGTTTCTTGTCATCCTAATGTCGATTGCAGATTTGGAAGGAAACCCCTTTTCTTCTGTGGACTTCTGTTATTGTTAATATCCGGATGTGTGGCAGCTGCAGCGCCATCTATGGTTGTGTTTATACCATTTTACATTCTACAGGGGGCAGCACAAACCGGTCTGTTTCTCGTAGCGTTCATTATGTGTGAGTGTTTGTCTACATAATAATGTACCAGCTAGAAAGCTGGAAACCTGGTTTGATAATTAAGAACTTGACTGTTACAGAATGAAACCTTCAATGCGAATTATGATAAATAATATAATATTAATAATATAATAATAATAATATGAGATGATTGAATTTCTTTGAATCACTGTTGACAATTTAATGGTAATGGTTGCAGTTTTGGAAGCAGAGTAAAATAATTCATGGTAAAATATAACAGTCTATCATATATTATGGTACATCAGATTATATGAGAAATAGCGATCGCTTCTGTGTTTATACTTTTGTCAGCTATTATCATGATGTGAAAGGTACTATAGTTATAGCATGTAATAAATTAATTCAGATAAATAAAGGAATATTAACTTATGAAAGGTACGGAGTTGGTGGCCCCCATGTACCGCTTGTTGGCCGGACAAACTATCCTGAGTTTCTACGCTGTAGGATACATGCTTCTCTCCTTCCTGGCCTATTTTATCCGGCACTGGCGTTATATTGAGCTGACAATCACGGTACCTGTGATTCTGTTCGCCTCATACTGGTGGTACGTGCAACTGTGATGTATATTTTATCATCGTTTAGAAATACCAGGAGTCATCCTATTGTAAAATCTGCTGGCTACATCATCTACATCGCTAATTTGTTTTCCTACATACCTTCGCAAAGAATTCAAAACTGCATGTAATCACAGACAGAAAGTGATAAGTAGTAGGTTTTATGGCTTTGATATCAGTTATTGAATCACTAAATTATTAATCGTCAATTTTATGTGTTACACAAAACAAAAACTAGGTTCATGTATTTCCGCGCCACTTTCCATAGATTATGTTTATCTTTCCCTAGTTGTCGCTCATGAATTGAACGACACGTGACATCATGGTAAAAAACATACAAATAATGGAGGAAACTTTATTGTCATCATTACTGATCAACATTTCAGCATTCTCCCAGAGTCTGTGCGGTGGCTTCTGTCGAAAAATAGAACAGACGAAGCTAAATCGATCGCCCAGCGTGTGGCAAAGATCAACAATAGGGAGCTGCCGGATGATATCCTGGAAAATTTAAGAGATCAGAAAGACGTATTGGAAGTTATCGATGACCGGAAGTACGCCTTCATTGACTTATTTCGACCACTGTCAATGCTTTTCCTGTCTCTCAATGTATGCTTTAATTGGTACGTTCGCTCCTTTGTTTTCATGACTCTGATAATTATCTCCAGTGTGCTAGTTTGGATGATAAAACACCAAATTCGTAGGGAAAACAAGATTTAAGAGCGTTCATTATCTAAAATCACGTAGCAGTATTCATTTGATACCACTCAAAGTATATGGACGGCAAGATGATCAATACTGTTGAAAACAACTGGTCATAATACTTGTAAATGTGAATGAAAATTTTCCGAAACTGTAACAAAATTGTTATGATTAAATTATATTTGAATTCGCAACGTACTGTAACGCAGTGTTACAATGTTTTTTTCTTTTTTTTTTTCCTTTTTCTTATGGATGCAAACATAATGAAACATAGAAAAGAGGTAAGTTTTTGAAAACAGAATTAGGTTTTTTTTTTAATCTTAATGAAATAGAGAAAATCCATTTTTAGAATATCATTGTACAGGTTTGTGAACTCCTTGGTGTACTACGGCTTATCTCTCAGTATCGGAAGCATCGGGGGGAGCCCTTATGTCAACTTCTGTATCGCGGGGGCTGTGGAAATCCCCGGTAATATATTGTGTGTCCTGTTCCTGAACAGACTAGGACGACGACTGCCCCTTATGGCGGCAATGACTGCAAGCGGGGTAGCATGCGTGATTTCCGGATTTGTACCGAAAGGTTAGTTTCTTTCTGTTATCATAATAATCATAAGACAAAACAAAAACAATCGCATAATTGGTAACATCACACCGTGGAACATATAGGAGGTCTTACGAAGTCATCCTAATGTTTAAACTTAACTAAATTCTACCTTGTGAAAATAAAAATGTAGGTACGATGCTTGGTGCATCATGATTCTGTAAGTCTTATTACAAAGTAGGCCAAAGTAAAATATTTTATGTCAGGATGGTGATCTCTGGTTTATCTTCCCACAGATCTGGTAGCACCAAAAGTCGTATTCGCCATAATAGGTAAATTCGGTATATCTATGTCATACGGAATCATCTATCTGATGTCTGCCGAGGTGTTTCCCACGGTTGTCAGGTAAGAAGTGCATTACGTTGTGCTATATTTATAGTTTGTAAAGAAAAAGATGCTTAAAATACATTCCAAAATCCAATATTGCTATTCAAGTAAGTGAAATGATAATGTACATTATTTCTTACAGAAATGCCAGCATGGGTGTGTCTTCCTTTTGTGCCCGTATCGGAGGCATGCTGGCCCCCCAGATTCTAGAATTACAACACGTTTGGGGCCCTTTACCTATGTTGCTATTTGGTAGCATAACTGTGTTAGCAGGAATGGTAGCTTTGTTTCTCCCAGAAACGACAGGGAGACCTTTACCACAAACTATAGAGGAAGCGCTAAATAACAGATCAAAGTAAGATATGCTGTAAAACATATTATATTGGTGGTGTATGTGTGTTCGCAGTTTTCATGATTACATTCGGTAACATTAACGCTCGTTATGCGTTTCATCTGGAATATCACCCAAATTTCAGGTTAGGAATCGACCTTGTGCCCTTACTCAACGAAATAATTTTTTCTTTCATGCACTGACTGCTATAAAGAAAGTTTTGTACTTTAAAGAATAGACAACCAATACATTTTTTCTTTTGTCGCTTGTGGCCTTTGTGTATCAGAGAATAACGTAGTCTTCAGCCAAATCTCTTTAACCCAGTCAATACTTACCAGGAGATACGAATTTCTCCGATTGTGTGGGAATGTTTGGATAACGTCCTATAGTTATAACCTATGTATTCCTAATTTAAGCTTTGTAGTTTGATTGTTGGTATGAATTGAAATTTACTTTGATTAATTGTGTTACTAATACATTGATGTTTTTTTGTATAAACAGGTCAGTGAGAAAGGATACAACCATGGAGGCTCCATGGACACCAAGTACATAGGCAAAGTCCCAGAATCACTATCTAATCAAGAAGTTTTACTATCATTATCACTCTTAATAATGATATATGATCATGCAGAATAAATGTATTACCCATTTACTCCTTACGTTTATGTACCTTCGTATGATTTCAAATGTCTAGTTTTATTATCTTACTTTCAGCTATAAACAGCGAGAATCTCAATTAAGACGCTATCATATTGTTCTGGAAATGAGATTTCTGATCTAGATATCAGTTGCCGGTTTCATTTAAATTACCTTAATGGTTATATGCGGTCAATTGTTTATAAAAATAATGTTTGGGATAATTCCAGATCCTTGTGTGAGCTAACTTCTTACAACATTGAAGAAGACATATCAATATTTGATTGTTTTATATTCATTCAATATTGTTTGTTATTTCTTCATATTTTTGTCCACTTGTCTTAGAAGCATGTTCAAAGCATATATCAACTATATTAATTCAGTAAGTTATGTATTCCATAACAAATTGGAGTTACCTCCCCTCTCCTGTTTTAACCAATTGGATCAATAAAATGTGATGCACGATATGTGTTGTGTTAAATGTACTAAATTTGGATAGTTAAACTTGCTGTCCTATCCTATGAACAAACATGTATGAAAAGTTAATAAAAATTTGTTGAAATTGAAATTCGAACGTTTCATGGTTGTTTACATGAGTTCTCTGTTTGCCATGAACAACGTTTCCTAGTTAACTGGTATTTCTGTGTTAAAATGTCTATATCTAGTAGATCTGTAATATTACAATATCTCATCACTTCACTGATGTGTCACACCACAATTACGATTAGATTATATACATTTAGTCATATAGTAGATGAAGGGCGTCATGCCATCACCCAGGTAATATTCAGCTGTCATGTAAATAATACGTCGTGTCACAAAATGGAAATCACCAGGACAATCCCTAACCGCAAAATCTTAAGTGTGGGACATATTATCTCACTAATCTATGATATAATCAACTGAGTTTCTGATCTTTGATGTATTTCACTTTATGATGTCACCGAGGTTTTGCTGTGGTGTTATATTGATTTCAATATTGATGGTTGGCGTTAATTCAGAATCAGAGATCGTATTGGCTATTATTTCACCGTCTACAGTAGTTGAATACTTATATCTCACATTACCTCATGAACAGAGTATATTAAATGTTATTTAGACGAAGAATGGGACTTTCTTCAGGTAAAGGAAAGGGACAAGGGTAGTCAGGATGATCTTTAAAACATCATGCCATTTATGTGATAAAATGCTTGGATGAGGAGATTTTCACATTCTTTGGTATGAAATATCAGTTAAACAGCCTTATGTTTTCTACCGTGTTGAGATCGTTTCCTTGTCTCACACACTACTCGGAAGCATTTTGCATCCAGGATCCAGCCTTAGGTAGGACTTATATATAAAGGAGTGAAGATGGGTCTGGAGAAGCATTGGTTATCACTTTTCTCTGCAAGTGAAGCGAACTCACAGTACTATTATGCCAGAAATTGCTGAAAAATGTATTATAAACGTTTTATTATCTATTTTCTTTATTTTTATCAACAAATGCGTAGTTTGTATAATTTGAAGTGTACTCTTTTAATAATAAAGACATACAAACATATGGGAAGTCTTGTACAGATGTTCAGGAACTATAGGGCAATTAGTTAGAAAGGCCACACAATAGGGCCTGAGTGTTGACACTGCACTTGTTTACAAATGAACCAGATTGGACAGGTACTGTGTAGGTGTCAGGTACGCGAAACATGCGCAATGATTATTTACAGGGCTAAGAGGTCTCGAAAAAGGATTTTGTAAATTAAAAATAAAATTTTGTATTAAATTCCCCCTATTGGGACCCCTGGGTGGAGAAGCGGACAGAGAGGTTAAGTGTATGTGTCGTGTGAGCCAGGGTCACTCAACACCCTGACCGCAGCCGAATAAAGATCATTAAATTTAACCTCTGCTGTTGAATCTTCACTTCAGGTCTTCCATAGACATCACTGCCAAAACAGTGTCGTCTGAGAAGATAAAGAAATTGACGACTAAGGTGAGATCGAGTATAAAATGTGGTGCAGAATCAAATTTTGGAGTACTTTTCGCATCTGCCAAGCCAAAATTCCCCCCAAAAAGATTATGCCTTCACCACAGAACAGGATGGCACTAAGGAGCGATGTGGAGACCACTTCACAATTAGAAAGTATTACTGAAGAGCCAGCAGAGGAGCAGGCTGTCGCCCAGAGCAGAGCCAGTTTGCAGACTTCACCACCATCTGCACCTCAAACACCTTTTAGGGGATACAAACTTCCAAATTTGGAGAAATTCACCAGTGGAATGTCACCTTCCCTCTGGTGGATGAAATTCATGACCTATTGCTCTTTGGTTGGGATGCCAAATTGGGAAATAGTACAATCATTCCCAATGTTTGTGTCAGAAAATGTATCAGACTGGTACTTAACTTTGGAATCTTCAAAAAAAACCTCAGTAAACAAACTTAAACAATCATTTATTGAGCGGTTTAAAACCATCACAGCTTATGACATCGGAACTATGCAGATCAAACAAACAATAGGAGAGACTGTGGATGAATACTTTGACATGGTGGCACGGGACACTGCTGACATTGAGATAGCACCCCTAGTGTTAGTTGGTATGGTTGTTGGTGGTCTGCTGCCAGAAATTGCACGAATTGTGATGCCATAAGATCCAGAATCACTTCATAAGGCAAGAAGGCTTGCTCTATCAGCAGAGCGAACCATTAAACAGACCAATCAGGAAAATGTCGCCAGAATTGCCCGCCTGGAGCATAAAGTGGAGTCCATGTCCAGCAATATTGTGGATGATATCCGGAATTTAATGGATGCCGCATCCATCTCAGCATTAAGGCATGATAGATGGCAACCTCAGCAGCAGCAGATTCCACAGCAGCAGCCACAGCAGAGATGGAATTACCATCAGTAACAACGGACAAACACTCAGTCACCACAAAGGCCACAGATACAAAGATGGACCAAGCAGCAACAACAACAACAGCAGCAGCAGCCGAGGCAGCCATTTTACAGATGTGGTGAGTACTGCAATTCTAGAAACTTATGTAAGGCAATTGACAAACAATGCTATAATTGTGGAAAAATGAATCATTTTGCTAGGGTATGTAAAGGGCCTAAAAACTTAAACAACAGTAGGTCATGAAGGTGTGGGCCTGTTCGGGGACCCCACTCCATGAATGGGCACAAAGGTAAATCAAATTCTATAAAAAATTCACAACTGAATTTGGCATCACCTATGGACAAAAACAGAACAAGGGTTTCAGTAAAAGGTATAAAACATGCCTTAATAGACACTGGTGCTGATATTTCATGTATGTCTGCAGATTTTTTGAATAAAGTTGGGTTTACAAGGAAAGTGCTTAAATCTACCAAACCTCATTTTGTAAAAGGTGTCACCCAAAGCAAACTGAAGGTGCTAGGAACTGTAAAAATTCCCATTTCATTTCAAGGTGCTGTCATAGAGTATACTATTCATGTTGTTGAAAATTTGCTTATCTTGGGTTATGATTTTATGAAAGCTAACACTGCTTCAATTAACCTGTCAACTAACCAGTTACACTTACATGAGGAGGCAGTTACAGTGGGTATGCTATAGGTAAATCAAGGTGCGATTGTCATCAAGGCAAATCACCAAATGGATATTCCTGTAAAGATATCCAGGAGGAAGCATGATGATAAAGTGCTGTTAGAACCGTGTGAAGTTAATCATAACAAAGATATAGCTGCAGCTAGGTGTCTGGTAAAGGTCAATAAGGGTACAGCAACCTTAAGGGTTTTAAATCCTACAAACAAAGACGTAAATATTCCCAATAACAGACTTTTGGCAGTAGTTACTGATGTAGAACAGCAATCAATAGATGTGCTTACAGATGAAACACCAACTATCAGTGCTTTACAAACAAGTAAATAACAACAAAATAAGATCTCCAAGCCAAACAGTCATGACATAGCATTTGACTTTAGCAATTCAGATCTTTTTGAATCACAAAAGCAACTTCTCACATCATTTCTACATAGCAACAGAGATATATTTGCTGCCAGTCTTAGGGAGTTGGGTACCACAGACAAATATTATCATCGCATAGACACTGTTGACAATGCTAGCCCAGTTCATATGCCTTTTTATAGACAGTCACCACACATCTTGAAGGAGATAAACAGGCAGGTTGATGAAATGTTAGAAAATGGCATTATAACTCCATCAAATTCAGAGTGGCATAGTCCAGTAGTACTGGTGAAAAAGTGTAATGGCGAGTATAGGTTTGCGGTAGACTACAGAAAATTAAATAAAATCACAAAGCCCATGTCCTTTCCCCTTCCTCGATTTGAGACCATATTAGAGATCATTAAACACAAAGCAGCTTTCATAACTCAATCTGGTGTTTGGGAATGGTAGAACAAATGCACCGATTTCTTTTCAAATGGTCATGACACAAGTGTTAAGAGACCTAAATTGGAAATGTGTACTTTGCTATGTAGATGATATTCTTGTATTTAGTACTTCCTTCCAGTCTCATCTTAACCACCTGTCACCGGTTTTTCAGAAACTGAGAGATGCAAAACTCACTCTCAAACCTTCAAAGTGCTTTTTCGCAGTCAAACAGGTAAAATACTTAGGACACATCATTTCTAAAGATGGTGTATCAGTAGATCCTGAAAAAGCATCAGCAGTTAGTACATTTCCAATACCTAAAACACAGCATGATATTCGCAGTCGGTTTGTGAAAGGATACTCAGAGATATCTGCCCCACTGAGATCCTTACTTCACAAAGACAAACCATTTTTCTGGACTGACAAGTGTCAAGAGTCTTTTGACTCCTTAAAAAAACATCTTCTGTCAGCACCAATTCTGGCTTATCCAGACATAAACAAAGATTTTATTCTCACATGCGATGCAAATGATGAGTCTATTGGATACATTCTTAGTCAGTTAGATGAGGAAAACAGGGAACATGTCATAGCTTATGGGGTCGCTCATTACAGGGCTCTCAACGAAGATGGGCAACCTATGATAAGGAGTGCTATGCTATACTTAAGGGTATGGAAGCATATAACACATATTTATCTCACAAACCATTTACAGTGTACACTGACCATAAAGCCCTTGTCTGGTTAAAAGAAAAAAAGCAACTTGGAGCAAGACTCCAGCGCTGGGTGACAGACATTCAACAATTTGATTTTGTTGTAAAACATATCAAAGGCAAAAACAACACGTCTACAGATGCCCTAAGTAGACGGCCTTATCCTCCCAAACCATTCTCTGAGGACAATCATGAAGAAGGTGTTGAACCTCCTACTATATTTCTTTGTCAAACAGAAGATGGCTTACAGTTCCAAAACAACTGCTTTCCAGATTTAGGTGGTAACAGTTCAGACGGTAGTAACCATTTTACTATTTTTGAACAACACAATCACAAAGATGACAGGCAACAAAGAAGGGCACACCGTTTACCAGACAATGAAAAATACATCCAACAAATGGTCTTGCCAAAAGCACTTAGACATGATGCTTTGTTGTCATATCATGACAACCGCGCAGGGGGAGCTCACCTGGGTACCAAACAGGTATATGAGGCACTAAAACAGAGATTTTATTGGGCAGGAACGCATCAGGATGTAGAAGATTACATTGCTGCATGTGATAGGTGTCAGAGAATCAAGGTCAAAAGACAGGCAAAACCACCACCGCTTACGCATTTACCAGTGCCAGGTGACACGTTTGAACACACAAAAGCAACAAAAGACACCCAACACCCAAAATCAAAATGCACGTGCCCAGCATAGCAAACAAAGCAAGCACAATCATCCAAAACATCAAAATGCATCAGGACCTTCTAAAAGCTTGCAGGTTAGGAACTCAAATGATAGGCAACAGCCGGGGCATGTTAAACAAAACCCTGATGCTGGTCAGCAAAACAGACCTATGTCAGTCTCACAGGATCATGAAGGTCCTGATAATGATCAAATAAGACATATCCAATAAAGAAAATCTTAAGAAAGAAACTCATAGGGGGGAGGGGGGGGGGCTCATTATCTGGTTCAATGGGAAGGCTATAGTAAACGTACTTGGCAACCAGAGAAAGACTTCACTCAAGAACTGCTTGAGGAGTTCAATTGCAAACATACCCCACAAGGGAAAAGAAGAAAGAGACCTGTAACTTACTTTAAACATCTGTAAGATTTCAATTGAGTAACGTGCTTAGGTACACCAATTCAGTAGAACATATGTCAATAAAGGCGAACATTATTGTAGTGAAACTGTGAATAGAGATGTTCTGTCAGCTGACGATTATTTTTTTTACATATTAGACCTTTTAGTTGCAAATTTTACACAAAGAAATTGTAGTTCTGAAATTCTTGTGGTTCAGTTACTCTTGCAATTAATTCTGTAGTATAATAGTGCTAAAGTGTCTGATCAACACTACAAATTACTGACCACAATTTTTTTTAATTTCTATTATTCGTTGTAGGGAACATTTGGACAAATCTAATCACTGCTTTCATACAAGGATATGTGGTTTTTACAGTGATGGTGACCCTTGTAGTTGGACAACCCCAAATGCCAAATACCAATGCCAGCACATTGTCAAGGTTGAACTACGGAGTACTCTTTCACAAAGAAAATTCCATGCATATTGCAAGAGAGTATTGGCTTCATACATATGCTATTGACATTCCAAGACCAGTTATGTCTGTACCAATGCCAAGATGCCAGCATAGTCATGTGTCTTGTCATGTTTTTAATAGTGTTATTATTCAAATCAATGCATTAAAACATAGAACATTAGCTAATGTAGAGGAAATCATTGCAGCCATATTAAATTTAATCCCTCAATCAAAAATGTTTAATGAAAGGTCACAGAGGTCATTTTTACCATTCATAGGTCAAATATCTAGAGGTTTGTTTGGTACAGCTACAGTTGAGGATGTTACTACTGTAGCTAAGCATGTAAATGCACTTATTAGTAACCAAGTAACCAAGGCAATTCAACAGCATGGATCTCACTTATCATCATACATGGAAGTTGTAGATCAAAGAATATCTAACTTAAAGTCAGGTGTTGATCAAAACTTTTAGTCTATCAACAAACTATTACACACTTTTAGGTTTACATATGATCATTTAGAACTCACACTCACTAATATCACAGGCATGCTAACAGAACAAGTTCAAAAAGCTAATCAGCTGGAAATAAGTTTTCTTGCCCTACAGTCCTCTGTCCAGTCTTTAGCAGAAAGAAAACTTGCACCATTTTTGTTGTCTAAACAGGTGATTGGTCAAACAATGGGTGAAATCCAGAGTATACTATCTAGAAAGTATTCAGGTTTTCATATGATTCTGTCCAGTCCTTCAGAGGTGTACAAACATGCGAAATTCTTTTACACAAGAAATGGTTCAACCATTTACCTTACGGTTAGATTCCCTATAGCATCTCGTACAAACTCTTTAAATTTGTATCGCATTCGCTCTCTTCCTGTACCTGTAAATGACAGTACCCAGCATGCAACACAGCTTCTAGATCTACCAGATTACTTAGCTGTTACTTATCACAAGCAATTTTATACTACAATAACTGAACGCCAGCTTATGAGTTGTGGACACAGTGATTCTTACTTATGTGATTTTAACATTTCACTGACTCCTGTTACAGTTTCTTCATGCATTTGGGCATTGTTTGTTAACGATAAAACTGAAGTTTACCAGCATTGTAATTTTCGGATTATGTAAAGTTTCTTTATACACAACCAGGAATCAAATCGGCAATCACTGACCATGCCATGCAGGAAAACCATGTGATTGACTGGGAAAACTCAGAGGTGCTCGATAGGGAGAACCATCTTCTGAAGCGACAGATCAAAGAAGCCATCTGGATACGCCGCAGCGGGGCAGTTCTGAACCGAGATGAGGGGGCTCATAGACTCTCGCACATCTATGACCAAGTAATAAAATAAACGTAGCCGAATGGTTTTACTATTCGCTAACAGTCATTTCGGCACTTGTCAGCATGTCCGAAATCGACGCTATTCCACGACAACTCGTACACATATCACACCTTTGTGTACATGCTTTACTGGTCATTTGTCTGAGGAAGGTGACAGCGTACGGATCGTACTGGTCACCGAAACGTCACATATTAAAATTCCTGGTTGTGTATAAAGAATCTTTACATAATCCTTACTTTCCAACCTGACGAAAATGTTCAGTATTGTAATTTTCGCTTTCGCAAATCTCTACTACAACCTACTGTTCTGGAAATATCACCTTCTTCTGCTCTTATATACAACACACTCAAAGTTTCAGTAAATTGTCCTTATAACCAATACACTATACCTGGATGTTCCTTTTGCATTCATACTGTACCTTGTATGTGTACATTGTCTTCTCTGACTAGGTATTATGCTCCTAGGTTAATCCATTGTAAAAAACAGCACCATAGAGCAGATAACTCCACTTTATCCAGTTAATTTGGCATTGTTACAAGAATTTTTTAATACATCCCAAATGACTTATATCACAGGTGACAGTGCATTTACCATACCTACATCTATCAATATTCCAGACTTTAAATTATACAATCATTCTTTTTCAAAAATGTTAGCAGCAGATGAAAAATCTCACCTGAGTTTAAGAAAAATGGCAGATGCTACTAAAAAGGATCAACTTATCTTTGAAACCTTAGCAGAACCTTTGTTGGATGGGGAAATAGATATCAATCAGTCATGGATAGATGAAAGTACCATTCTTACCTTTATTGCTATGGCGATAGCATCATTATCTCTTCTCACTGTGGTATTCATGATGTTTAAGCTTAGGAAGTTGTCTACAGCACTATTAGTATTACAGCAAGATGTTAAATCTATGACACCACCCACCTTTAATTATGAAGACCCAACTACATCATTACCAGAGTCTGATTCCATCTCCTTTGAAATTTTTCAACAGTTTTCATGGATTCATGCATCAGTGTTCTTAAATGTTATAATACTCATTATTGTTTTCGCAATTCTGGTACTCTTGTGTAAAAGAAAAAGAAAGGGAACATTTTTGTATTTAGAAATCACAAATAGTTCAGACTCTCAGATAATTCCATTTATGCACCAGCCTTTGTGTCCATCATATTGGGATATTCAACATCCACATGATATTACTGACCTGAATTTAGAGTCTTTTCCATCATGCATACTCAGAGTAGATTGGCCAGGGTTTAAAGTAACAAATCAGTTAACAAAACAGAGTATCTTTGTAAACAGCACAGTAAAAATTAACTTTTGGCAGTATTTTGCTGTAAAGAAATTGTTACAGCAACCATTTGGTGTTCATATTTTAATATGACATCAAGGAATTTACCAACCTTTATCACAAAATGTAAATGACACTGCAGAGAATTCTCATGCTCCTGTCAAATCTTTCAAAGTGACCAATGATTTGTACCCCAATATAAGTTAAATACCTAGGGTATGAACTTTCAAAAGTATGTTGCCTTACATGAGAAGTATAGATTGTGGTACTTAATCTTACAGCATGTATCATTGATACAGTGGACATCAAGAACTTTGCATACATGTGTATGCCTGTTCAAATTTGTATATATAATTGTATATTACCTACCTATTTTGTGTTTTTTTCATCATATCCATGTATTAAGTGTTGTTTCATGAATATCATTTAACTGAGTGTTGGTGATTGAATTTATCTCCTGTCCCATAATCAACTAAACTTGTAATTTTGGACCAAAGCTTTTGTAGCTAGGGGAGAGTTATTATGCCAGAAATGGCTGAAAAATGTATTACAAATGTTTTATTATCAATTTTCTTTATTTTTATCAACAAATGCGTAGTTTGTATAATTTGAAGTGTACTCTTTTAATAATAAAGACATACAAACATATGGGAAGTCTTGTACAGAAGTTCAGGAACAATAGTGCAATTAGTTAGAAAGGCCACACAATAGGGCCTGAGTGTTGACACTGCACTTGTTTACAAACGAACCAGATTGGACAGGTACTGTGTAGGTGTCAGGTACGCGAAACATGTGCAATGATTATTTACAGGGCTAAGGGGCCTCGAAAAGGGATTTTGTAAATAAAAAAATAAAATTTTGTATTAAATTTCCCCTATTGGGACCCCTGGGTGGAGAAGCGGTAAGAGAGGTTAAGTGTATGTGTCATGTGCGCCAGGGTCACTCAACACCCTGACCGCAGCCGAATAAAGATCATTAAATTTAACCTCTGCTGTTGAATCTTCACTTCAGGTCTTCCATAGACATCACTGCCAAAACAGTGTCGTCTGAGAAGATAAAGAAATTGACGACTAAGGCGAGATCGAGTATAAAAGTACCTTGGAATAATTCTCTCAATATTGAGACCACAAACGTGACAGGAAAATAGCACCAACTTAAGTGAATAGTAGTTGATCTTGTATGGATAGTTTACAGAGACGTTTGGAACTGAATTTTGGTTCTTAGATCCTGCACAAGTAAACAAGGACCAAGATCAAATGTAATTTCTCTGTGTCTTTCTCTCTATATCTTTTAATAGTAATGTTCACAAAAAGCTGCAAAGGCTGTGGTTAAGACGACAAGTATTCGTGTCTGTTTAAGGGAACGGATGTTACGTATCTGTGCAAGGGAGGGGAGGGTATATATCTGTATAAGGGAAGGGAGGGTATATAATTGTAAAAGGGAGAGAAGGGTACATATCTGTGCAAGGGAGAGAAGGGAACATATCTGTGTAAGCGAGGAGGAGGGTACATATCTCTGTAAGAGAGGAGGAGGGTACATATCTGTGTAAGAGAGGAGGAGGGTACATATCTGTGTAAGGGAGGAGGAGGGTACATATCTCTGTAAGAGAGGAGGAGGGTACATATCTGTACAAGAAATGGTAGGGTATATTCTGAAAGGGAGGGGAGGGTACATATCTGTGTAAGAGAGGAGGAGAGTACATATCTATGCAAGGGAGGGGAGGGTACATATCTGTACAAGTTAGAGAAAGGTTCATATCTATACAAGGAAGGGAAGAGTATATACTTGTACAAGGGAGAGAAGGGTAGTTATCTGTACAAGGTAAGGGAGGGTATATATCTGTGTTAGAGAGGGGAATAAATATATCAGCGCAAGTGCAGGAATGGTATATATCTGTGTAAGGGAGGGGAGGGTATATATCTGTGTAAGGGAGGGGAGGGTACATATCAGCGCAAGTGCAGGAATGGTATATATCTATGTAAGGGAGGGGAGGGTATATATCTGTGTAAGGGAGGGGAGGGTATATATCTGTGTAAGGGAGGGGAGGGTACATATCTGTGTAAGGGAGGGGAGGGTACATATCTGTTAGGGAGGGGAGGGTACATATCTGTGTAAGGGAGGGGAGGGTATATATCTGTGTAAGGGAGGGGAGGGTATATATCTGTGTAAGGGAGGGGATGGTATATATCTGTGTAAGGGAGGGGAAGGTATATATCTGTGTAAGGGAGGGGATGGTATATATCTGTGTAAGGGAGGGGAGGGTATATATCTATGTAAGGGAGGGGAGGGTATATATCTGTGTAAGGGAGGAGTATTATTTTAGATATTGTTTCGATTTTTACATTGATTCACAATGATATTGATATATGTTTATCGTCATATTGATTTACAGTAATATTGATTAAGATCATGATTATACAAAGCATTAGGTAAGTTCTTGACGATCAATTCATTTAATTTACATTAATGTCAATTTTCATTATGGAATGGTCATCACAATAGGTCTACATCATTTATCTTTAGATTTAATGCACAGCGGTAGTTTACTATCATTACTATTTATAGCTTTGTTTGTTTGGATGTTTTCGTTCCTTTGCGTGTACTCATGACACTATTTTTCTACACGTATGACGTACATTTAGTTACATAACCCATTTGCAGTGGTCCATATGGATTCACAGTGTTGATCTACACTTTGGATTTACAAGTTTTGTCATGCATTATTGATTTTCCGTCATGACTTACAACTTTATCTATTTTTAGAAATATTGCCATGTTTACATTTTTGATGACATACGTAAACGGTTCTATATATAATGAAGTGTGCGCATGTAATGTTTATATATGAGGTAGTCGACACGGTTTTTTTTTACCTCTGTTTGCTGTCCTGGTTGTTTCGGCGACAGAGAAACACACATTACATTGTCCCCATTGTAACCCTAGAGTCTACTGTGAGAACGAGAAAAACGACATGAGTGTGGATATCCTTAATACATATTGTCAGCTTACAATGCAACTCCATCCAAATGAAAATCTTGACGAATTCTAAGTTTCTCTCTGAAGCAAGCTGACCGTACTTTTTACATGTGCGTGGTAGTTACATGTTTGTCTCCCACATACATCACATACGCGAAATGATCACGTGTTTGTGATAGTAAAGCTTACATAAACGATATTTACTGCCTGCAATACTAACATATAACACAGAGAATCAACGTCAGAGGTTTTATTCACGAACAGGTATCAAATAAGGCACAATGACGTTAGAATGCCATATAAGGCGGCGTAAAACGAGAAGTAGGTCATCTGCACTCCATTTAATTATTTGTTGTCTTGCTGTCAGTCCAGGATTGCCATTACGAAACAGTTGCATGGCCCGACAATAATCGGTGCCAATGTAAGTGGTCTTGACACATTTCCTCACTCAGGACATAACATCGATAATTCAAGGTATGTACTTTAAAGTTTATATAAATTATATACTAAGATATACTAGTTATATTCAAACGTTCTTTTTCTTATCGACATAGAATGCAGGCAGTTGTATCCCCGTTTTTTGAAAGTTTCTCATAAGTCCTGTTTAAATATGGTCTTTTTGTTATTTATGTATTCAGTAACTTTTTCCACTTTTCTTTATGTAATATTATCTCTCCAGCTCTAAAAGTACATATAATTTTAGTGTGGATAATTGTGATATATCAGGAGGACATTATCGTACTATTGGTAATAACACAAAATGTGGATAGTTAGTGTCATGTAGTATACAGAGATCACATACATTCGAGTTCTATTGTTAACGCTGCGGCGCTTTACACAGGTAAAAGGACTTGAAATATTAAGTACTTTCAATTTATAAAAATGAATGGATAGTGGATTTCCATTGTGTGATAATCTGTCACGTGATTTTGAAAAATGAAGTTTACTTTCGAATTGCAAAAACTCATCTCTAAGCAAACCATCTGTAATGAAAGATATTGACCTATAATACATCTCTCGAAACGACACAATCGAGGAACCGTAAGGAAGTAAAGAAATCTGCTTAATCTGCTTATTTCAAGGCAGTCTTGTAGTAGACGAGGAAAAAATTGTGTTCTTAAAAAAAAACCCATAGCGTTATTGAAGTTAAAAGTGGCGATATTAGAGAATACTAACACCTGTTACAAGTTCCTAAAACGTTTGTATGATCCGATTTTGTACCTCTTGGTATCTCTTTTAAAAGACATCGTTACTAACAAAATGATAATTCTCTTACTTATTTGATAAACAATTGAACATCAAAACAAAAATTCCTTTTGGAAGAATAGTGAATGTATGTATCAGCATGTTAATTAAACCACTGATTATGATCATGTAACCATACCTCTATGTCTCTATCGTCTCCCTTTAAAAAAAGAAAGGATATTAATTACGGTTACGAAGAAACGACAGAACGAGAAATGACCTTAAAGATATGATCTGTACTTTACAACGTGAACCTTAAGGAAGTTGTTTACGATTCAGGACGTTGCGAAACACTACATGCACCACCTGATCAAAATCTTAGTTTTTTTGTCCTTCACATTAAGTACTAACATGTTATTCCCATATTTCTACGTGTGTAATACCGGTCAGTACAGGACAATACACCCAGGTTCACTGTTCTTGTATTACACACTAATCGATGCAATACAGGCACGCGCGCGAAAAAATGTGACATGTCCCTTACCGATTGACGTCATCACCCGATACAATATATGCACACAGGGCAAACTTTGTTTGCCAGATCTAGGTATAGAGACCTCATTTTCTATGTAATTTTCTCGGTTAATTGCGTAATCAAGATAGGGTTATCGTGTAATATGACGTCCTTTGTAGTACATTGTCGATGTGTGAAGCAATTTTTTTCAGTATTTTAGAATGAGAAATGAGATAAAAAATACTCATTCATATGTCAAGGTGAAGCATGGGATATTTCAACCTCGGTAAAGCATCGGGATTTAGGATATTATTTGACACCTCGGTTGGAATAAACTTATCATACCCCCCCGACATTTCAACGAGCCTTATAATAATTAATTAATACATTTTGCTTCGTCAGGAAAATATATTAATAAATGAATAACGTTTCTAACAATACAAATGATGGTGTACGTTGCGTAATACTAGTGACACGTCACTAAGAACTAGGGAGGACAAATACAGCAAACGGTTAACAGTTTTTGATTTTTCGAGGTTAAACTTTGAAACTTTTTAACTTTTGAAAGTATCAAGATAGACTTTGTGTGTCATTGGGTTTGCAACTGATAATGTCTATGAATATGTAATCAATGTTATTCCGCATCAGGGCCATGGATGCCGTCATTTTTCTTCTCCGTCTGAATAACATGCTAATTTTTTTTTAATTTTACCCTACAAGTCACGACTTATTTCATATGATTTTTTATGGGGTTAGCCAAGCTAATTAAAATAGCTTTCTTTTCAAAGAAAGGTGAACGGCGATACAAGAATATGGCTGTGAACCTTATTGAAGCGTATTTTGTGAACATACGTAGGATGAAACCATAAAAATGATGAGTTCCTGGTCGACAACATCTTCGTCAATGTTTTCATGCCAGAATGAAGAGCTTATCAAAACAGGTCAAAAACATTTTCAAAGTCATTTAATTTCACTTTCAGATATATTGATGACGTCTTGTCTTTAAATAGCAAGAAATTTACTGCCCACCTACCAGAATTGGAAATCAATGACACAGCAGGCGCGTCTTCATCAGCCGCTTATCTCGGTCTTTTCCTACGCCACTAACATGGACAAAAATAAGGAAGAATATTTTCAGAATGGTCTGCTCGGGGGCTTCTGAATAAGATGATTGTAGTATTTTTAGCAAATAACTTACCTAAGACCTAAGCTGACATGGAATAAAAGTTTAATCGGAGTAAAATATTTAGAGATATTAATAACAATATCTTATATGTAGTTGTTGTCTTGAAAACAATTAATGTAAGTTTTAATTATTTCCTATAGATAATTAGATGTCATTCGATTAATTATCTTATACATGAGGATCAGACTCGTATAGTCATCAGAGAACCATCTTTGTTCCATTGTACAATCTAGAATGTGAGATACTTTTCCTCATTCCAGTAATAATGTTCATAGCCTCTATCTGCATCTTTTTCAATTTCATAAGATGTATTTAGAGAACAGGTATAAAAGATTTATAGATAAACTCAAATGTATTTTTTAAACTTTAACATTCTGAGTAACTTCAATCTAGCATAAGCTTTATCACATATTTCTCTAACACGGATATCCCACTTAACAGATATATCTAATCATTGATGACGAAAATATTGAACACTGGAGGATGATCAATGATAGACAATGACACCTAGCGATTTCTGCCCTATACTGGTCCAATCATTTAATGAGACAAGGTCTTAATGTTCACTCGCTAGCTGAAATTAGATAATTATCTGATATGTCATTATAGAGAAATATCATTAGCAAACAGTTTGATGTAAGGAGAAACTTCGATAGTTATCATTCATGAATAAAAGAAAAATAGGACTCTAGCCTTCAATTTCAAATTTGTGAGACCAATTAGTAAATATTTGCAAAACAGTTAAATTTTTTATGATAAATTTCATGTTTGCTAAACGTTTACAACTTATCTCTGTATTAGAATCTTATGTCTAAAATTACAGACCTGATACAGTTGCCTAGACTTTTTATTCTGATGTCTATATAGAAAGAAGCTGATTAAATGCAGCGCTGAAAGCCAGGTCAATACTTACGTATATCATGATGTCTGACAATAAAATGAAAAACACATCTAAATACATTTTAAAAAATAATTTTAGAAAACAGAAGTTTTGGCTATATGTCTGTAATTACTTTGATCAGGAGCCCTTGCCTTTGTATTAACCTTAAACCTTTGAATTTTTCTAAACATAAGGAATAAACCAGTGATAGGTTCATGAAACAAGTACAGATTTAACAAAAGGATTTGATTGGCTTAGGAGCAATACTGTCTCGAGCTGCAGGTTTATTTCTTTAGATCAATCGAATTTGGTCTATAAAAACAGAAATGGGCCTAAGAACATGAACAAAAAAAAAACGGTTTCTTTGAACGATGTATTTTTTTAGGAAAACACGTATGAATGACTTATACTTCACATTAAAAAAAATGTTTTAGTTTCGTTGTCAGAATGGGCGAAAATGCACTAAAAAGAAGCAATATTACATTTTTTGGAGGAACAAGACACATTCACCCCCTTACTGGGGTCGGTCACTCGCCGAGGGCAATCAGTTTACAAAGTAAAGATGAATAATAAATTATGCATCCACATTCTTACGTGTCTGACTATTCCTCTATATATACAAGGAAGCAATTCGACATGCATCAAAGATGAACTGTAAGAAACATAAATCATGTAAAAAGTTCTTCCTTACATACATTAATCTTCCCAGAAAAGATAAACGTAACATGTCATTCATCCGTTATATGCACACAGTCTCCAAACAAGACAGATACGTCGGAAAAATATATTAATGGTGTTCCCTTAGCGTATAAGCAGTAACTAAAATTGTACTGTTTTATCTCTACAAAGTTTTTTACGTGTTTGTGCATGACCTTAACCTTCCACATGTATATAAGGATTCCTTTTAACATAATTGATGACTACAATGCATCCTAAATTAAATAACCTGCTGAATAGGACAAATTTCTTGATATAACTTACTGCTCATTTACACAAATTATCTTCTCGATAAATTAACATAGCTAGGGAGAGAGGTCGACCCATGGAACTTCGATATGTAAATGCTAGGAGTCATCGCTTGAATCCGTCCAGAATATATATATATGCGAATAACTTCTAGCATTAATATATCGAAGTTCAATAGGTCGACCTCTATCTCTAGCTATGTTAATTTCTATCTAGACGATCCTATGTATTGGTTTCACTTGCCTGAAAACTTTAGCGAACAATCGTGTTTTTTTATCTTTTCAAGCCGATATAAGTAGCGCTATGATTGACACGTGGATTCTCTAATCCTCGAGTCATTAGGAACAGTTAGATTCGATTGACGTGTTTAACTATTACGAGGCGTGTACTCCTTTCAGAAAATATGAATGTCTGGAGCGCGTAAATCTTGGGGGTTAAAAAAAAGAACTGTCAAGTATGTTCATTTGTGCCGTTTCGGTGCTAATGCACGATGGTCAATATAAGAAATTGTCACATTTTTCAAAACGCACGTTGCGTAAATACATAAAATGAGTATTAAACATTTCCCGAGACATTTTCTAAATCTTCTTATTGCGATAGTTAGGGAGATATGTTTAATGATGCTCTAGCTTTTGTCCTGATGTTCTGTGAATACCATATATCCGTATAACATTTCCAACAGCTGTTTCATTACATAATAGGAGATAACACAAAAAGACCAGCATTTTCCCTACTTTTTAAAACAGTAACATGCAAGCTTTTACGTTTAAGAATGAATATCGTTGCATTCTTAAACAGTATGTATAGAAGTAATAATAATTGATCGGTCATGTCAACACTTGTGTCTTTGTATATGAATTACAAGTAACTCTGAATGAATTTTACAGCTGAGATGGCTCGACAACTTCCTTTCGGCTCCGTCTTGTTATCTCGTATGTGCTCGTCAGTGACACCAAAACCCAGCATCCCATTCACCCATAACCTGGAATCGCCGGAAGCTTGTGGTCATGCTTGTCCCAAGTCCGAGACGGAAAGGGATGGTTCAAAAACCATTCTAAAGAAATCCATCCCAGTGAAAAATATGAAATCCATCAACCAGATCCCAGGACCTAAGGGTCTTCAAGGATTGCCGATTTTAGGAACAATATTAGCATTACACCCATTCAGTAAGCACCCGAGATGTTTTTATAAAACTATCATAATTTACTACATTATTGAAGTCAGTCAATAGAACAATTGCGTCTCTTCATTTTTTGTTTAAATCCAGTTTCAGGTTTAAGTTTCATTCGGTACATGATAGATTCTGTTCACATGTATCGACAAAAAAATGCATATTCAAGCAGCATAGGTGAAAGTATCCAATATCCATGTAGGTTTAAAACATAATTTCCACAGTTGCGTCATATATCAATGTTCATTCATCCTTTATATTTTTTCAACTGTCGGTCCCAGATAGAAAATTTGCCCTATATTCCTTCAATCATGAGATGATCACTTTTCGACTATATATTATGGAATTAAAATATATTGTCACCGTTAAATAATCAACAATTGTTTCGCCAGAAAAATGACGTTCTTTTGTTGAGGTCTCCATCAAGGTAGCCTATAGATCAATTCGGTGTGTCATCATACCTTGCCCACAATGTATCGATTAGACTCGATGTGTAAAAATGATAACCGATAACGTTACACATTATTTATAATATATGTCGTTTATAATTTCAGCCAATCATACCACATCAAAATTTCATCTTTTGTTCCGTGAGCTTCATGCTAAATATGGAAAGATTGTCCTGTTCCCCATGGGAAAGAAGAAGAGTGTCCTACTGTTTGACCCAGATTTGATAGATGCAGCCATGCGTGACGAAGGCCGTTACCCACACCGTATGGCCCTTCCCATTTTGGAGTCCTATGCATCTCGGCGGGGAGCGGATTTAATAAGCTTAAGGTGTTTATTACTTCAAATGAAATGAAACCCATATGTAATGCCGAAATGTTTAAAATTGCAACATGATCAGTAAGAAAAAGGATGAGAAATACGTTTTCCCCGTTTTTAATGTGCTTCTCGCCAGGAGTCCAACTAGTAGACAATACCCATTAATAAGCAATTATAGGTTTCATCTTTCCCATGCCGTTTATTGTTTTTGAGTTTACAGATTGAAATACAATCACTGCATTAAGATATATATTAGCGTTAAATACTGCACATCTGTATCATTGTATATGCATACCATGTATACAACAAACTCGCAAAAAAAATATCATTTAGAAAACACTATAACAATTTTGTGATCAGACAGGGCGAGAGTTGGTACCAGGTACGAAGACCACTGCAGCAGGGTTTGTCCTCGCGGACGATAGGGAGCGCCCTCGTGGACCACGTCTATTGCGGGGACGACCTGGTGATGGAACTTGGACGATTGACCAACACTGACGGACAGCTGAATGCACTTTTCTTGAAACGTTTGTTGATGCAGTATGTGCTTGAAGGTGATATGTTACTCTTTAAATAAATACCGTGTCATGTGGTCATATAAACATAACATTAAGATATCACTTAACCCTCAACAGAGCATTTTTGGTATTGTCTTAACCTCACATTGTGAAAAATGGTAAACATCTATATAAAACATCCCTTTTTGGAAATATGTTAATCTTTAAATAAAGCTTTGTGTAGAGCGATCTTTTAATCAATTAATAAAATACTGTGTGAGGTGATAAGTTAATCTCTAAACATTCTAAACAAAACAGTTTGGAAGATGTTAAATTATGAATAAAATATTGCTTGAGGTAATTAGTCAATTTCTAAACAAAACACTGCGTTGGGTGATCTTTCTTTTTAAATATCACAATGGATTTCAATTATTAGAGTTGATAACATTAGTCATTTTGATAATACGTTATCGTTAAGGTGCTTCTTAATTCATACATCACCATTTCAGCCACAGCTGTAATAACCTTCAATACCAGACTAGGTATACTAAGTGACAATGCTGGCTCCCACAAGGAAAATGAAGAGTTTTTCCAGAACGTGGACGAGGTGTTTCTTCTGATATCGAAGTCGCTTTACACCTTACCACTTATGAAGTGGTACAGGACGCCCGCGTACAAGCGGTTTGAATCCGCCATGGATAACATAAGAAGGTATTGATAATATAATTTGAGATTGGTAATAAACAGGTTTGTTTGATAAATGGGACTTTGAAAATTGCGATTAAATGGACATATAATCTTTCTATCCTTGTTATGAAAATATACAGTATTTTGGCGACAAATGAAATATTTATATACAGACCTTTGAAAACAGAAGACTTGGTGTTCCGCGAGGAACCTGTGATGAAAAGTCATGTCAATTCTAACACATTTAACTTCATATTGCACGAAAAAGTAATTTTTCCAGTTGGATTATAGTATTTCTGGAAAGTTAGGAACAAACTTGTGGAAGCACATCACAGGTTGACGAAGCAGCTCAAATATTTAGTAACAAAACAATATGATAACATGATGGATATATGATGAAGAATAAATATATCATGTTACTTTGATACCGGCAAGCGGTCAAAGAGCTGAACGTCCTGATACAGTGCTGACATCAGTTACTCAACGCCTATGAAAACTACCCCATAAAACAAAGACATTGTCCTTACAATAAACATTATCATCTACAACTACAGAAAATACATCACATAGTGCAAATATGATCTGTAGTGAATAAGATAACATGTTGATATCCATTTGCTTTAGAACTGATTGTGTGGGGATCCCTAAATATCATGGCTGAAACGCCCTCTGGAAAGAAAAAATAAAATGAAGCAAGAATTTGATCAAAGTACACGTATAAAACTCCACAAACGGGGAAATTTCTTGCTGTCTTCAGTTATCAACATTTAGAACCTCGTTATATCATTTCAGCTTCTGTAAAAAGAAAATTTTACTGGCGAGGGAAGATTTAAAAGATCATCAGATGTGTGATAATTTACTTCGGCATCTATCACACGATCACAACATGAGTGACGAGCAAGTCACCACCGTGATGAGCAGCATTTTGTTTGGTGGAATAGAGATGGTAAGTCCTATGCATCTCTATTGCTCATTCATCTGGCGATATGTAGTCATAGCAATACCTGAGTTCGTGCAGAATTCATTTCCTTTTAGCGGTGAAGCCCCTTTTTCTGACGTCATTATTATCGTGGGTTTTCCAATATATTTCTTAAGTATGCTTTAATTTTTCTAATAGTCAATATTGCATTGCTTATTTTTTATTTTTTAATCTTAAATTTCAAATATTTCGTTTAAACAGACGTCGCAAGCGTTGACGTGGGTGCTGTGGTCACTAGGTACTCATGAGGACAAGCAGGAGAAGTTGATCCAAGAAATCCAGAGTATCTATAACAAACACAACAATATATCAGTAGAAGAGCTGCAGCATATGCCATACTTAAAAGCTTGTGTTAAGGAATCATTCAGGTACCACTAATAAGCATACTGGATTAACGTCCAAACAAATTTCAACCTTTACAGTGTTTAATAGAAACTGGGTTGAAATTCAGAATATTACCTATTTTATTCATAAACATATGAATACATATATATATATATGTGTGTGTGTGTGTATGTGTGTGTGTGTGTGTGTGTGTGTGTGTGTGTGTGTTTAGAAATGACATCATTTATATGTAAATAATATTTAAATACGACAAATTGAGTTTTCGGTGCTGTTTTCTCCGCAGATTCGTCTTTCCTTCAGTCAACGGATCCATGAGAATTATTCCCAGCGACGTCATTCTGAGTGATTACCTCGTACCAAAAGGCGTGAGCGTGCTACTTTTAATAGGTTTTCCTTAGAAAGGTAGAAAAGAGGGATGAATGTATTAAAGAAGTCGAAGTATTTAAAAGTACCTCGAGTGGTTTTTATGCCCGTCAAGTCATCGAAATGGTCAGTATTCCAGATATGGTTGACGTAGCTGTCCGAATGTGGAAGGTTTTTTCCACCTAGTTACAAATTGAACGCCGGGATCTTATGAGATTAATGCAGTTTTCATTTGATATTGAACCATTAACAAAAAAGGCGGATAAAGTTTAATTGATCCTTCAATAAATAGTTGCATTGAGAATCTTGTGTCATTAATAGAACAGAACTTCTTGTGTTTCATTTACCCTCCTTACCCTGAAAATACTTCTTCCAGGACACTACTCCTATTGAAATCAAATATATTCGCTTCCTCAAGAATATTCCATTGACGTGTGATATATTTTTCAAATTAATTTATAAATAAATGAAATCGGTGTGGATTGTATCGTTCGTGAACTACCGAGTATCCCCGATTTACGATGTTATGGGTGTCAGCACACTACTGCCATGATAGAACATTTTTCCATTATATACCGGTGGTATTGTGTTGGGTGTCGTCTCAGTTCCAGTCGTTGCTTTATATCCGTTCAAGATTGACCGGGTGATATATTTTTCTCTGTTTAACTATATAAAAATAAATTTCTAGAACAGATAATCCATGGTATTGTTTCTTAGTTAGGGATTGAGATTATTGTACATGACATTCATGAAACATTGTTGCAACTGAATTCCCTCTCTACATTGCCAGACATGGATACTTTTTGGACACAACGCCCTCTGCCGTAGTCCCGCATACTTTGACCGCCCTGAGGAGTACGTGCCTGAACGTTGGTTGGACCCCAATCAAACCCCCGACAGAAGACGCAAGATGGCACTATGTGCCCTTCCATTTGGAATGGGCAAACGTAACTGCGTGGGCCGAAGGTTGGCAGAACAACAGATTTACGTAGCTGTAGTCAAGGTATCAACCACTTATGTTGTAGTAAAGTATAATACATAACGATTTTTGGTAAATAATTAAATTAAAATTATTCTTCATCACCATTGATAAGATATCAGTATGTCGGTTCTGAAAAAAAACGACGATGTTTGATAATATAAGAGCGGTTGCTCACTAAATTATTTCAAAATAATTTTTGGTAACTATTCATTTCAACTACATCTTGAGTAATATTACTGTGATATATACCAATTCCGTTTTTTTTCTTTCTTTTTAAATTCCAGATTCTACAAAAATTTAAAGTTACTGTACCAGAGACTTCTAAGAAAATGGAAATATCATACAATGTGACTGCGTTACCAGACAAAGATCTAGATATCCGGTTCACAGAGAGAAATGTTGCAGGGTCAATACGTTAACCTGCGGCACATAAAAGAAACTTTCATAACAGTGAAACCAGGATACTCTCCCAAAGTTAAATATTCAGAATGGAAACGAATTTGATATCAAATGCTTTCAAAAGCAAGATATCCCGTCCAGGAAGGGACAAAAAAGTCCTGTTGAGCAGGCCGAGATCATGTTGTTAGATGATATTATTTTGGTTCCTACTCAGGGATACAATGGTGACTATTATTTTTGCAAGCGGATTTGAAACATTAATAGTCATTTTCCCAAACATACCAACATTGTAATCCTGATTTCAATGATTATTAATAATTCAGTGGAATAAACATTACATGATGGACCAAACATGGAAACTTCGACGTAATCCTCCTAGAAGCTCAACATCATAAAGTAACTAGAAGATCCCACACAGACTTTTTGCTCTTTATTCGTCTTTAACAGGTTTCCCCTTCTTTTCAATTGTTTCTGCTGTTCTTGATCTTAATCATATGAAATTTATAAATTTCTATTGAGAAATAATGATAATAGTCATAAATTGCCAAATCCAAGATGATCACCTGTCGGGTATTTTGATTTTTGATCAGTCAACAAATAAAAAGAGCACAAGTGAGGTCTATTGGAATCTACATAAGGAATTTAAGAACTTCTGAAAAAATAAACTAACTGTCAAGTCCAAGATGGTCGCCCATCATCCATTTTCGTTTTCCAATCAATCCAAAAATCAACAGGGTACTACTATGGACCAAGCAAAAATTTTGAAAGATCCATCCAGTACTTCTCAAGAAAAAAGCGATAAAATTTCGTCAAAATTCAAGATGGCCATCTGTCAGTCATTTTGTTTTCTTGTTCATTCCCAAAATCCAAAGGGCACAAAAGGAGCAAGAGGACCCTACATATAAAGTTTGAGAAAGAGCGATAACAAGAATTGTTTATGGACTGACGACAACATCTGATGATAAAATCATTTCAGCACTGAGTCTAAGTCAACTAATATGACATTGATATAACATTGTTTCATCAGTAAAGAAACTGTCATTGTATGGATAAAGGTTCGTGGAGACATATGAACTACTGGTTTCTTCCATTTCAAAGCAGCCCTCTGAAGGTGGATGCAAATTGTCACCATTCCCACATTCATACATTCTAATGTAGAAGGGTATTGATAATACTTATCTTTACTCATTGTCCAGAAAGACAGCATATTCTTTGAATCCAAATGTTGTTATATAATGTGTAACCAGTTGCAATTTGGTAATTTAATTTTTTTCACAAGAATTGGAACCTTCCAGTATCTTATTCTGTAATACTGACACCACAAATTTAGAATTCAACATATGACCAAAACACAAAATTATACAGAAATTAATTTTGAACCCTTTAAATACAGTTTTAAATCAAAGCATATAACTTCAATTCATTAGACTCATTCTAAAGACATCTTTTGGCTGAGTACTAATATTCCCTGATTAGTTCCTACTAGTGAATTGTAATATGAAGTACAGTGCTACCTCGAGGTGGACACGAGGAAATCAACTAAGTAGATCTTATATAATATTTATGCAAATTTACCAGTGATTACAGGCTTGAAAATGTTTGTTAAAGTACTTCTTCCCTCTTTTATCTAATAAATAGGACAGAGAAATCACATGAGGTAAAAAAAATAACATTTTAATATTGAATTATGTAAAATCAAGGCTTCCATATGGACCGATAAGCATTCAATTCCCCACTTATGTGGTGAGGCTATAAATTATCACATGAAGATATTTTGGTATTATGTCAATTTTGTTGCATTCCATTACATGTCAAATATTTCCACACACTATAAGGAATTTCTCTCATCTCAGTCTGGTTGTTCTCTTCTGGTCACATCCAGTTGTGACACCAGTCAAGCTGCAATGTGTCTAGGTAATATTTGTTCCTCATCATGTTTTCCAATTTCAACTTCCAAAACTGAACTTCCATTCATCAACCATTCATTTTAATGTAGTCTGAAAGCAAAGAATATTGATGTTAACATCGAAGACTTTGATGTTAATTTTTCTACTTCAAAGGTAATCAGAACTCATAGAACTCGTATGAATCTTTGAACTGAAAAAATTGAGATGCCACCTTCTCAAATGAGAAAAGTTTACACTGGCCTATTTAAATTGAATTTACACAGTGCAATAAAATACATCTCATTATGTAAAGCATGTTAAATGATTGTCATACCATTACAACAATGCCTGATATGCCTGAACATGTCAATTTTCCATCAATTCCATATGACTGCTATATTTATCATTATTATTATTTTCAATGGGTTTAACATCTTATTTGTCTGTTAGGGTTGATTATGCTCTTAGATTACCTGAAGCAAAATAAACAAAATGTTTTTAAAATACTGAAATTGGTTGTGTATATCTGTGGAGATCAGAATCATGCCTAAGCCTGGTAGGTTGTAGGGGTCAAACATCTACATTTTTATTATGTTCACCTGACTGTTTAACACATGTGAAGTATTTCTATCTATACACACCTTTTATAGTCTTAACTCGATGGCTTTACTCATTGTGTAAACTTCTTAGTCTAAATACACTTCAATCTTTACATTCTACATAAATTCGCTAGTCTTAAATACATTCTTTATATGTTCTTCAGCCTTTATAACATTTCTCGTACATTCTTCAGCCTTTATAATGTTTCTCGTACATTCTTCAGCCTTTATAACGTTTCTCGTACATTCTTCAGCCTTTATAACGTTTCTCGTACATTCTTCAGCCTTTATAACGTACATTCTTCAGCCTTTATAACGTTTCTCGTACATTCTTCAGCCTTTATAACGTTTCTCGTACATTCTTCAGCCTTTATAACGTTTCTCGTACATTCTTCAGCCTTTATAACGTTTCTCGTACATTCTTCAGCCTTTATAACGTTTCTCGTACATTCTTCAGCCTTTATAACGTTTCTCGTACATTCTTCAGCCTTTATAACGTTTCTCGTACATTCTTCAGCCTTTATAACATTTCTTGTACATTCTTCAGCCTTTATAACATTTCTCGTACATTCTGCAGCTCTTGCTCTAAATTCCAATTTTCAGACTTCCCGTTCTATATCCAATGTATAGTATTCTTCAGTATCAGTTTTTAATCTTCTTGCATATTCTTCAAAATTAAAACTTCTTGAACAATCTTCAGTCTTAATACTTCTACGCTCTTCAATTTTAATAATCTGCAAGATTTACATTACTTGTATAGTCTTCAGTCATTACACATCTAGTATACATATCTAATATATTCTTCAAGCTTTACAATCCTTGTACATTCTTCAGTCCATACAAACCTAGTATATTCTCCAGTCTTTACACACCTTGTTTGCCCTTCAGTTTAAGTTTATATTCTATTTTAGTTTTTACTCACCTAATAATCATTAAGTCTTTACACAACTTGTGCCTTCAATTTACATATGTACATATCAATTTACCTTTACAGCTGAGACCCAAGTTCTGTGCTTCTGGTAGTGTTCCCCTGTGCAGCAGAAAATGCAGAGCTTTCCCTTCATCAAAATGATACACCTTTACTCTCTGATACACTCCAGTTATAGCTGGCATTGATACCCAGCACAGATGTTAGCTGTGAATACATACCAGATGCACATAAAAATACCACACAAGTATTTTCCAAAACATATATTTATTTCGAAATCTTTAAGCACTAATTGTCATAAATTTTATATTTAAGTTCACAACTAAACAATAACATCTTGAATGATACAGGCGAGACTGATGATATTATTAAAATGATTAAAAGTTTGAGCACAAACTGCACACATCAATATAAAACCACCACAGAAAACGTACCACTATTAATTGTCATGTGTTTGTATTTACCTGTTTAAATTTTGATCTTATTTGTTGTATCATTTCAAATAGCTGAGGTTGTGTTGGGTTTGTCAGTGGAAATTCATCAACCAACTTCAGCAAAGACTGGGCAGTCTTGATGGCTCTTTGAACAAAGGAGATACTTCATAGTTAAAATCCTCAAAAATAATTACAAAATCCAAAAACTGGTACTTATATCCTCAACTTAGGAAAGGATAGAGGGGTAATCAATTTGTCTGCATATGTGTGTGTTTTTACATGTGTCCTTGATAACCTTGTATACAAATTATTTCATGAACCTACAGTTTACTTCATTTTCACGATATAGAATCACTTCACCAAGGTCTAGACCCCATGCTGACACTGATGCCGTGATGATTAATTAGTCCCCCTATTCTTTGAACAGGTGAACGCACAAAAAACTTGTGTACAAGATATTTCCTGAAACCCTCATGACTAACTTCATATTTACAACACCATATTATTTATAAAGTTCTATACCAGATTATATATGGTTGTCATCTTTCCGGATTAATGGTCAAGTGTCACTGTTGACCACTTTTGACATTAACATGAGGCCCAAGAGCCTTAACAGTCACCTCAGTCACGATGCTTCTGGTAACATGTAATAGAAATGATTTTGTCAAAAAAAGTAATATCGGGGTATAACTTAACTATGTTGTACATATAATGCAAATGTAAATTGTATATACACTAACTGTTGTCTAATACTAAACCAAGTTTGAATTAAAAAAAAATTACACTCAAGATTTGAATTTTCCTATATGAAATATTCCATCCAGGAACAGTAGAACAATTTGACCCATCAAACTGTCAGCTTCTACTAATGAAGAAAATATTCTAACCAAGTTTCAACTATGTCTGAAAGAAAATAAACAAGAGGCCAAGAGGGCCTGTATCGCTCACCTGGATCTTTATGACCAACATTACTATATCTGTGCATAAGTTCCACGTTTAACACATTTGACCCCTGTGACCTTGAATATGGGTCAAGGTCATTTCTTTTACTTTCTTGGACTTCATAAAAGGAACATGCTGGCCAAATATAATGATTCTAGGCTTTTCGATATTTCAGAAGAAATTGTTTAAACGTTTTAAAACATTTGATTCCTGTGACCTTGAAGATTGGTCAAGGTCATTTCTTTTAGCAAACTTTGTAGGACACCAGAAGACGAATAAAGTAGCCTAATATAATGATTCTAGGCCTTCTGGTATTTTGAATTTTTAAACACATTTGACCTCTGTGACCTTGAATATGGGTCAAGGTTATTTTTTTCGCAAACTTTGTTGGGCTTCATCAAAGGAACTATCCAGCCAAATATAATGATTGTAGGCCTTCTGGTATTTTGGAAGAAGTTGTTGAAATGTTTTAACACATTTGACCTCAGTGACCTTGAATATGGGTCAAGGTCTTTTCTTTTTGCAAACTTTGTTGGGCTTTATCAAAGGAACCTTCCAGCCATACATAATGATTCTAGGCCTTCCACTATTTTGGAAGAAGGCGTTTAAATGTTTTAACACATTTGACCTCTGTGACCATGAATATGAGTCAAGGTTATGTTTTTTTTTTTTTTGCAAACTTTGTTGGGCTTCAGCAAAGGAACTATCCAGCCAAATATAATGATTGTAGGCCTTCCAGTGTTTTGGAAGAAGTTGTTGAAATGTTTTAGCACATTTGACCTCAGTGACATTGAATATGGGTCAAAGTCATTTCTTTTTGCAAACTATGTTGGGCTTCATCAAAGGAACCTTCCAGCCAAATATAATGATTCTAGGCCTTCTGGTATTTTGGAAGAAGTTGTTTAAAGGTTTTAACACATTTGACCTCAGTGACGTTGAATATGGGTCAAGGTCATTTCTTTTTGCAAACTTTATTTGGTTTCATCAAAGGAACCTTACAGACAAATATGATAACTCTACGCCTTTCGGTATTTCAGAAGAAGTTGTTAAATGAAAAGTTGAGGGATGCCAGACAGGCCAGGTGAGCTAAAAATGTAATTTTCCTGTATAAAATATAATAAAATTTAACCAGTCCCTAAGGGAATGTGTGAGACCCTGTGGTCATGAAATTTACAATTTGTATCAATGAAGAGTGTTTGATTCTTCATTATATGAGCAATGAGAAGAAAAGTTTTGAAATTTTAATGAATTTGATCCATGTTTGGCCCCACCCCTCGGGCCCATGGGGGTTCAGAACCATACAATTTACAATTTCGGTGCACCTTTACAATGGAATGTTTTTGTAAAATTACACTGAAATTGGTTCAAAGGTTTACCAGAAGAAGTTAGAAATATTAAAAGTTTACAACACAATGAAACATGTCAGACAAAAGGGGGTCTCAATAGGTCATCCTGAGACTTTGTCTCCGGTGACCTAGAAAGCTTGTGTAAAGATACCTCATGAACCTCTCAATAGATTAAGATCAGATTAAAAAGATGAATCCCTGCTTGCTTTTACTTCTTTCTATTTATTAACAGTATAAATATACTAGTAGTTACCTTTGTTTGCCTTCCTGGGAATCTTCCATTTTCTGTAAGATTTTTTGGCAGAACCCAACATAAAATCCAAGCTGAAACAAATGAAACAGTTTTTAACCAATGATATTCTCTATGTACCTGTCAACACTCATGATCTCATTGACGGTCTCAAGACATCTGGCCACTGTTTCATAGTGCTCATTTTCTCACCATCACGGCTATACTAGTCTCATAATTTCTTAAAGCTTCATATTTTGTAATACTATGTGTGTCTACAGTCCTAGTTTATAAAATGCAACGTTTTTAAGGTCTTTAATTAGATAATTCAGGAATAATTTGATCATGTCAATAATGAACACAAGGTGGACTATCTGTCATAAGTAACAAGGGCTCTGCTGGTTGTCATAACAATTCAATCTGATTCATAATAAATATCATAAAGGTTTTTCACCAAATGCAGATTTTGCCATTTTGTGCCAGAAAAATAAGAAAAATTTCACTGTAGTTGTGTAATATTTTTGCCATCAAGAAAACAGGAAGTGAAATTATATCATATAATCCTTTCTTAATTAAATTTAAATTTCAAATTTATCAGTTCAATAATGGCAAAGCTACATTGTGGCAAAAATAAGACACTGGTGAGAAAAATCTGTTATACAGTATTGTAAACATTTGAATACATGTAAGGGATATTTGACAGCTACATTTGTTTTACTGTTGTCTTAAGTACCAGCTTACCTCTGATCCAACACCTGATCCTTTCTCCCAGCCTAGCCTATACCCATCTTCCATACCAGTCTTCTGTCCAATCTTCTGTCCAGCCGTGAAGCCTTGGCTCTGTGACCTGAATAGTTATCATTTTTTTACAATATGAAATTGAAGTATACTTAATATCAACTGAGAGATCTATACACTAGGCTATGTATATCAAGTGATCTTTCTATCAGGACCAAAAAATACAATGGGAGGGTCAAATTATCTGTATTGCCCACTTGTATATACAGCAATGAGAGCTAGATCTTCTATAAGCTAGATATGTAAGAGAGACAGGAATGCATTTTCTGTCAACCAAGGGGATAAGTAGACTGGAACAATGTATATTATAAACAAGAGATCCTACAGTCTTGGTAAACTTTTTTTCAGTCAGAATGACAGCCAAGGAAAACACCATATGCCCCAAACCAAGAAATGGTGAATACATACAAAATCATATGGCTGGGTCTCCCCAAGCTTCATTTCTGTAGGTTTCTACAGCAGGATGTCAACTTCCAGAGTGGAAAAGTACTGACAGGAAGTAGTTTGTATCAAGAGCAGTTAACGAGGCTGATAGCAGGTAGCTGCACAAAGACATTGTCATAACAGTGACAGGTGGAAGGCAAGGCTTAGAAACATCCAAAAGTAGTTACTGGAAGAAAACTGATGTAGCAGAAAGATGAAGTATGATCCAAAAAGCAATAAGAAGCAAGAAGGAGGAGTGCAGGCAAGCCTTAACAGTGGAATAAGAAATTCAGGAAATATGTATTGGCCAGAACAGAAATCTGGAGGTAACCAAAATTCCAAGCACAGTTTTTCCTTTGGTCTATGTGTGACAATCACTAGCAAATCTCCAAATATATGGCCTGGTAGAAACACTGGACTACACCCTTTGTGAACAGAGAATCACCTTACTGTACATACCGGTACTAATCACTTTTCAAGTGAAGATACACAAGTTCTAAAGGAGCTGGCGGAAGAATAAGACAAGGTCAAAACAAACAAAGATCTGTTGTGAAAGAGGATGATACAGCAACATCCAGTAACAAAGAAAAACCTTCCAGAATCTTGAACCAGGCAAGAGACTTAATGCTGGTTGTGGATCTCTGACCAGAAATTGACCTTTCAAGATATAATTCCAACCAATCTAGGATATAGTGCTTTGGTCATAAAGATGATAAAACCATGAGAGGAAAAATGCAGTGAAGCCAGTGAGAGAATGAAAAACTGATTATAGGTTTGATGTTAAGGTTTTTGATATCAAATTATTATTTATATCATTCTGGAGTCCATGTGATGACAAATGTTATAACTACACAGAGATTATTAATAATTTCAATTATAAAGAGTAAATGAGAATCAGAATACTTCTGAAGTGTATATTTATAACGTCCAATTATTTTCTTTCAGTTTTTGTCAATGCTTGAAGTCAAGTTTTGATATCATGTTTATGATGCAGATCTGTTAAATTTTGGTGAATGTATCATAGTGAGGTTTGAATTAAGCAGACATTCATATAATTTACAAAAACACCATCAATCAAATTGGATCAGAGTTGCCTTGGATGACCAAGTGGAGCTCTTCAAAGATAACACATGTGTGTCTATAAGTTCATGTACATGTCACTGGAAACAGTACATGCAGAGACAGAACAGTTTGCTATGTAAAGAAATATATGTAACTCTATAAAATGAAAAGTTTTCAATTACACTGTGCAATTTTAAGCAGGGATTAAATATAAAAATCAAATAAGATGCTTTAAAGATTTTCTCGAGCAATATGTCCATTAGATAGTTTTAAAAGTTATACTCCCCAAATCAAGCTAAAGAGTTCTCAGAGATGCATTGTACAATGTAGTAGATTACATATATTTTGATTTCGATTATTTAATATCAGGTATAGTTTATGTGGGGTGATTGATTTAACAGGAATATATTTTTTCCTTGTATTTAAATCTAATGGTCCGAGTTATCTACACAGGCCCTCTAGTCCTATTATCACCAACTTCTTTTCTGTGCAAAGGGACTCCATATCATACCACATTGTTTACTCAATTAGACGACAACTTTGCTGATTGTTTGTTGACGAAAATTGTCCTTATGAATCATACAGTTACGGAACTTGATATATGTTCAAACCTTTCTTCTGACATAATAATGTCATGAAATATATCGTCATTTTCTGATCCATCTGCCATGTCGCAACACCCAGGTAGTGCATCCGTTACAAGCGTGGAAGAGACAGAGAAAATAGCTCCATGTGTTAGTGCTGTGTACAGCTTATGAAATAAGAAATTATGAGTTTTTACTAACACTTCGATAAATGAAAATATGTTGCAACATAAATATAATTTAATCTGGTTATATCAATAAATAAATGGAAAAAAATCAAGCATCTTTTAAACACAGATTACATTTTGAATGATTTAAGCGACAAGAATCGCGAAATCTGAAATCAGCAACAACCATGAGCGAAGCAGCGAGCACTGATCAACAGGACACACCGGCGCCTTCCAAAGAGTCAAAAGAATCTCTTGATGTCAACAAGGTTATAATTTTCAATAGTTTGCGTTCAAATTGCCACGTTTTAACTACTCACTATGTAGGTATAGGCGAAGACAAAAGGTGGGGGGATGCAAAAACTGCAGGTTTGATTCAGATGTGTAAAATTATCAATGGAACATGCAATTTTGTGTTGATATTGTTTTTGGATGAATTATTTGTAACTTTTCCCATTTTGGGGTGGAGGAGTCTCTTCAATAAATTTATTGGGCTATTACAGACAGGCTGGGCACACAACCTAGTCCGACTACAGACCGATATAAAAAAAGGTCGTTAGAACTTCGGATTAATTCAGGCTAGGCACAACACCGCGTGTGTGTAATAGTCCTGCATTTGAGGGAAAGTTCATGTTAATGTGTATGAAAGATGACGCCCTTATTCGTTGCAAATGTTTAAAATAACACATTGTGTTTTTACTACTTCCAGTAATCCTGCATTGAAATATATTGGATCAATCAATGCAGTAACTATCCCTCAAATGCAGGACTGTTACCCATACGAGGGGTTGTGCACAACCTGATGGATGTTGCAGTTACTTGGTTTCTAATCACTGAGTCACAATTGTTACATGTGATAACCGCATTGCTGAAGAACTAAGATAAATAAGAAAATGAATAACATAATTGTTATTTCTTTAAAGAAATTATGGCATTCGTTGTATTTCAACATCATTGGGTACTACAGTATATAAGAATGTTTAAGACATGTGCTTTTTTCTGAAGTTTTCTTTTTATTTGGTGCAGAAGCATCTGTATCTTGTGGCCATACCGTGTTTTCATGCAATCAACAACATGTCATCACTATTAGATATTGTTAAACGTGATTAGTATTAAACTTTTCATGCAAAATTTACTAAAATAAATTTTCTACGGTTTTTGTTGATATTTCAATACAATCCTAAATTTTTAGTAAAGATAATATTCAGCAGTATAAATGAAATTCAACCAATGAAATAAATTGGAAATATTTTCACAATGTAAAACAATCATCCCTCAGGAATAAGTAATTTCTTATAATTGTCAACAAATACTAATAATAACATTGAAAAAAATTCTGATTTGTATGGTTGGCAGGTACACTCAGCAAATAGTTGGGAAAAGGTGGAACTAGGAGATGATGATCGTAAGAAGAAATTCCTGAGACTAATGGGAGCAGCTAAGGTATTTGACTTGCATATTCTTTACATTCTGCAATTTGTAAATGTGCATGTAAATTTTTTAAAAATCTTTTTAATCATATGTGTAAACAAAGATAATGTCATATTACACTATTAGTATTTTACTTATTTTGGTTGATTTGCAAAGAAGACTCCTCTAGCTATGTGCTTACTGTGATCATCACTGGATACACATTATTGTTTACTGATATCTATTTAATGTAGGTGGCAGTCTACATCATAATGCATAGAAATTTTGATGTATAATTTTTTTCACTTGAACCGTGTTTACATGTGCGCAAATCAACTAGAAGAAAATGTTACAAAACAGCTGAATTTTACAAAAATGTAACTGATTTTTAGCTCACAAAGTGAACTATAGGGATACTGCAGCATCTGTCATCTGTCAATTTCTTCTACAAAAAGGAATAATTGGATTTTGTCCAAAGGTTAAAAAAATCTTTACAAGAAGAGAAATCAATTTTGTATGAATGGTGGATCTCAGCCCAAATGGGCAGGAGAGGCAGGGCCAAATAGGGAAAATAGAGAAAATTCTTTGAAATCCTACTCCTCCTGTAGGATTGATTGGATTTCATCCAAATTTTGTCTGAATCATGTTTTTGTGAATCAATTTTTTATAAACAATTAGTCTCACCCTGTGGGGTAGGAGGGGCAGAGCCCCATAGGGGAAATAGAGCAAGTTCTTGAAAATCCTACTCCTCCTAAAGGTATGATTGGATTTTGCTCAAATTTGGTACAAATCAATTTTTGGTGAAGGGATTCAATTAGTATAAATGATGGATCTTGGCCTGCAAGGGCAGGAAAAGAGGGGCTCAATAGTGGAAATATGTTTGAAAACAGTTTAGATCCCAATCACATAACCATGTATGGCATTGCTGGGCACATAGAGAGATAATCAATCGTGATGTAAGAGTTGGCTCTGGGGTCTGGTCCCACCCTCAGGGGCATAGTTTCCTTGTTATATCTTTGAAACAACAATAACCGGCATCAAGAGGTAAACACAATTAGAATTAACCCTTGGGACTGGCCCCATCCCCAGGGACTTAGTTTCTTTATTATATCTTTAAAGCTGTTTAGATCCCCACCCCATAACCATATGGTATCCCAATGTTGAGGATCAAGAGATAAACACACTCACCATGTGAGAACTGGCCCTTGGATATGGCCCCACTCCTCTGGACTTCATTTGTGGGTGATGTCTTTGAAAAAGTTGAAATCCCTACCCCATAACTATATATATAGAATTGCTTTGCATCAAGAGACAAAACACATTTATTATGTAAGAAGTGGTCCTTGGGTGTGGCATACCTCAAGGGACATTATTTCTGGGTCATATCTTTTATATAGTTTAGATACCAACCCAGTAACCATATAAACTCTTACTGGGAATCAGTAGAGAAAGACAGTAATGATATAAGAATTTATTCATTGGTCTTGCCCCATCATAGATGTTAGGTTACTGAGCTTTAATTTGGAAATATTTGAAATACCCAAACATTGCTGGGCTTTAAGATCCAGATGATTGATACAGGCTCTATGGGCCTCTTGTGCATATATGAGAAGCCATGATGGAACAAAGTTTGTACTTATTGCACTTAAATCTGTTTTATTTTACAGACACAACACCAGGGCAGATTTGTTATTGGAGATCAAGATAAATCTCATGGAAGATCATGTAAGTATCAAGGGTAAAGCATTGCTATGGAAGCATCTCAGCAAGTTGTAAGGAAAACATACTATATATATACATAAAGGTAGCATGCCACCTTTTTAGACACAATGAACATCATTGACAGATGTTAACAGATCAAAACATGAGTCCAGTCTTGATATTTCTATCATGTCTTCTATCAGTAACATATCAGTAAACATGTACATATTAAGGTAATACAGATGTGTCTTTCTATATAGGTATCAACAGTTGAATGAGCTCTAGACATACAGTTATAATCTATACATACCTTTATATGATATCAGTGTTTATGAATTAAAGAGAAACTAAAAATAGTGTTAAAGGAAGAAGTTTCACAGTTCTGTCGAAATTCCAGCATTAAGAGATCTTGAATGTAATTAAAGCTCATGCATGGCCAGGCAATAAACCAAGTACCAGGTGTATTTTTATATGTCTAACTAAAACTTTCTTACCACTGCATTGTGTCTTCGTAATTTCATGATGTGGAACTTATCATATCTCATCCTTAGATTAAAGTGGAAAAGCATGAAGTGATGATTTGTCAAAAGCACATTTGAATGATTTTGTATCAAAATGATATTTATTAATAATTCACAGTAACTGATACAGAGACCATGACAAGTAATCTAGAGAAGCAGTTCACAGGTGGTTTGGAACATAAGTTTGCAGCAGGACCAAGAGGGCATGTAGGACTTGGATTTCATGGTGGTGATTCCAAGGTGAAAGATTCTACAGAAAAGTCAGAAGACAAAGTTGAAACAAAGGATTCTTCTGAGGAAAAAGGAAGACCAGATGTGAAAAATGACATTGCTCCAAAACACAAACTGGATGAAAGCTCCAAAAATGCTGATAATGATAAACCACCAGTTAAAATGATGAAATTTGTCAAATCTAGTTCCTGAAAGTACCAGATTTGAAAATTTTGAAAATTAAATTTGTAGCAGCATTTAAAACTTACAATAATGACTTGTTCAGTGGAAAAGGTTATATGACATTATAGGATCAAGATCATGACTAAATTGATTTTTCCTCTCAACATTTTATTACATACCCAATTTCATCTGCCTTGACAAACGACAGCCATCACTGTTTTTCTGAAGTGATTTGATTATCAACCAGGAATGCAATCATTGTGATCTCATGCTTTAAGACCAGTACAGTACAAGATTAAGAATGTATGTGTAAATATTGATACCCAAATACTACGAGATAAAGTTTTCACTGTTTAATCAAATTCAGAGAATTTTACACCTATCATTTCATTCAGAAATAGCATAACTTTATGATCATCATTGTCATTATCCTATTGGTGTTCATATTTTATAAGATGTGAATTGTATTCATTTGTTTTGTTAGTATTAATAAAATACTGTTTGTGTCTGTAGATGATGTAACAATTGACATCAAATCTCTGACATTTTATTTCTTTAATTTATGGTTGTAATGAAATGCTCTATATTCACATTTCCATTACATGGGTTGGTCTACACAATTCATAGGCTTGTTATCTAAAGATAGCAGTGATGGCCAGTACAGTGAAAGTTTTATAGTCAAAAGCTCATTACAATTCTGAAGAAATCGTGGTCTAATCATTTGTGATGTCACTGTCAAAATTTGACACTAATTCATTAATTTCTAATTCATGTTTTTAAACTGACACTGTGCTCAGTCATCACATGCATGATATACTCCTTAGCAGCACAGCAATATCCCTGAACTCACTACATGATACAATAATTGTGATGTACATGAAACAAATATCCAGGTCACATGATGCTATGTTGTCTTGGCTTTGAAGTCAGGTGTCAATCCTTGTAATCCATTTTTCTCTTGAAATCCCTCTAGACCAATCAAATTGCTTTGCTCGTGTTTCTGTTTTGAAGATAATGAAGACCTCGATATAAAATTTAACAGCAGTATTAGTCTGATAAACAGTTGTTTAAATGATTAAAACAGTTAAAAATTCAGAATATTTTAGCAATAAAGGCCAACAAGTGTTGACACCGAAGACTTTATTGTGTATAAAGTCTATTTCTGTAAACTTTAAAGTTTATTTCTTAAGCATGGTACTACACAAATACCAGGATCCTTTGCTTTTTGAAAGAAGAAATTCTTAAATCTCAGCATATTTGACCAATGTGACTTTGAAAGTGGGATAATTGGATAAAGATCAATGATTTTACTAAAGTTGGTTGTCCTTTATCCAATTATGTTACAGAATCAGTAGCCAGGGCCTTTTGGTTATGAAGAACAAAATGCTAAGATGTAAACACTTCTGATCCCTGTGACCTTGAAAATGAGTCATGGTCATTCATTTGAACAGATTTTAGCTTTTTTATACGAGCATGCTACATGCCTCATATCAGGGTTTTTTGGTTACTGAGAAGAAGTCGCTTGAATGGAAAGTTTACGCATGGCGGACGGAGCACAATGAAAGACGAAACACAACAACTATAGGTCACTCTGACCCTTTTAAGTCAGATACCTTAATAATGGCAGTAAAACTCTGTAAAACGTCACGCTTGGCAAAACAGCATGAAATGTTCATTACACTTGATTATACCGTAAAAAATGGCAGTATCACACTGTAAAGCTATGAAATGTCCATTAGAAAATGACCCTTACATTCAGAAAAGGAGTATATTCTTGGCAAAACAGTATAAAATGAACACATTGTAAGACACTATAAAATTATGTTTCATTTGGTAAAAGTGTAACATAAAAATAGTCATAACACTTTTTATATAACTGCGAAATGATAGTTCCACTAGTCAAAACTACATAAATAGACGTTGCTCTTTATAAACACTTTAAAATGGATTTTAACATTTAATGGTAACATATAGATATTGGAAGTAACAAATTGATTATGAATAAATAATAACTTGATAGTTAGAAAACACTGTATACATTTGAAATACATAAAAAACGTTTTTCATTGGTCACAAAGTATTAAAGATGATGTAATATTCCAGCCTCTCTCAGGTGCTCAAAAAGGGCACTAAAAATATCAAGAGAAACAAGCAAGTCTTAGGATCACGAAATCCAAAAATTAAGCCAAAATGGGATATAAAGTGCATCCTTTTTATCTATCATAGTAATATAATTTGTTTGTTCTCTTCTACAGTTAAGACAAATGCAACTTATGTAAGTTTTACACTAATTAAATAGTTTTGTCTTGGTGTATTTACTAATCATACACTTATCGGTTTATAGTCTATATCAAGGTTCCTTATAATACTGTCAGGTAGTAATCCTGAATGAAACACAACCTTTAAAGTCAAAATATCCTTGGTTTGTTTCATTTTTCTTCTTTTTTTTTCCTAGAGTGAACAGAAACTTAACAAGAATTCCCAGATGAGAGATCGTTGCTGTCAGCCATTTTATTTTTCTGACAGCTTCAGACACACTGTGGGGAGCTTTTATCATTAAAATCCAAGATGGCCACTAGTCGGCGATTCTGTTTTCCTAATCAAGCTCAAAATTGAATTGGAACAGATGGGAACTACGCAGAACCTACATTTAACATTGGAAACATCAAAGATGGTCTTTCCAAGAGATGCATAACATAGTGAAAATCAAAGATGGCTGCCATTTCGTTTTGGATCAAGCTCAAAATTAAATGGGTACAACTAGGGATCAAAGGGTACCTACATTTGAAGTTGAAGACAGATCCTTCGACTACTTCTCAAAAAAGAAACGGTAATTAATAATAATGGCTGCCTATAAACCATTTTGTTTTTGGATCAGACTCAAAATTGCTTGGGTATAAGTAGGGACCAAGGGAAACACAAAGTCCGAGACTGATCCACTAAGTACATCAGAATAATGATATTACGAAACAAAGAAGTGGCCATTAAATTCGTGTTTTATTCAGAAATTTTAAATCATCGAAGTAGTATAATGATGAACAAACAAACCTCGCTTTACATGATGATAAGATCTCCATTTCAGTTTTATTTTTAACAATTAAAGATATGCAGTGTTACTTTTCATAATTAGGAGAAATATTCTTGTGTTCAGCATTTAAAAAAAACTGGTAAAACAATACTGCATATACTCAATAATTAAAGTCATTCACCAAAAAACTCAGTCGTACACAAAAGTATCATACACAATTGTAATATTCCTACACACACCATTTTCTGACACAATCCCCAATCTCTCTCTATTCTCTTTTCATTCCATCTACCCCCCCTTTTCTATCCATTTCCATCACAGCTTAAACATATTCCTGATTTAAGATATTCTTTAAATGTACAAAACCACTTTGAAATCAGTAGAAGATACACTGGCATTACTAATATCCCATGTTTTGCTTTCAAATTCATATAACTAGATTTTTAATAAATATATTCAAGGTTCTCTTATATGTGTACAAATTAACAGTACTTTTAAACCAGTGTTAATGAAACCAGATATAGTGACAATCAAGGCTCCCCTACACACATTACTTACACAGGGTGTTAATGGAACTGGAGAGACAATCAAGGCTCCCCTACACACATTACTTACACAGGGTGTTAATGGAACCGGAGAGACAATCAAGGCTCCCCTACACACAATACTTACACAGGGTGTTAATGGAACCGGAGAGACAATCAAGGCTCCCCTACACACAATACTTACACAGGGTGTTAATGGAACCGGAGAGACAATCAAGGCTCCCCTACACACAATACTTACACAGGGTGTTAATGGAACCGGAGAGACAATCAAGGTTCTCTTACACTCATTACTTAAACTGGTGTTAATGGAACCAGATATAGAGATAATCAAGGCTCCCCTACACACATTACTTAAACAGGTGTTCATGGAACCAGATATAGAAATAACTAAGAATAAACATTTTAACTACCCAGTATGACATAATCTGGATTAATAAACAAAAAAATTATTTGTTTTTCTTTCGTTTGCATCGTTTTGGGATAGATTTGGTCAGACTTTTGCTAGAATGTCTGATTTGTTGTTTGGTACTATAAATAAAGTTCTAACTGTTGTTTACACTGTGATGTTTTGATATTAGAAATGATAGATAAATTTAGACTGCTGTTCCCCGCTCAAGGTTCTGTTTAATTTCAGCCGTGTAGGTTCCATAGAATCTCTCGAGCTTCTTGTTAAACTTCATGTTACGCTCATTGATGTAATCAATATCAGCATCTTCATCAAATGTCCGCCGGCGACTATACTTCTCACGCTTTTTAATTCTGCAAAAAATAAAATTGTAATTCAATCTGTAAACTTCTATTTTGTGATGTAAATGCAAAATAGTAATACATTGTATTGAATTCTGTTTGAAGATGCATGCAGTGCTATTTAAGAATCACAAGATTTGTAGAATCAACTTATAATCAAAAGTTTGTTAAATAGCTTTTTAACATTCAAAAGGAAAAGATTAATTAAGATCACAAGATGAATATAATGATCATGTAATACAATGGTCAACATTACTAGTAGTGTCCTAATGAGCAAATAGTATTTAAAAAACACAAAATTAAGATAAATACAAGAAAGAAAGAGATTTTCTAATCAGTTAAACAGTCGATAACAAAAACATCATGGCTTCAGGTTTCATGGAGCTTCACAGTCTAGGGCACCTGTATCATGTACAAGAATTACTCACTGTTTCTCCAGATCATTCACCATTCTATCTACTGCCTCCTCAGAATCTTTACGCTGACTTAACCCAAGTGTGTTCCCAGTAGCATAGAAATCTTCTTCACTGAAAAACGATATATTTTTTTATTATGATTTGCTGAATTTCCATTTTGTTACTTTTGATAAAGAATTTCCTTTATTATAAAGTGCGAAAATGAAACCAAAATTTTCAAATCTTAATGATAAGGTTTCCACAATACACTGATTTCATATCACCTAAGGTCAAAAATTAGTACATCAATAGTACATACAGCTTATCCTTCTGTCTGTTATAGTTGTCCATGTCTGGTTTGAGACTTTTAGTGAGTCTGTCGTACTGACGTCGAGTTGCTGCTTCATATCCTGCAATAAATATTCCAGTGATTATTATGTCTAGTGTTTGGTACAGACTCTAAAACACTACATTTTCAGGTACTTTAGAACTTATGTTGAGATGTCTTCTCTGGCTATAAAACCGATTGAATTTGAAGTCATCCCAAACTTTATTGGGTCATCTAAAGTAAATTTATTTTCTCCATTTAACTAAAGTATATCTTTAAAGTAGGTCTCTGGGTAAAGAGCAATTGACAATGTTTAACAGAAGTTATCAACCTCTAAGCTTGTAGAACTAGAAATCATGTTTTATTGCTAACTAAAGCAATGCTACATTCAGTAGATTACTAATAAACAAACCAGAAAATCCTGGGTCTGGATTCTTCTTTTTCTTTTTTCGTTCCCATTTTTCTGCCTCATCAGCTCCAATTTCCAATAATTTTACTCTGTCATATTCTTCTCCTTTTGCTTCTGCCTCCTACAAAATATTTCATGAAGAAAATACCATATATGGCTTTGAACAACTAAAATCCCTCTGTATGACCTGAATGGTCCCATTCCTATGTTACATTTGTCTCTTTAACCTTGATTGATTACCACCTTAATATGCCAAGATGTAGAACCTTATATTATGATACTATGGGAGTGAATATGAACCAAATCTGATGATAAGTTCTAAAGGTATGACACTGATTCAGGAGAGGAGAAGCCATAAGAGACTAACATTGGTATCACCACTAAAATAGCAGGGGCATAAAAACCACACCACAGAGATAATATGACAAGTAATGTTGGTTTGTAATCTACATGTTGGTTATGCTGCTATAACGATAACCTATGCTAGTGAATAAAATACCAGAAACATTACTGATCATTCAATACAGAGAAAAATGCAGAAAAATATTTTGTCACCATGTTTTCTTGATTTTGATAGTCTGTCCTACCCAGCAAAATGTTGGATGCAAGAAGACAAATACTAAAGAAATTAGAATGATGCCACAAAATTTCAAATATGTTGTGAATTTATATATATATATGCCATATGTTACACCAGAAGTTACACATTTGTGCGTTAGTCATCATTGCCTCAAACATCATTAGGTTAAGCTTATCACCTTTCTCTTATTTTCTTCCTCTTCTTCCCACTCTATTCTTTTCCTCTTTTGCTCAAAATTTGCTGGAAGTTTCTTTCTTCTGTCTTCTTCAACTACTTCTTTATGATTCAGTTTTCTGGCTTCATTCTGCAAATGAACTTACAAGATCAGTTTAGAAAGCTCACCACCCCACTGCCATTTTACCACTTATCACTGGTAAATGATCTTTCTGATATTGAAATACCAGGTATTTCCAATGATAAATTATGTTTCTATGGTTGTGTACAGAATTTGTTTTGGACACCTAGAATCCTAGAATATACTGTAAGAAAATGATGATAATTTCATTATTTCATAATACATTCAAATTTTCTAATTGGTTAAGGTTCTTGAAAAAGAAATTGTGACATTGACGATAGTAACCAGTATCCATTTATGCATACCATCTGAACAGTTATCCTATACTACCATATTTTCCAGGCTATAACTGCACCTGATTATAAGCCCTAGGGCTAGTTTTAAGCAATTTTTTCTGTTTGATCCACAAATAGGATGCACTGGAATATAAGCCGCACCCTTTCTTACGATGTGGTAACCGTAATGTTGACCAATGTTTGTTGATATAACAGCCAATGAAAAGCAGTTTATCAAGATCATCAGTGAAACATTTAGTATAAGTTTGCAATTGAATTATACACAGATAGTCCTTTATTTTATTGATGTTTGAAAAATGTAAAATAGTAATTATCAAAATACATAATGATACTGCCATACCTTGGTGTTGAAAAAAGATTTTTGAAATCTAAGTCAATTAGACACCTTTTGGGCCAGCCTATCAGCCCCTGGGGTGGGGGTCAGTCAAGATCAGTATGCATATCATCTAGTTGTCATCCCTCGCTCATAATTTTAACCAACTTTGAAATATTTCAAGTTGAAATTAAACAAATTATGCTCAATAACTCATTTTTTCTATTTAAACTTTAGTAATTTTTACCCCTACCCACAGTGAGATGTGAGACCCTTGGGTCATGAAATTCACGATTTTGGCAAAGCATGCTTTTCATTCATGGAGAGCATTTGATTCTACCATATCTGGGTGTTGAGAAGAATTTTTTTTTAAATTTGAGTCACAATTTGACAATTTTGGCCCCACTCCTCAGGTGTCTGTATGATGGGAACTGTATAATTCTCTAATTTAGTTCATCTTAGACCAGAAGAGGTTTCTGCAAAATTTCATTGAAATCGGCTCAGGAGTTTTTAAGAAGAAGTAGAAATTATTTATGGATGCACAATGCCAGACAAAGGTGATTGCAACAAAATATAAAAAATTGAAAGCACACATCAATATACTCTATTCACCACACCCCTTTTTTTTATTTATTTATTTGTTTTAAGTAGGGTTCAATGACAAGGAATATGGAAAAGAAATTATGTTCTTTAGTGATTGGTAACACTGATGATACATATGGAGGTTCTAGATTCAATTCTTTATTTGATAAAGATTCGAGAGGTAATAATTGATTGTGCCATGTCAAGAGCGACTCTGAAATCTACATGTACACCTCTTGTGAACACTTGAAGTGGATAGATAGTCCATATACAATGAGGATACTGAAATTCACAGGTTTATTTAAGCACTGCATGCTCAGTTTTAGTTCTTAAATACACAGCTAAACTGACAAGTCCTACACATAATAAATATGTAGAAGTGGTGAGTACAGGTCATCTTACTGGCTATAGCTAGAGATGATGGTTTTCATCACTCCATAACTCATTCCTTTTGCAAATGTGTATATGCATCAAAACATGAGAATATAAACATTTTTCGTGTTTAAATCCAAATTCATGTTAATTACGCCTTCAATTTACAGAAGTAGATGTGTGGGTTTTTTTCATATGATGACTACAGATGCATACAACATCTAAAAAGAAATAGAGCACACTCACCATGCGTAACTCCAAATTTTTTAGACGATCCAATTTACTTGTCTTAGATGAAGCTCCTTTGCTACTTGATGGTTCTGTTTGTAATGACTGAAAAATCAACAAAAAAACATATCAAAAATGTGAAATTAGTCAATTTTTCAACATCAAACTAATTGCAATAGAATTTCTTTGTGTTTCTCACGTTGATTGGTTCATACCTGTTGGCAGAAAGAAAGTATGATTTAACCTTGGGATCAATAAAATGGCAATAAGTTAAAGGGCTGTATTTTTTTAATTCCTCCTTCATAAATAATGACTGGATCAAATTAACCACTGATATCAAGATCATGAAAACATATATGTAAGAGTTAAAGCAACTGCCACAAATCAGTATATTATGTTAAAGTAACAAAGTAATTTTATAAAAGCAATCTGAATTCTGTCAAAGGAATGCCAAATAAAAAGTCAATGTGCATGCATGTGGCAAATTTAGTATGTTAACATTCCCTAAGAATTTTACACAAAGCTTCAGAATGTTCAGTTATTTAAAATTTTACATAGAATATTATACTATCACCAAATTAATGCAACGTAAATAGAGTAAATGGAACAGGATGGGGTAAAGTTTACAATGGGGAATGTTGCCATTTGGTATTGTCTAGGCTTGTTTGTTTTCATAAGCAGAAACATGTAGATTGACCTTTGATATTATCAAAACTTTTTACAGTAGACTGAAATGACCTGACCTTTTCAAATTGGGAAATATCAGTTGATGTTATTCTGAAGTACGTTTGTCCAATTCCTTTCATTTGTAAGTAAAGCCATCGGATTCTTTTGTTGCGTTTATTTATTTATTGGAGGTTATACTGTATATAACATTATATTATCATGTCATGTAAAGTAGATATGACAAAAAAGATCTTAATAACTGTTAAAAAGAAATTATTCTATTACTAGTATGGTCAGCAGTGTTCTACAGCTGTAAATATATTCTACGTTACATGTCGAATGAGTGGTGAAATACGACAATTCGAAAACAACTTTCTTAAGCAGTATGTACAAATCAGGTTATTTCCTATTCAAAGTATCATTCTATTCTTCATTCTGAGTATTATTGAGGCATCTGAGTTAGATCTAGACTCTTTAAGTGCCATTCCTAGATCCTAGATCCTACTACGTTCTACTTACAGCCATTGTTGATATCTGTATCACGAAGACGCTTCACGTTTTACTTGTAAATGATAAATTAGAGCCAATCTCGAACGAATTTTACGGAAAGGGAACAGGTAAACATTGCTGTCAACAATCGGACCAGCAAGTTATTATTCAACTTAATCTGAAACCATTATATAGAAAGCTAGATGTAAAATTATAACCAAGTGAGTTGTCAGAGATTTCAATAAGAAAGTGAAGGTTTATCATGATAGGGAAAGAATCGGGTGTTATTTATGTGAAATAAAGCTATCGTTCTACTTAAATTACAAGTACCACATAAAAGAAAAGACTACGATTCTAACTTTAGTGGTATGTGAGTTATATTCGCATACGGAACGTCCCTGGTCACCATTAGATATAGCCTGTATGAACAACCGTAGAAAGTTAATCTAAAATAATAATTGAAAAAAAAAAATAAGAGAAAATCCAAGCACATTGGCTAGGTGAACCGCGGACTTCAAATATTTTAAGTCGTGCTGAAATGAAGCTAAAACTTATACAGAGGCCAATTGTACTAAGAGCAGTTTAATTTTTGTTCTGTCTTGTTTCGTCTTATTAAGAGTCACTGCACTAGACCATTTTTTTAAAGTTAAGAAGCGATGTTACGATTTGAAAAAACATTATAGAATGGTTTATGAAATGGTTTCATGTTACAAAATTATTTTTCAACATGTATTTATCTTGCTCGAAAGGAAGTGGGTTTTTTTGTTTTTTTTTTTTTTGTTGTTGTTGTTGTTGTTGTTGTTGTTGTTGTTGTTGTTGTTGTTGTTGTTGTTGTTTTAATACTGCGTGTGTATAGACATTTTAATTGAGCGACAAGGTCTCCGTTCCCGGTGTGAAATTTATTACATATTTATTGAGATAATATCATCAGACCAAGTGGTATATACGTTTTGGTACCAGTGTATAGGAACGAAAATACAGCATTATTTCACAGTCAAAGGGACATAACTCTTACAATATCAAACCAATATTCATATCGATACAAACAATTTTGTTTTCAAATTCATCTCTCTTCAGGGTAAATAATTCATACCAAGCGAACCATTTCAAAGCAAGTCAAACTCTGTCTTCATTTTTCGATGTCATTAGCCAAGATCAACTAAGCCTAATTTGTCTGTGGTATTAACAGAACGTAGTATTTAGCTAAAATATGATCCTGAATGCATTGAAGAAATGATGATAATGTTCCAAGTCAAAGAGCTTGCTCTCGTATTATTAAAACGGGACTTTCAACACAAATCTTCATGTTTATATTGTAAATTACAAGGAAACAGAGCGTTCATTGACTATGCGTTTAAAATACACACTTTGTTATTCTATGCTGCTTGTATTCAATTTCATTGAAAAACGCTGAATGATTCTACTTTTATTTTAAACTTTCATTTTGAAAACTCGGCATCTCGGCATATTTCATATATATATATGAAATTCAAACCTCAGATAAGAAAACTGCTTTTAAGTTAGTTTATTTGTCCGCTTAAAATATTACTCTTTGTACCAGTATAGCAGTTTCAAAAGTTACAGGTTAAAATTTACAATATATTACGTAAGGTCAGGTAAGGAGAGCCAGTATCGTGGAGTCACTTCAAATATCAAAGATGATATGTCATTCACAAAAAGAACAATCAAGAGGTGCAAGATCTTGAAATTCTATGAGTTCAAATCCATTTTTATACTCCAAATCGATTCTAGCTTTAAATGTGTATAGAATCTGTTGTTATATGGATGAACAAGTATGGAATTATACGAGTTAAAAGTCATATTGAAAATACTGAACTAATACTTTTGATTGTGATATCCATACATTCCTGGACCAAATGTTAATTTTTTTATCAAAATGGTTAGGAACCTACACGTGTGTCTGAAATAAACAGACTGAGTGGCCATATATATGTTTCAGAACCAGAACACACAAGAACTGTTAAGGTGGAAGTATGAGGACTCGGTGACTATAATCCAGGGTATATGGTGAGAAAACACTCATTTGGAACAAAGTTTTCACACCATAGCATTAATTACAGATCTTTTAAAACCTTTGAAGTATGGCGTTTTTGGACGATCTTTCTCATGTCCCCTGGTCAGTGATTGAAACATGATCGAATGTAAACGATGCGTTGGACGCATGGATAATATTATTTTTCAGTGTAGTAGATAAACATGTGCCTATGCTTCAAAGGCGAGTAAAACAGTCAAAACAACCAGAATGGTTGAATGACGATACTAGTAGTTTAGAAAACATGTAGTTGAGAGACAAACTGAAACGTGACGGTCAACCTGACGTATACAGAATACAGCGGAACCATGTTGCTATATTGATTAGCGAGGCAAAAGTTACGTACTGTAAAAATGTTATTGAAAACAATTTGGATAGACCTAGTAAGCTCTCGAAATGTATTCGTGATCTTGCACCTAAAATTATCTGCCACGCCTATAATGATTCCAGTTGAAAATATCTATGATAACAATGAAATAGTAAATCGATTCAACAGTTATTTTACTGCGGTTTCAGATAAACTAACATCATGTTTAAGAAATACAAATTCTAAATTTTGAAAAATTGAAGAACTTTGTAAATACTAAACAAGTTATGGGTTGTATTTTTTCCATTCCAACTATCTCTGTTGATTTCATTGACAAATCATTGCGATCTTAAGATACAAAGAAAGCTAAAGGTTTGGATGGTATCAGTTCAATGCTAATAAAAAAAATCATATATACATATAGTACCTTCGGTATCATATATAATGAATGTTAGTATTCAAAACGGTTTTTTTTTCTCTAAGATGGAAAACTGCAAAGATAGTGAATTTGTACATATCTGGAAGTACCTCTGAAGTTTGCTATTACATACCTCTTTCTGAATTACCTATTTTATCCAAAATATTAGAGCGACATGCCCATGGTTCTTTCTTCCAATATCTAAATAGATATGTCCTCCTTGTATCTTTACAATCAGGTTTTCTTGGAGAAAGCCTTTGATTAAGTAATCCATGCTGTGTTACTTGATAATCTGAAATTATACAAGTGTTACAATGCTTGTGCTCTTTTCTACATTTTCATGTGTACTGTAATACAGTCTGGTCTGGAAGTACTGAAGCTTCTCTACACAAACTGTCAAAAGCTCAAAAATGTGCTGCCAGATTGATTTCAGAGAAACCATATTTCTTCAGCAGAAATGCTTCAGGGGTGAAATTGATGCCAATTCAAAAATATTTTTAATTACATACATAAATGTATATTCTTATGGTAAGGTACCACAATATCTTTCATGTGATTTTATTTTGGCTGGAAATGTTCATCAGCGGTCTACAGGGTATGTACCTAGTAAAATTGTCTTCCAAAACATAGCACAACAAACGAAACATTTGTATGTATCTGGCTGTCAGGAATGGAACAAACTTCTAAATGATATGTTATTAATTCTTTATTTTCAGAGGGTAACGTGATTAGTACAAGTATACGGGTCCTCCACAGGGCCCTCCCTAATGATTAACCATAAACAAATACAATCAATCAGATACCCGTATATACACGCTCAGTGACTACAGTGCACAACGTACGGAATTTATATCAAACACTTTTGATATTTGAATCACCTTTTTCATACAACATACCCACTATAAAGGGCCTACGGCGTCTAAGGGCCGAGGGATTATCGAGACACCTAAATTTACAGCATCACTAATAATTTAAATTATTAGCGGCAAAATAAATGTGAATATTTACTTCAAATATTGTCTTTTACTGTGAGAATCCTGTGTGGCATGATATTGTGAAGCGTAGGGATATAAACCGGGGTCAAAATACCGTTATGGTGACCCCCACCCTTCCCCCATTTCCCCCTAGTGAAGCCAATTTCAGTTTTTATATTTTCAATTGATGTTTCTGTTTTGTCACTTAATTTTTATCGCTTTACTGAGTTATGCTCCTCTATACATAATAATTATAATTAATAATATTAACCATTACGGTGAAATGAACCGCGGTTCACTTCACCATTGGCTCCACTTTATCATACTACAACGGAAAGTTTCGGTCCACGCCGCCCACGTTACGGGAATTTGGCCCGCCAATAGCTGTTCCATTATATTTCATTAACTATTCTATTAGATGAAGGTAACTAAAAACGATTACAAATTTATATTGTCATTCTATAAAAGAAAATTCTAAGCGGTTCGAACAGTAATGCCGATGTGCAGGAGAGAAGTATTTTTTGTCCGGCTTTTGTCCGGTTTTAATATTATTAGTGTTGGATTTCAAAATATCATTATCATATACTTTTGTTTTGAAAATCTGTCCCCTGTTGATAATCTTAACCGACAAAAGTTGACATATTTGTTGTATTCTTCCAGTAAAATGTTATATATGATCACAACATATCGAAAAATATAAAAACAAGAAAAATACGAAACTGCGGGGTTAATAGTTGTCAACCCGCGAGTGACCTCTTCCTTGGCAACGTTTATACTAGGGTACACTGTCGCGCCGATATGGAGTCAACCACTTAGTGTCAACTATGTTTGTAGCAATGAATTATGTATTGTAACGCCAGGAGTATATATTAACTTCGCCAAAATGACAGAGGTGATGCACGGGATATTGGCCGAGGCCAAGAAAAATAGATATTCACAGATAAAGGACACATTATCTGACGACGGTAAGGATTGACAGGCGACGGAAGCCATTTTCTTTTGCCATAATATATTTTATAATATCGATTTTATATGAAGTTAATTGAGCCTCTGCAAAAGTGTTTTTAATATCCAGTTTCATCATCTTGTTTATATTCCAGATGTTGCGGCAGTTTGGGAAAACGTGTCTTCGTTTATTGAGAAGACAATGTCTCAACAAAAGGTATATAAAAATTTGTAAGCAAAACAAATCAAGTCATATGTGCCACCTTCACATTCCCTTTTAAAGTAATTAGATTTAATGAGCAGCTAAAGTCTAAAGCGTAAATAAAGTTCAGTTATGTTATGTGGTGTTATATAACTTATACCTACTGCCATAAAACTGATAAACTATTAGACATTTATGTTGGGTATAATTCAAGATAAACACAACTTTAAGATGTTTTTTCTGTTAATTTTCGGTAGTACGTCGTATTTCACTCTACATGATAACTTAAACCCCTGTAACTGGTTTCTAAAAGGTAGACACATTCAGATTATTGGACTTTGTTAAAAAATATGTGCATCCATTATTTGCAAATGTTTAAAAGAACTTAGTGTTTCTATTTCAAATAAACTCGCCTTTGATTAATGAGTCTATTACTCCAAGCAATAACTGTCACTCAAATGCATGACCATTATATATATGAGTGTGCCCAACCTGTTGTGTACATTAAAAATGCCTGTAGAGACTCCCTCTCTTTCAGGCATATATAAGTTAAAAATTAAGTGAATTGGCCATTATGTCCTATCATTTATTTGTTTGATTACTAGTCCAAAGGGTTCTGACTATCCATCAGACATTTTAGTTTTGTCCTGGTCACAGACAGGGTACTGTAAATGGTGATAGAATCCTCTTCTTCATTTAAAATGGATCTTCAACAACATGTGAATGGTACATGTAAAATAATGTTGTAAAGTGCACTTCTCTTTTTATTTTAGGGAGTCATTGTACAAGGTTTTGGAACATTTACATTTACACAAAAGAAATTGGATATTGGAAACAACAAATTCATTATGATGCAAAGACCTGTTTTCATACTCTCTGAAAAGTTTGCACAAACTCATGGTCTCCAGCACCCAAAATATCATGTTCCTGGTAAGTTGATCTCATACATAACAAGTTCAGCTAACAAACATTGATGAATGCATACCTCAGGGAAAGCTGTGTAATCATTTACAGAGATTACAAACAGTGATAACAGTATAATGTTTGTAAAGTTGGAAATTACAATCTTCCACTGAACCACCATATTGCACTTTCCTAGTGTCTTTTATATTTAATATGGACACAATTTTTTTTTCTGGTATAGTTTGATATTAATGTAACACTTGTACTTGCACTTAAAGATGTGGTTTTGAAAGATAACTTTTGAATAGCAACAGTAATTCATGGGTAGAAAGTTGTCCTGATGAAGCCTGGACAGAAGGGGCAAACCTAGTCAACATTGAAGTCAAGTATCGAACTTACCAGTAACACTTGAACTTGCTGTAATTGATTCTACTAATTTGTATATTTTTAAGAACAAAATACATTTGAAAAATTACTTGACGTTTGCTATTTTTGATGAATGTGCAAAAATGGAAGCTTAAGAATGAATGTTTGCTGAAATGAATTATTCAATATGTAGCTACTGGAATGAAGTACTTATTACAGTCATTAATTTTTTTGATTTGAAAAAAATTAACTAGTTGATTGTTTTGGCATATTTTGATTATTTGTATAACATATATTTAATGCAGTTTACATAGTTCTGCTACTTATTACAGTGTTTTGGTTTTATATACAGATAATACATTTCTGCCAGACATAACACTAGTCAGAAATAAGTTGTTCTGTTCTTGCTATTTATTTGTTGTTTGGCTTAGTCTCCACCGGACACGATAGGATTATTTTCAATCAGATTGCATGCACATGATAAAATTGTAGAGCAGTACGAGACCCAGGCAAGACATTGTATTCAGCACTGCTTTTACATTATTTAGCTGTTCTCCAGAAATTTTCTCTATACACCTCAAAGCGAAAGGACTGGTAAATGTTGAATTCAATGACAATTTAACTCTTGAAATCAATGTCTTTTGTATGAGTTTTTACACAATGTCTGTGACATCAATATGACTGATTGTATGACAATAGAAAGTCATGTCAACAGCTGCTATTGCAATGGCATTATGCAATATAGATCTATTTTCATAGAAGTATATACAGATTGTACAGGCAAAATGTACTTTTAAAAAGGGTTATTTCAGGTTAATTTTGTCATTATTTTTTTTTCATTATTAAACATTAATTAATTTGTATTTAATAAGAATGGTATACAACTGTTAAAGTTAGGTGAAAATCAGACAAATGTATTTAACAGAGAATCTGAGGAAAAAACTATGATTTGTCCATTGGTCCTGTTATCAAACCTAGCATGAAAACCTATAGAAAACTAACCTGTAGTTTAGCTTTTTCTTAGGGGCTCAGTTGTGTTAATGTGAAAGTATTGATTAGTTGACTGTATTTAATCGTGACCACCTTAGGTAGTTTAATAAAATTGAATGTCACAAGTCTATTCACCTTAGGCAGAAAGGTGTATTGATGTATAAAATACCAAGAGAATGGTGAAGCAGGAAATGGCCAGGCAGTTTAAATGCTTGCTACAATATAAACTGATAATATACTAGTGTTGGAATACCAGTGATAAGAATGGCCCCGATATTAGCTACCGGTCAATTAATCACTAGGGATGTTTATTGAGTTCTGGACCTGTGGAACATTTGTTATCCTTGTTATCTCAGTATTGATTGAAATCTCAGATATTATACTGAGCCACTTTATCTTAACCTATTAAAACTGGTAGATTGTATTAATTAAGTCATTCCATAAACTAGTTTTCAAAATGAGTATATTTGTTGTTTAGTGATAAAACTCTATCTATCAACTTTGATGTTGGTTGTCTTGATCAATGGTATTATTCTTCATACAGTGATTCTGCTGAATAAGTCTTACTGTAATACAGTAGTTATTGTTTAATATGTCTTAACACAGTGACATTTTAGAAAGGTCTTAAAATATTGACTCTTGTTAGATAGATCTTAATACAGTGACTCATTTTAAAGAAGTATTAATACCCCGACTCTTGTTAAATAGATCTTAATACTACAGCTTTTGTTGAAAAAGTCATATGTTTGTAAAAGGCTTTTGTTGAAAAAGTCATATGTTTGTAAAAGGCTTTTGTTGAAAAAGTCATATGTTTGTAAAAGGCGTTTGTTGAAAAAGTCATATGTTTGTAAAAGGCTTTTGTTGAAAAAGTCATATGTTTGTAAAAGGCTTTTGTTGAAAAAGTCATATGTTTGTAAAAGGCTTTTGTTGAAAAAGTCATATGTTTGTAAAAGGCTTTTGTTGAAAAAGTCATATGTTTGTAAAAGGCTTTTGTTGAAAAAGTCATATGTTTGTAAAAGGCTTTTGTTGAAAAAGTCATATGTTTGTAAAAGGCTTTTGTTGAAAAAGTCATATGTTTGTAAAAGGCTTTTGTTGAAAAAGTCATATGTTTGTAAAAGGCTTTTGTTGAAAAAGTCATATGTTTGTAAAAGGCTTTTGTTGAAAAAGTCATATGTTTGTAAAAGGCTTTTGTTGAAAAAGTCATATGTTTGTAAAAGGCTTTTGTTGAAAAAGTCATATGTTTGTAAAAGGCTTTTGTTGAAAAAGTCATATGTTTGTAAAAGGCTTTTGTTGAAAAAGTCATATGTTTGTAAAAGGCTTTTGTTGAAAAAGTCATATGTTTGTAAAAGGCTTTTGTTGAAAAAGTCATATGTTTGTAAAAGGCTTTTGTTGAAAAAGTCATATGTTTGTAAAAGGCTTTTGTTGAAAAAGTCATATGTTTGTAAAAGGCTTTTGTTGAAGAGTTCTTAATAAGTTTTTAATGATGATCCTGATTGAAGAAGTTTTTCTTGGAATGATACTTTGTGGTTGTTTCATAATCTAATAATAAAACAAATTTGATAAATTTAATTTGACCTTTTCTTTAGAGCCTGTATAATTTTTGCTTGCTTCCAGGCCAAATCCCAGTGGTGCAGCTTAATTTTGCTGCCATGTCATTTGAGAGTCCATTTGACAGAGACACAGTGGAAAATTGTGTAAAGGAAATCCTGGGAGCAGTGTCTCGTGCAGTAGGAGCTAGAAAAAATGTTGAACTCACATTTACTGGAATTGGGCGTCTGTCCATCAGGGATTCCAAAGCCAAAATGAGGTTCTATAAAGAATTCATTAACCAGATGGATGGCACAGGCAAACTCATGTCATCTATGCAAAATGTGAGTTTCTGTTTTGAAAAATGTCGAAAAGTGTTGTATATATTTTGTTTAAAATTATAGAAGGAACCAAGAAAAAATAAGTCGTAACCATTTCTGATTATGAAACTCATTGAGGACACCAGCAAGTCAGACGTCAGCTTGATAGTTTCCTGAAATTTTATGTTAAGTGAAGTATGCATAACAAAAGAAACAAATTCTAAAGATTTGTCTATATAAAATGGCTGACCTGTCTCAATATGTCCCATAAATCTGTATAGACCTATGAAACTTGAGGATATTCTCTGAACATAATTTGGATATGATAAACTCGCTGTTAATAACATTATTGCTGACATACAAGGCAACTACAGTATGGAAATATGGTATCAAAACAAAGATATTGAGGAAAATGTTAGCATAGAGATTTATATGACATAGTCACTATTATAAATTAATAAGTCACTAGGAGGTGACAAAGTCACCATTGTTAATCAAGAGGTCACCAGGAGGTCTATGTGACTCAAAATGATTATTTGACCAGGAGGTCTATGTGACATGGTCACTATTATAAATCAATAAGTGACCAGGAGGTCATTGTGACATGGTCACTATTATAAATCAATAAGTGACCAGGAGGTCTATGTGACATGGTCACTATTATAAATCAATAAGTGACCAGGAGGTCATTGTGACATGGTCACTATTATAAATCAATATGTGACCAGTAGGTCATTGTGACATGGTCACTATTATAAATCAATAAGTGACCAGGAGGTCATTGTGACATAGTCACTATTATGAATGATAAAGTTACCAGAAGGTCCATTTATCAAAGCAAATAATCAACATATATTTGAAACACCTTATAGTCGTGATCAGTAAGAAGTATAAAACACTAATACTAGTATTGGTATATGATTATTATCAACATTGTATTGACCTTACAGAGACCAGGAACAGTGGATTCTGTAATGTCTGATCGTCCAGTCTCCAGACCAGGAACAAGCTGCACAGTCATCTTACCAAAGTAGGTTTCTAAATCTTACATTGAATGTATCTGTCAGTTGTAGATGGTTTGTTTCATGTGTTTGTGTTGTTATGCATATGACAACTGTGGAAAAAAGTTACATCCATCTACTGAGGAAAGGTTTGGAATCAGATTGAAAATTAGTCAGGATGATGTTTCCATTTAATGAATTCAGTGAAATCTGTCTTAAAAATGAAGAAAGGAAATTGCTTCAGTTAAACACACACACATTTTTATAAGCTTTAACAGGTAAATGTTTGTCTATAATGCATAAATACACATACTATTTAGGATTTCAATTTTTTTGTGATTATCTGAATACATTATGAACTTATATTTCTCTGCCTCTAGAATTTCCAGTACCAATCTGGCAGCTGGAGGTCTAGCCCCTGTAGCAGAAGAAACCAACGAGGTCAATCCTGTCGACCCTGCCCTGGTAGGCGATGCCCTTAATGAACCCCCTCCAATACATCCATTAGATGCCCAGGCGCTGGAACCAAGCTATGAGGATCCAGAAGTGACCACGCCTGTACAGCAGGAGACACTTGCCACTCTGAACCAGAAACAAGAGGTGTTTGAGGGAAAAGAAGTAGGGGATGAGCAGACGGCAACAGCCATCAGGAACATTGAGTTTAATGGAGAGGGCATGGACGACCCAAAAAGCTTTGAACCAGTACACATTCCTATGTCAGATGAACTGGAAGAGAAAGGTAAGAAATTCAGCTGAAAATTTAATGTTGGAACTTGAATAGTGACCCTTAATTGATTATACATGTACCATGACAGGGTTGTTTTTGTAATGGTCTAGAATGTTCATTTACATCATCATTACATACATCTTACAAATCAGGTCTCAAACGGAACAAAATATGATTGTTCAAAAAAAGAAAAACACATGGAAAAGAATATGTTTATAATGCTCGGCTGTCTCTGTTACCCACCAGACCTGTAGTGTTTCTCATGTAATGCTTCCTTATAGAATACTTTAAACATGTCTTAATTTATCCCATTTATGTGTCTACTTACTACTTTTGAAATAGAATAAAATATTCTAAACTTTTTGAGATCCCTCTGGATAAGCTTTTTACCTGGTATGTAAATAGTCTCATTCAGTAGATGAAGATTACTATTGTCCTGCTATTATATGCCTTTACATAAACATTTACAGGATCATTAAAACATAAATTAATCAAAGAAACATTGCTGTATATAGTCAGTGTGGTTTTAGAAATAGTGATGCAAAAAAGCTATATATAATAAATCGTTTCCTAATTTTATCAATTTTGATACAGTAATTTTTTCATTTTTCTTCCACACTGTAATGCCTTTCACTTCTCCCTAAGATGAAGCTTCATCACTGCTTTGTGGCTAATTTTCTGTCATCATACCTTTACCAACTACAACACTTGATAGGCTCCTTTCATTTTTGCACATTAATATTAAAGACATTCTTAAATCTGATATAATGTCATAAATTCCTAATTGAGCATCACAAGTCATGTACCCAAGTGTTTATTCAGAGCTTGATTCAGTTTGTGAATAAAGAAAAAGAGAAAGAGAGCGAGAAGAATGCAGAATAATAATTAATAATTTCCGGAGTCTGCAAAATTTAATAGACATGGCTGGCATCTCATAGCATGTTTTGCTTAATCTTTTCAAAGTTACATAATTTGCATTCAGTATAATAAGCATTACACAATATAGTAGATGGTCTGATGGCATTTTCCAAACAGTTAAGGTAATTGAGTTTTTGAAATTATCATCAGTGTTTTATTGATAAAATCAAAAGAATCAACAGGCAGTTGAAATTTCTTATTTGGAATGATATAACAAGCAGCAGTTTGGAGATAAAGACAGATGTTGTAATGTCAGAGGGCCTGTAGCACTAACCGTGTTTAATGTTAACTGTTCACTGTTGTACCCCTCCAGTGGAACCAGGGCGAATGTTCCCCGATATTGAGGAGCGTAAGTACAGGAGGGAATGCATGTTCTGCATGAATTATCACCTCCCTAACTGTTGGCTCATTAATCCCATCTCACCTGCCGTTTTGTTTTACTTTGATGTTTGTTTTAATCTCCATTTACTGTGTTATTTTTTCTACTTCACATACTTCAAACATAGCCCTGTGCAATGTAATGGAAGGTTTACAAAATTTGTGGTAGTAATGATACAAATTAAATAAAAACACAGACTTTGGCTAGTAATAGTACATATTTTTTTTTCACTGTTTTCAATGTTATTCATGTGTTTTTATCATATGATTATCAGGGGGAGGGAGGGGGGATTTACTTGTCAGTTATCTCTTTATTTTTTTTCTTTATTTCTTAATTCACTAGTCAGTTAGTTGTCTAGGACCATCTCATATATATACAGTATGTATTCTATTGTATTCTTGACTAGGTTCATCATTCTGATAAATCATTATGTTAATTTAGCAACTTTTAACTGTAGTGGAAGAGTATATGAATGGTAACTATGTTAATCATGTTACATAGTGAGGTATTAATAACATAAGAAAAAGTATCTTTGTCCTTTGTATTTTTATGGGAAATTCTCTTTTTTACTTTTATCTATATAGACTTATGTATCAACAAAATGTCATTATTGTTTATAATGTAAAAAATCTGCTTCATTTACCAGAAAGAGCAGCTGGAAGTATATATTGTTTTTTATTTCCTGTTTAAGGATACAGTCCATTAAGGAACTCTTTCTGTCAATTTTTTATACAACTTGAAATATTTCATGTTTTTGAGATATGCAGTCAAAGATTGAAATTGTTCTAAGGAAGAACTATGTGTTGTGATTAACCAACCTAATATCTACTTATCCTTATACTTCTGGTTCTGTCTGTTGTTGTAATGACAGTCAATCTTTGTTGTAATAGCTCACTTAGTCGTCTAATATTGCCAGGTCAGTCTGTATTGTTGTATGATAACTAAATCAAACCATGAAGAATTGCAGTTTAAGAGTCTTTTGTTGTGTTACATTTACTTCAGCTGCACAGTTTAAGTTTTCTAAAGTCAGTTTTTCATTTTACTGTGATTTCCTCATTGTTTATGTACTAAAGTTGGTAACAGATGTTACCAAGAAAGGAGTCGATACTTTATTGTTTACTGTACAACACAAAATTTATTCACTTTATCAGGATATGTTATCTATACCTTAAAATGTCCATCAGTGTATCAGTTAAAATTCTAATTGGCTCTTATCAATATCAATCAAAATAATTACTGGGTCACTTGTAACTGTGGTAAGAAACAAATAACCAACCAATCACCACAACAAACAAAAGACGTACAGTATGGTCTGTAAGACGGCAACAAATGCCAGCCATATAGTAATATATAAATCATGACATAGTTCACCTTAGGTTAGGTCAAATTGGCCGTAACACAATGAATCAATGGTATCTTGTTGTGCCATCAGATAAAGATCTACTTTACAATGGGAAGAGTAATTAAATCAATTAGTGAGATGGTTATTGTCCCCAGGGACGCTACTAATCATGAATAATCGGACAGGAGAATTTCATTATAGAAAGTTGCTACCTGATATAGAGTGATCTGTGAAAGTCTTCAAAGGTAAATGTGTTCAGATACTGTAAATGAGGGATCTGTGATAGGGCTAGAAAGTACATGTGAACAGATACCTGTAATTGTGGGATCTATGATAGGATTCAGAGGTACATGTGTACAGATACCTGTAACAGAGGGATCTATAATAGGCTTCAGAGGTACATATGTACAGATACCTGTAATAGAAAGACCTAGGGTACAAGGTACATGTACACAGATACCTGTAACAGAGAGAACTATGATAGGATTCAGAGGTACATGTGTACAGATACCTGTAATAGAAAGACCTAGGGTACAAGGTACATGTACACAGATACCTGTAACAGAGAGAACTATGATAGGATTCAGAGGTACATGTGTACAGATACCTGTAACAGAAAGGCCTACGGTACACGGTACATGTACACAGATACCTTTAATAGAAAGGTCGAGGGTACAAGGTACATGTGTACAGATACCTGTAATAGAAAGGCCTAGGGTACAAGGTACATGTGTACAGATACCTGTAATAGAAAGACCTTGGGTACAAGGTACATGTACACAGATACCTGTAATAGAAAGGCCTAGGGTACTAGGTACATGTACACAGATACCTGTAATAGAAAGGCCTAGGGTACTAGGTACATGTACACAGATACCTGTAGTAGACAGACCTAGGGTACAAGGTACATGCACACAGATACCTGTAGTAGACAGACCTAGGGTACAAGGTACATGTACACAGATACCTTTAATAGAAAGGCCTAGGGTACAAGGTACATGTACACAGATACCTGTAATAGAAAGGCCTAGGGTACAAGGTACATGTACACAGATACCTGTAGTAGACAGACCTAGGGTACAAGGTACATGTACACAGATACCTTTAATAGAAAGGCCTAGGGTACAAGGTACATGTACACAGATACCTGTAATAGAAAGGCCTAGGGTACAAGGTACATGTACACAGATACCTGTAGTAGACAGACCTAGGGTACAAGGTACATGTACACAGATACCTGTAATAGAAAGGCCTAGGGTACTAGGTACATGTACACAGATACCTGTAGTAGACAGACCTAGGGTACAAGGTACATGTACTAAGATACCTGTAATAGAAAGGCCTAGGGTACTAGGTACATGTACACAGATACCTGTAATAGAAAGGCCTAGGGTACTAGGTACATGTACAGATACCTTTAATAGAAAGGCCTCTAATACAAGGTACATGTACACAGATACCTGTAATAGAAAGGCCTAGGGTACAAGGTACATGTACACAGATACCTGTAATAGAAAGGCCTAGGGTACAAGGTACATGTACACAGATACCTGTAATAGAAAGGCCTAGGGTACAAGGTACATGTACACAGATACCTGTAATAGAAAGGCCTAGGGTACTAGGTACATGTACACAGATACCTTTAATAGAAAGGCCTAGGGTACAAGGTACATATGTATAGATACCTGTAATAGAAAGGCCTAGGGTACAAGGTACATGTACATAGATACCTGTAGTAGACAGACCTAGGGTACAAGGTACATGTACACAGATACCTGTAATAAAAGGCCTAGGGTACAAGGTACATGTACACAGATACCTTTAATAGAAAGGCCTAGGGTACATGTGTACATGTACACAGATACCTATAATAAAAGGCCTAGGGTACAAGGTACATGTACTAAGATACCTGTAGTAGACAGACCTAGGGTACAAGGTACATGTACACAGATACCTGTAATAAAAGGCCTAGGGTACAAGGTACATGTACACAGATACCTTTAATAGAAAGGCCTAGGGTACATGTGTACATGTACACAGATACCTATAATAAAAGGCCTAGGGTACAAGGTACATGTACTAAGATACCTGTAGTAGACAGACCTAGGGTACAAGGTACATGTACACAGATACCTTTAATAGAAAGGCCTAGGGTACATGTGTACATGTACACAGATACCTATAATAAAAGGCCTAGGGTACAAGGTACATGTACTAAGATACCTGTAGTAGACAGACCTAGGGTACAAGGTACATGTACACAGATACCTTTAATAGAAAGGCCTAGGGTACATGTGTACATGTACACAGATACCTATAATAAAAGGCCTAGGGTACAAGGTACATGTACTAAGATACCTGTAGTAGACAGACCTAGGGTACAAGGTACATATGCACAGATACCTGTAAGTACCTACAGAGATGTCTTGTTTTTGAGTAAATAAACCATTATACATGATTGGTCTGTCTGTTTACAGTTAATTAACAATAAAATGCCCAAATCAATACTCACAGTGAAAGATAACGGAAACACTACCATCCATCTTACACCCAATAAACTATATTGGATCCTATCAATAATGCAGCATTCTTGTTTGTTCAGCAAATGGTATAATTTATCTGTTATACACAGTCCCTATTAGAATAGCAAGGGGTCTTATAAAGGTCTTTAATCCCTTATAGTTAGGAATATTCATTGTCTCTTAAAATAGAGAAAAATCAGAAACAAGAAATGTCCTAAAAGAGCCTCTAAAGGATGTTATAGGATCAGCTTATGTAGGGTAGTATTTGGTCAGCCTAAGTGTGGTAGTGTAGGATCAGCCTTATTGAGGTTGCACAGGATCAGTAGGGCAGTATAGCATCAGCCTCAGTAGAGCAGTGTAGGATCAGTCTCAGTAGGGTAGTGTAGGATCAGCCTCAGTAGAGCAGTGTAGGATCAGTCTCAGTAGGGCAGTGTAGGATCAGTCTCAGTAGAGTAGTGTAGGATCAGTCTCAGTAGGGTAGTGTAGGATCAGCCTCAGTAGAGCAGTGTAGGATCAGTCTTAGTAGGGTAGTGTAGGATCAGTCTCAGTAGGGCAGTGTAGGATCAGTCTCAGTAGGGCAGTGTAGGATCAGTCTCAGTAGGGTAGTGTAGGATCAGCCTCAGTAGAGCAGTGTAGGATCAGTCTCAGTAGGGTAGTGTAGGATCAGTCTCAGTAGGGCAGTGTAGGATCAGTCTCAGTAGGGCAGTGTAGGATCAGTCTCAGTAGGGCAGTGTAGGATCAGCTTCAGTAGGGCAGTGTTGGGTCAAACTCAGTAGGGCAGTGTAGGATTAGCCTCAGTAGGGCAGTGTAGGATCAGTCTCAGTTGGGTAGTGTAGGGTCAGTCTCAGTAGGGTAGTGCATGATTAGCATTAGTAGGGCAGTGTAGGATCAGCCTTAGTAGGGCAGTGTAGGATCAGCCTTAGTAGGGCAGTGTAGGATCAGCCTCAGTAGGGTAGTGCATGATTAGCCTTAGTAGGGCAGTGTAGGATCAGCCTTAGTAGGGAAGTGTAGGATCAGGCTCAGTAGGGTAGTGCAGGATTAGCATTAGTAGGGCAGTGTAGGATCAGCCTTAGTAGGGCAGTGTAGGTCAGCCTCAGTAGGATGGCACAGCATTAATCTCAATAGGATTCAGTAGAGTGGTGTTAGGATCAGCCTTCAGTAAGATGTACAATGTGATCACCCTCATTATGATGGTTTTAAGAATCAGCCTCAGTAGGATGGTTTTAAGGATCAGCCTCAGTAGGATGGTTTTAAGGATCAGCCTCAGTAGGGTGATTTTAAGGATCAGCCTCAGTAGGATGGTTTTAAGGACCAGCCTCAGTAGGATGGTTTTAAGGATCAGCCTCAGTAGGATGGTTTTAAGGATCAGCCTCAGTAGGGTGATTTTAAGGACCAGCCTCTGTAGGATGGTTTTAAGAATCAGCCTCAGTAGGATGGTTTTAAGGATCAGCCTCAGTAGGATGGTTATAAGGATCAGCCTCTGTAGGATGGTTTTAAGAATCAGTCTCAGTAGGATGGTTTTAAGGATCAGCCTCAGTAGGATGGTTTTAAGGATCAGCCTCCGTAGGAAGGTTATAAGGATCAGCCTCTGTAGGATGGTTTTAAGGATCAGCCTCAGTAGGATGGTTTTAAGGATCAGCCTCCGTAGGAAGGTTTTAAGGATAGTAGGATTAGGCTATGTAAGGTTTACTTAGGTATCAGACACTACCTTTCTCCATGTATCTAACATGCTGTCTAAAAAAGCAACTACTTAAAAGTTATTTACAACATGATATTTATGGTAAACATTGTTGACAACAATGGTATCATTTCCACAGAACTAGAAACTTGACTTCTTATGGTTCGTCCTTGAACATAGGAAATAAGGATTAAATTGATAGAACTCCTTTTTCACATGAATGTGCACCACACATGCAGTGTAAGTACTGGTGTATTGATAAAGGACTTGTACACATACCCACAGTTGGAGCAGAAACTGCTACTTCACATTCCATCCCTGAAAAGTTGCATGCCAGTCTACATTAAACAGAATTAGCTTTGTGAAACTCATTGATTTAGTGGTGCAGTGCCTAATCACAAAAAAAAAAAAAAAATCCAAATGAATTTTACAAAAGCACAGAATTTGGAAAAGGTGTCTTGAAATTAGAATTTTTCTGTTCTTAATTAGTTTGATAAAACACCAAACAGAAGTTTTACCTAGCAACGTATCCCAGTGCTCTGTATATAAGGTGATGTGTATAGGATTTTGCCAACACTCTAAGCCCAGCACCTGTATCCATCTGGTGGAGAAGCCGGCTTTACAACATTAATTAGTCATGATAACTCAGTGGTTAAGGGGACGCGTCATCATTTTGTTGTCATAGATATTCTTTATGAATTAGTGATGACTTCTAAACAAACGATGGCTGTGTGTTATTCTTGGTAATGTTGGATTGGGATAATACCTATTAAGTTGTCTAATTCTGTTGACACTGAGATTATAAACTTAAGTCAGCAGGGATTCTGTTTTTTTCATTCACAATGTTTTCTGGAGGGATTTTTAAATCAGGAGATACATTTTCTGATTACTGTAAGTAAAATTTTATAATGCTTTACAAGGGAAAAACTGTGATGTCTCCTAATATGGTGACTTTGTTCAGAAGTCTTAACAGATAATCATTATTTTAAAGTATTTTTAATCTTTTGAATTATCAGTACATCTTTAATGACCCAATGAGAAAACAGAATCTATCCCTTTTTGTGCACATGATTTGAGTAATTAGTTCTACTCTGTCTACCAAACTACTTTTTAAAAACAATTGTTAATAATTTTGATTTTTTGCAAATTTGAACTTAGAAATATATAACCGTATAAACTAAAATATATGTATTGTAGTGAAGCGGTTTGATCTGAAAAAAACTTGAAGAAAATGATAGAAAAACTGCCATCTTTTGTTGTCTTACTGTACAAAAAGTTTGTTGTGTCCATTTTAAAGTAGGATGTGTGTTTTAGGATACTTAGTTATGTTGTTTGTAGTTCCCACACCCTCACACACATACCACCCCACTACACACACCAGTCTCACGCAAATACATAGGTTTGGGGTTTGGTGTTAGGAATAGCATATTTACATAAATTGCCATCCAGATTATGAGATCTGATTCCTGACATTTGAAAGCTCTGTTGAGGTTACATTGATTTTTTTATCATTGTTTTGATAACGAAGATTTCTTGGAAAGTCTCTAGATTTCTGCTTCAGTAAGAATCCATTATTTGACCAGTGTAAACCATCATGACTGCCATTAGAAAATAACACTTGAACTGTTCTTTGTAATGTTTACAGATCAGAAGAAGGCACCAATGGCACCAAGTCGTACAGGGTCAAGGATGGCCATGCCTCTGGCAAAAGCCACAGGGGTCAGTCTCCTGGATGACCTCATACCCTCTTCTTATACCCCAAAATCGGCACCCAGCCCCCTGGGACCCATCCACAAGCCTGTCCCATCACCTCCTCTGGCAGATGGGTAAGTTTATTTGATGTTGTAATACAAATATGTTGTTGAAATATATGGGTACCAAAACTGGATGTTTCTCATCAGAATGTATTATTTTGTACAGGTTCCAGTCTTCTTTTTTGTATTTCAGATATATCCTTCATAAATAATCAAGTATTTTGGACAATCAAGTTGAATTTTCATCCTATTTTTGACTATAATAATTGAATGACTCTGAAGTATGTGCTGTAATGTACTTCAATCATCTGCATACTTTAAGAAATATTTACAAACGTTCTATATTCAAGTCTCTTTTATGACTGTATAGAAGATACACAAGTAAATAATAGCTTTCAATACATATTCAGAAATACATACAATAGAGCCGAAAAATTTAATTGCACCATACAGCTATTTCATTCTTTTAAGACACACCAGTGATGCCAAATGTCTTAATTGATGAAATCTATGAAGCAACTAAGGGAAATTGAACTTGGTCATAATGTTTTTGCAAAGTTGTGACTGGAAAATACAAATACACAGTTATTGTAAATTAAGATAGGTGTAGAGAATATGCCTTTCCCTGAGGTAGGGCTGAAAAGTTAGTTGTAAAATTACTTAACACAGTAGAGCCAGGAATAGATAAAACTGCATCGTACAACCGTTTCATTCTTCTAGGGCTTAATTTTGAAGCCTAGTAGGCGACTGCAAAAAATTCAAAGTGATCAAATGAAGTGTTGAAATCTTTCATTGGGAGTTGCTCTTTAAGTCCCAATATCCAATAAATTTTGTTGTTTTCCAATGTCTGATGTAAGAATCTCAAGTAAATGTGTGTATTCTGAGTCATTCCAATACTGCAATGAATGAAAACTAAGCATGCAAGGTATAGCAAATTTTGGGGACCAAAAGTCCATGAGAAGTGTCTCTATACTGCACATATTATATAGTTCTCACTATAACTAGACAGTTCACTTAGTGAAATATATTACATAGACACAAAGTTAATCATATAGTAAATTATATCTCATAGATACTAAAAGACACTATGTAAAATATATAACACAGACACTAAATAGACTATATTACACAGTCACTAAATAGACTATATTACACAGACACTAAATAGACAATATTACACAGACACTAAATATTCTATATAACACAGACACTAAATAGTCTATATTACATAGACACTAAATAGATTATATTACACAGACACTAAATAGACTATATTACACAGACACTAAATAGACTATATAACACAGACACTAAATAGACAATATAACACAGACACTAAATAGTCTATATTACACAGACACTAAATAGACTATATTACACAGACACTAAATAGACTATATTACACAGACACTAAATAGACTATATTACACAGACACTAAATAAACTATATTACACAGACACTAAATAGACTATATTACACAGACACTAAATAAACTATATTACACAGACACTAAATAGACTATATTACACAGACACTATATTAAATAAACTATATTACACAGACACTAAATAGACTATATTACACAGACACTAAATAGACTATATTACACAGACACTAAATAAACTATATTACATTGACACTTAGTAAAATATTTTAAATATGCTCTTTCTTCACTATGTTAAATAGACAATTAGTGAATTATATTAGATGGACACCAATACATTATATTACATAAGGACTACACTAAGTAAACTATATTACAGAGATACATGGTAAACTATTGTGGTAATGCACTTAGCAAACTTTAAAATGTCACTTTGTTATGCATCATCAGTTTTTCAGTATAGTGTGTTATAATGCATGTATATGTAATAAGGTTGACGTGGGTGTAATGTACTGTAGGGTCTGTTGAGTAGCTATCAGTAAATTAGTTATTGATTTCACATTAAACTTCCCTACAACTTCAGTGACTGTACTGTAGTGTCTATCTTATATATCAATGTCTACCTTGTATGTGAACAGATAAGCTCACATTTGTTTAAAATTTCCCTGAATAGCATGATGATCAAGTGAAATGAAGCTTCATAACGTTTGAAACAGAGTCATGATCACTTATTTTGATGCTATCAAACAAAGTGAGCCAATTAATTAAATGGAAACAAAGTTCAGTCTTGCATATTTTTCAATATCTGCTTTGATGGTGTCATTAACTTCAAGTTTACTTTTCAGTAAAAAAGATCAAAATGAAATATTAAATATCAGTAGATAGTACCTGGATGATGTTCATAGTTGGTTAGTCATGTACACAGATTTTTGTCTTTTATCACCAGGCTACAACTATAATCAATATTGACTTATTGTAACTGTGGACATCATTAATATTAAATTGTAATCATGCCAATAATTATCTGTATAGGACAGCACATTTAGAATCACTTGTATAGTATATTTATCACTATCCATTATACTACTAGTCAATAGCAAATCATCAACAACCAACATGTTCTCCCTAACAACATCAATAAATTCTCTGAAATTAAATTTTATTCACTTACAACTTGTGAAACAAATCATTCCAGCTGATAATCACTAGGACATCAGTTGAGAGCCTCAGACTACATGTCTGGTATTGATACACAGTTGTTTTTGTTTGATGAATGCCATATTACCCTGGTGCTAAATGAGAGACTATATGGCTATAAAAAAGAAGAATAGAATGTTACTAGAAACACTTTCCTGTTCATCTGCTTTGCAAATTCATGTAATTTTAAAGAAACCAGTATTTGATGAAATGATCACCTACCTTTCAGCCATAAAAATTGGGATGGATTTTCTGTTACATATCAAATATGCCTTTGAATGTTCTTCACAGCTAACCTTGTTTTAATCATATGTTGTTGCCTGTAGACAAATGCCGACAATGAAGCCTCCATCCCCAAAATTGTCTCCCCTGCCTAGAGCACAGAGTGTGGATCAAATCCGTGCAGGCCAGCGAAATGTCCCCAATCCTCCAATGTCGGCCTGTGGTCACCCAAATGCTGGACAGGAGTTGTGCTATCTGTGTCACCAACGCTCCCGCAGAAACATTCCCGTTTCCTTTGCTGAGGAGAGGAAACGACGTGAAGAGGAGGAAGACAGACTTCTCCAACAGTTTCAGTACATGAAGGATGCTGAGGATACTCTCGGAGAACAGGTAATGCAATTTCAGAACTGTTTTAGAAGGGCCAACATATGAGGCACCAGTCTGAGATACTCTTTACCTGTTTCTTCTTATTTCCATTGAAACAACACAAAATATTCTTCTCATTTCGTCACTTTGAACAATATAAACAAAATTACTACATTTAGTATTTGGTCTGCCATTTCTTTTACAGGAAACTCTGTTAGCCAAACGACATGACCTTCAAAAGATGGCTGCCTTCAATTTAGGAGTGTCTGAAGCTGTATTATCTAAAAAGAAAGCCAGAGATTTAGAGTTCCATGTAAGACTTACCTCAGTAAAGTTTTCAAAAGAACCATTGTTATATGAATCTGTAAGATAGTACAGTGTATAAGTTCAGTCCTATGATTTTGATTAATTGTATCTAATGTGATAAATGAGTGAAAATCAATGTTTATTAACGAGAGAAAATTCATTCAACTTTTTGTTCTTTCTGTCTAATAATTGTGCTTCTCTCTTAACAGAAGTCCTATATATTCCAAAAAAGACCATTAACTCCACCCAAAATATACAAACAAGAAGAGTACTCCAAGGAGTTAGCAGCACAGGTAAGATAAAAAAAAAGGGAAGTTTATGATGGTATGAAAAATATTATTTCAAATTAATATTTAACTTCACAGATTTTCCTAGCAGCTTATGGTCAGACCTTAGCATTATACATGAAGCTGTATTGTAAATAATAGATCTATTGCCATATCACAAATACTAAACTACAGTCAGTATGCTAGTTGTAATACTTTAAGTCTTACCTCTCTAGGTGGATTCTAAATCGTCCACTCAGAAGAAGCACCAATCAGACGAGGAGTTTCTGGAGAGACTGGAACAGGTTCAGTTGGCTGAGGAGTAAGTATGAAAATCTGACCTTACATAATGACCAGATACAAGTTTTAGCTTTCATGAAAATAAGCAAAAATTATTGAAGCATACCTTACATAATGACCAGATACAAGTTTTAGCTTTCATGAAAATAAGCAAAAATTATTGAAGCATGTAATTTTGAATTGGTTATTCATATTTTAGATATATTTCTAGAATTCCTGGATAAAAATGTAATAAACTTGATCTTGGTAATAAGATTTTGAACACTAAATAAGGAAACCACGAACAATAAAATCTGAATTCTAATTTATTAAAATAAACACAGTTGGTGTTCACCCTAGTCTCATTAAAGCCCCATTGGTCAGTCATATGATCTGTTTTACAGTTTGGCTGCTCAACGTGAACAGTTCCTCAAGGATAAGAATGAACAACAGGATATGTATAAGAAAGCATTGGAGGTTCAGGTAGGTGTCATTTTGTTACTCATTAACATGCATGTAGTGTTAGTAGAGCTAAACTCACACAGAGCAAATTCACACCTCAACTTTTACACCAATTTGGAAATATGTGACGTTAATATTAAGACTTAATAGATATAATTTTGCAATACATAAGAATATACATAAATATTTGTCATAATCTTTTAAATAGATTTCTAAAAAGGTATACTGCAGCCAAACCAAATGCATTTGTATCTCTACATTAATGTAATGACCAGTATCCGTCAGTGTTGGTTGAAATTGCTCATATAGTATCACCATCTATGTCACCTTCTTTGTAACCACGTTCATAGCTTTTGTGTTGTGCTCAAATTGTAGCTTAGTAGTCACAGCTTTTGTATTGTGCTCAAATTGTAGCTTAGTAGTCACAGCTTTTGTATTGTGCTCAAATTGTAGCTTAGTAGTCACAGCTTTTGTATTGTGCTCAAATTGTAGCTTAGTAGTCACAGCTTTTGAGGTCTACTCACCTTGTAACTTAACTCTTTTAGTCACTGTATCTACATACATATTCATCAGTTTTAGGAATGCCAGGTATTATATTGCTGAACCTGGTATCTATTAGGCAGTACTTAATTAATTTTCTACGTTTCTAAACTTTTATTAAAAAATTACAAAAAAGAAATCAGCAATGATGATTCAGTGCTTTATAGCCTAATTACAGGTGACTTTGAAATGTTCAAGAATTTACATAGATACAGATGTTGATAATAAGGTTAATGTAATTATGTTATTTCTACAGAAAACACACGAAAACTGTTGTACTGGTTATATTCAGATGCTGTTATTGGGGTTTATATGTTACTGACTGTATGTAGATACTATTGTTTAGGTAGATGTTGTGTAGTCTAGAATCATTGTTTTCTTGCCTTGAACCCATCACTGTTTAATCAGTAATGGTCATGTTTGTACTAAAACATTTAATTGTAGTGGAACAAAGATTTTCAGTAACCTTCACATATGTTCACTTTCCTTCTTTATACTGCTTCAGTTTTAACCTGTACTATTCTGCTTTGCTTCTGTCATTGCTTTTTCTGCATTCTCTGCACTAACCCTTTTATTCAGATTAAGATCCGCAGTCGTTTTCGGAAGCCTGATGGTCTACTTCGAACCCCTGAACGTCACAATGCATTGTTGCCAAGGCGTCAGACAACCTCTGAGACAAGGCTGTCCCTTATATTTCCTCCCCCTAACCACACTTTAAGCACCTCTGCTCTTCCCATGATTCCAAAGGTCCTGTCCCCCTTCTCCAATTCCTCCAAAGACCGCCTCAACGAGGAACTCCCACGGGTAGATAGATTCACAACAATCTCACTCAACTTTTTCGAAGCCTATAAATATCTAACATCCCATTTACATGTGTGACCAAGATTAACCACAAGCACCATTTTCACCTAAGATATTTAACTTTTAACATCCAAAAATCAATAGTATTTTAAAGGTCCATTGTCCTTAATGTCAGGCTTACTTCACCAAGCTATTGAAAAAGTTAATTGAGGTTATAATGCTGCTGGGTTTTTTTCATTCTAACTAATGCTTGAAATGAAATTAACATTTTGTATTATTCTTTGCATGCTTTCTGTGAATGTGCTATCTTGAAGCTCTTTGCTTGTGTCCCATGTAGATGTATCAAAGTGTTAATATTGATGAAATGTTGTTTCCTTTGATTTAAATTAATGATATGTGTTATCAATATATGTAATAGTATTTTAACTGGTTCCCAGAATCTGTATTTATTTCCTTGTTTCCACTTTGTGTTGGTCCCTCTATGGAACTCTCAGATACTGCCATCTTACAGTATAAAGTTACAATTAATAAGTATTTATCTGAGTTTCAATAGCTTGATCTTGATAAGCAGCTGATTTATATACACCTCTACCTTTTAGCTGCGGTTTAAACCTCTGCAAGTACCACCTAGAGAACCAGACAACGAAGTATTTGGTAAGAATGATATGACCAACGAAAAAATGGCTGCAAGGAGATCACGTGCTTACCAATTGTTCCGTGAACAACAAGATCTGGTCGCCCAAAGGAAGAGGGAAGCCATCCTCAAACGTCTGAGTGACCAGAAAGAGGAAGAGGACGTGCTGGACAGGACAAAGAAAGAGTAAGTTTTCTAAGATACATACACATTAAAGGTATTGAATGGAAAATACATACACTATATACTTGTGCGAAAATATGATCCCAACATGTTTTGTAATAATTGGTAAGTTATAATGGCATATAATATGTAACAGATAAAGTGTCTGATTTTGACAGTTTGTTTTCATCAAATAGATTAAAGCAATTTATTCAGATTGTTAGGCAGTGAAAGGGTTAGAATTGTGTTTATAAATTGTTCGAATACATGTTCATCGAAAGATCAATAAGAAACGACGACCATTAATTGTTCAATTATTGTCCAATTTGTCTGCTCTATCTCCACATTTAAAACCACATGTATCTTAATGTTTCAAATTTGTGTTAATTCACAGACTAATGGAAGACCGGGGCACCAGATTTACTAATAGATACAGTTTGCGCAAGCGCTTGGAGACCGACTGGCAGAAGGCAGCCACACTGAAGAAGAACAATGAGTTGGAAGATCGTTTACATGCACTTAGTCCTAGTCTTCTTGTACATGAACAGTGTGATAAGTACAAACGGTGTGGACAGTGTAAGAGGAAAATGGTCAACTGTGGCGAGTCTAACATCTGGAGTGAATCTCGTTACATTCCGGGGTCACGACTCATGGTGTAGGATTTATACTATTATCGTAATGGGCATGCCTGTTACCTTTTCTAATTGAAATTTATCATAATCTCTTCTCTAAAAGAACTAGGAACATAAAAATGTGATACGAATGATAACTATTAGTTTATCAGTATTAGTCGTTTAGACCACAACCTATTACTCCCTACGGCATTCGTGGTCTGGTGTGTACAAACATCATTTCATGTTACAGGATATGTGCTATTTTGTCTGTAGATTTGTGTTCTGGCAACTGTTACTGCACCCTGTTATGTTCACTTTTCACTACAGATATGGTTCTAGTTATGTAGGAAGAAACCAAAGGTTTAGCGCTACACACCATTCTTCAGGGTCTCCTACTACACAAAGCTGTCAAATGTTATGTTCTTTTTTTCTTTTTTAAACTATTGAGTTTATTCTTTAATATTCTATTTTGAATATTGGAGCATGTAAATCATTTTTTTTCGTAATCAGTAAAACATGATGTCATTAAATATGAATATACATGCTCGTTTTATTTTTTGTCATGCTTGGAACTTGAATAGTTCTAGAAATTCAAAGATTGAAACATCAAAATTAAACAAGATTGATAAAGTTTACGATTATATTACCGGATGAGAAGTGGGGTTGTTTGTTAAATCTTTTACTGCTGACTTTTATCAATATATGTTTGCTCATCACTATGATTTGTATTGAAGTTTTAATCTATTTTTTACATGTCTTTCACTTTTATACATCTAACTCTTCCCATTCTCACTTTCCATTGTTTAAAAGTTATGCCAGATCGACTACCTATAGATCTATCGAATATGCTGTTTCCTACCTTTTACCCACTTCATTTACAAACTGATGTGGAGTTTTTAGAAAACCTATTGACTGTGATATATATATATATAAAGAAAGCGTTAGTTTTCACTAATTTAAGATGTCTGATGAAATGTATGTATATATTGTCTGTTGTAACACTTCAGTAGAAGCAAAGATATAACTTTTGTACAAACAATAATCTGTTACCACAAGGTGTATTATCCTTTATACTGGTTTACGCCAGTCATGGTATGTCCTGAATGCTTCTAAACCTGTGATTATCCCATTTTGAATAAACTGTTCCTGCTGTACTTTTGGTTCTTTGTATTATTTGTTAACCACTTGTAGTTTTCATATCAGCACGCCAGAAATGGGAAATTTAAATATGTGGGGAGTTGAGAACATGCTAGGAATCCCACTGAATTTTGAAGTAAAACAGCATTGTACAATAAATTACAACATTTTCAAGGTTAATTTAGAGTCATGTTTTGTTATACCTAGACATCAAATAACATATCTATAACAAGCAAAACATACCAATGTACATGGATCTTCTAAGGAACTGCGGTGGATATGCTATATGGTTTTGAGCTATACTGAAAAATACTTCTAAATCAAAGAAGAAATATACACGAGAAGAAATGGTAAACTCTTTACTTTTGTCATACCATTGGGTCAGATTGTGACTCTTTTGAGCCGACTTGTTTTTGTTAGCGTACGAGGCTGAATTGATGGCAGGCCTTATCTAAGAAAGTCACCGATTTCGATTCCAAATATACCGACGATGTCTATGAGTGACCAGAAATTTAATGACCATGTTCATTCTATATACGTTTCGGAATTTTAAATCAAAGACTAGACAGATTCGTTCACACTAGTCGCTAGACAGACTCTAGACAGATTCGTTCACACTAGTCGCTAGACAGACTCTAGACAGACTCGTTCACACTAGTCGCTTACCTAGATCTTTTCCAACATTCATGCATACCGAATTTATGCTGTAAAACTTGCATGTCGCAGATGATTCGATCTTCATGGGTTGCTGACAAACATCACAGGGCTTCGAAAAATGCAGATTAAAGCGACACGTCTTAATGATTTCATTTGGAAATATTCTCTTTCCTTGTGTAATATGAAGTTGTCTGTGTTAGTTTACATTGTTTTCATTTCGGAAAGTGACCTTACTTACTCGGATAAACCAAGACTTACATGACTTGGTGTCATCGTCGATGAATCACAGGCGCTTTTCCTTCCGGGATACGTGGTATCATAGTATTTTTTTCTGTTGTTCAATTTTTTTCCTAGTTTCACGACTTTGATGGGGAGGTGTACTTGCCCCAAAATTCATAAATTTACTTTTTATTTCTAAATGAGTTTTAAAGAACTACATGTGTAACATTTTAACCCATTTGTAATCATATATAAGTGCTAGAAAGGATCTGGTAAAGAATATATATGCACTTTGTACTTCAAAGGGGAAATCGCTGTGAATCAAAATACATTACGTAATGATAAACGTGGATAAAAGAAAGGATAACAGGGGATGTAAATCTGCAATCCTTTTATAGGATTTACACAACGACATCGACGCATGATAAATACCGTTACCACATGGTTACCGTCCTAACCGTTCAGTAAATGATGAGGGTGATATAATGAAATTTTAGTTTCATAACTGAAGGTACTTCACGTTCTCCAAGGAACAAAAAGCGCATCTTTCTCTTGGTGAGTTAGTGATGTGAATTTGTCATGTAGCTTCTCAGAACGGAAACAAGTCTCTTGCCAAGGTGTTTGGTTACTCTCTGGTATCGATAATGTATAAACCATGTCGATCTATATACCCTATTGACTGACTTTTACTACCAATAGATTGTAAGGTAAACTTGTTTACTTGATAAAAATCTCACAAAAATCTGTGACTTTCCTCGCCATGGATATTGTGTAATTTGAATATTTTAGCGATTTAGAGAGAGTATATTTAACGGTTTCCCAGTAATTTTATTCTCACTTGTTCTTCCTGATTGAATAACAATTATGTATTGTACGGAAGGTGAATGCGAACGGATTAATCAACGTTGTTGGTCCTTAACATCAGTGACGAGTCCAAGAGGGACGTAACATCTATTTAATTCATTCTTTGACTATTATGTATGTAATCTATCCCCCCCCCTCTCTCTCTCTCTCTCTTGTACAATCAATTAAGTACAACTGGCCCACAACGACTCAGTTCTTTTGACTCTGATAGCTGACGTCAAAACATTTTCCGTTGAAGTTGTCGTCTCTGTTTTTATATGATCGAAATTCTGACAGAAAAGCTGTAGTAGACCGAACCCTTAGAATTGCACATCACGTGATCTGTTATACATATGACGGATCCAAACTTTTGCCCATGTTTAAATACATGTATAACGTTAGTTAACGTGATTTAGGTAAATGATAATCTACCTGTAACTCAATACGTGTATTGGATTTATATAACACTTAGACTGGTATTGTGTAGTGTAGACAAGGGCAGTATATAACAGTAGATATACCTACATGTCTGTAGGTAAAGAAGGAGCTAACGCCATTCTAACAAAAGAAGTTTAGATATTTGTGTCATGCTTAGCTGATTACAACTGAATTACATACATTGTCCTTTTTAGTGTATAATCCTGTGACGGATTATTTACTTATATTGACCGAGGCTCTGTAATTGTAAAGAGAGTTCTATACGGCTAGATTGATTGGCTTGTGTACTGTTTTACATGTGTGACAAACCACAGGTATACAGACTGAGCTAGCAACAGAGGACCTACCCCATATCAGAGACTGACACACACGTCCCAGTTATCAACACTCTTAACTAGCAGTTCACTGGATTTGTGTGGTGTTCAGATGGACTTCGCTGCTCAGAAGAAGAGAAATGCCATCCTGAAACGTCTCTCAGAGCAGAAGGAGGAGGAACTCATGCTGGAGAGGACTAAGAGGGAGTAAGTATTTGTTTAATGAAAGCTTATTATAAACGATTATAATTTGTGCCATTATCTGCATAATGGATATAATTTTATCGATAGAAAGAGTACTATGTAAATAAATTATATATTCGTCCATGAAGATTGTACAAATGACATACAAGTGAATAGCACCTTTTAATAATTTAGAGTTAGATACAGTAGCACCAAGCAATGAAGTAAACTGCACCGTACAGCTGTTTCGTCCTTCTAGGACTCTAGAAGCCTAGGAGGCGACTAAGGAAAATCCAAAGTGATCGAAAGAAAAGTCAAAATATAGAGGAGAGTTGCAGCTGTCCCGTAATTTGATTAACTTAATTGACGTTAGTGGGGAAAAATTGAGAAAAACGGCAAAAGAGATTACCATCCTTACAATATTAAAATGTAATGATAAGCCCTCCTGTAATTAACATACAGACATATATAAGTAAAACATACTACAGACCTGATATAGATTTGTATATACGACAACTAGATATACATACATATGTATACTGAAAGTGGTAATAGTTCACATGTGATGTACATTTCCTCAAACGACTGAATTTACATTCCAAAGATGAACTACAAACTCCGGTCCAAAGTAAAGTTGTAAACAGTGATTATTCAGAAACAAATAAGATGATCAATATGTCTCTATTGTCGATGATAATGTATTTCGGAGCTTTTCGAGTTGAACTTGTCCGTGCTTTTAAAGAGCCAAGGCAAACATACTATTCACATCGATTTACATATCTATCTATTAAGGCAATGAACGAGTCCAATTTCCTGAACAAATTAAGATAGAAATTAAAGGGAAATCAAACCTTCGAGTACTCCCCAAAAACAGGACAATTTGTGCGGAAAGGTTTCAATGAATATTTCTTGATTATTTGACTGCATTAGGCCTACGTGTGGCCGAGCTTTTTGTGGTATTGACTCAACCTTTCGGAAGACACCATATATCTATGAGATGTCCCAGTAACGTTCTGACAAGTTTATTACCTAAGTGTTACATAGTTTATAACAGAGAGATGATAATAAACTAAAAAGGCGTTGAAGTGACTGCCAATAATATATTATCAATTTTGTCAGTCATGCCAGGCCTGAAAATTTGAACAATAACTATTATCGATAATTTTAATGACAATCGATTCACACATTGCAGGTTATTGGACGACTACAGCAACAGATATCGTCGGAACTATGAAATACGCAAAGACCTTGAAAGGCATTGGCGAGCAGCCTCCGCAGCCAAGAGGAACCGCGAGATTTTGTAGGCGATTGATATGTAGAAATAATCGGCTAGAGGAACAACACACCGTACACATTTAGTGATATTGTGTGACATGACTGTCAAATCCTTCAGCTCATGATGTCAGAACCTGTGTTTAGTAAAGCATCTGGTGAAGGTCATCACTGCCATATACCGGTGGATCTATGTGCAGCTGACAGCTTTATCATCGCTTCCGATAGGGACGAATCGGTTTGGTGTTCCCGGGTTACGTTATAAGTGTTCGCATTTATTCAATAGTGACTTACAGAATCCACACCTTCCTTTCAAACTATTTCTGCTTTGTCAAGTGCCCACGTGTTTCATCTTTATTGTACATATGTCTTTACACAAGTGTAAAATCCATGTCCTTAATTAAATAAAATTTCAAAATGTTTATATTTGTTTAACCATTTATTGCAGTTAACACGTCTATAATTATATTTAAGAAATTCCATGAATAATTTATAAC